CTTCTCGAGGGCCGTCATGTCGAAGTTCACACAGACAACCGGGTAGCGGCAGCCTACATAAATCGCCAAGGGGGAGTTCGATCCCTCCCTCTGTTGCGTGTCGCCACAGATTTACTGTGTTGGACACATGTCCACCTGCTGTCCATCAGAGCCATCTACATTCCGGGGGTCCTGAATGTAGCGGCAGACATCCTGTCGAGAGGGGGACCCCGCGACTCCGACTGGCGTCTGCATCCTGCACTGATATCACAGATCTGGATCAGGTTCGGGGAACCGTCTGTGGATCTGTTCGCGGCTCGCGAAAACGCTCAGTGTCGCCTGTGGTTTTCCCTGAGTCCCCGGGACGGACCTCCGCTCGGGGCGGACGCCTTCTCACACCAGCCCTGGCCTCGAACGCTCCTTTACGCGTTTCCACCAGTCCCTCTGATTCCCCGTCTCTTAGACCGAATTCGGTCGGAACGGCTCTCTGTGATTCTGGTGGCTCCCAGGCGCTTGTCCGCGTCATGGTTTCCGGACCTGCAAGCGCTAGTGTCCGGCTCCCCGTGGAGGCTCCCGTGGAGGGCGGACGCCCTTCTCCAGGCGGATGGAATAATCAAACATCCTCCGGAAATAGGCCAACGGTTGTGGGTCTGGCCGCTGAGCGGTCACGCTTAGAGGCTTCTGGGCTGCCGCATGATGTGGTCGCCACGATTCAGAGTGCGCGGGCGCCCTCTACCATTGCCTCTTACGCTGCTAAATGGGCAGCTTTCCAGAAATGGTGCACAGAGCGGAATGTTCAAGCGCTCTCCTGCCAGCTGGCGGATGTCCTATCGTTTCTGCAGATACTGATGGACAGGGGCCTCGCCTTCAGCACTATTAAAACATATGCTGCAGCTATCTCATCCTGTCACCAAGGGTTTGGAGATAGATCTGTTTTCAATCATCCCCTCACAAAGCGTTTTCTAAAAGGTGTCAGGAGGAACAGACCTGTGTCCCGCCCGCTTTTTCCCCAGTGGGATCTAACGGTGGTTCTGCACGGCTTATCCAAAGCCCCATTTGAACCCTTGGACCAGGTCTCACTCAAGTTCCTGTCACTTAAAACTGCATTGCTGCTAGCGCTAGCATCAGTTAAGAGAGTGAGTGACCTGACCGCCCTTTCAGTGGCTCCCGCATGCCTCAGGATCCGGGAGGATGGCGGGTCTGCTGTTTTATGCCCCAATCCAGCCTTTGTGCCCAAAAGCATTAATGCTTCCTTCAAATCCAGGTCAATTTCATTGGCTGGACTTTTTCCTCCTCCCCATAATTCTGAGGAGGAAGCGGCTTCTCACCTTCTCTGCCCGGTGCGCGCGCTTGTACGGTATGTGTCACGCACTTCGGAGATTCGTCGCTCACAAAACCTGTTTGTGCACTACAGGGAGTCTTCCCTTGGTCAGGCGCTGTCGACCCAGTGTCTTTCGCACTGGCTGTGTGAAGCCATTTCCCTCGCTTACACGTCATCGGGGCAGGATTCCCCTGAGGCACTCAGGGCTCACTCAGCCAGGGGGATTTCCTCTTCGATGGCGCTCCTCAGTGGTGTGTCAATGGAAGACATTTGTCAGGCTGCTTCATGGGCTTCATCCTGTTCCTTTACTCGTTATTATTTACGAGATGTGTCTTCAGGTTCCATCACTCGTTCAGTGCTTGGACCTCAGCAGGCTGAATGAATGCTTATGGCACCTCATTGGCCTTGCTGAGATGGATGTCATCCTCTCGTGGATGATGTTTTTTTAGTGGGGGCCCCTCTCTTATCGTGGCTGCCTCAGTCTTTAAGCCTGGTCTGAGGCTGAACGTCCCTCACTAAAGGAGATTTGATTGGGTGTGTCCATTGGTTGTGTTAACCAGTGTGGCGTAAACCCATCCAGCTGCGCTTTTTTCCAATAGCAGCTCGCTTAAGGGCTAAGACTAGACGAAATAGAACGTTGTAACCCCAGATTCTATGAGTCTAGTCGCAGCCCTTAAGCCACTTGGCCCCACTGGTTATGATGGAATAAGAGCCATTGGAGGCGAGCAGTGGGGTCACTGCGGTTATATACCACGAGGGGACCCACTATTGGTGGGCGTACATTTAAGCTCTTCATGATTGGCTGATGCGGAGATCATCCTTCCAATAGCAGCTCGCTTAAGGGCTGCGACTAGACTCATAGAATCTGGGGTTACAATACGTAACCAACGTTCTCCTGCCACCAAACTCGACACACTCCACACCACGGCTGCGCCTAGAAGTTCTGTCCATAAAGGTAATGAACAGAACAGGTGACAAAGGGCAGCCCTGGCGGAGTCCAACCCTCACTGGGAACAGGTCCGACTTACTACCGGCTATGCGGACCAAACTCACGCAAATAAAGATTTAATCAAAAAAAACTCTGGAGATCCGATTTTCCTGAAGATGCTGCAGCGTTGAAACCCGAGACCTCTACCTCTGCTTGATGCTCTTAAGATAAAGCAGGAGTTTTCTCTTACCAAGATCTGATTATTCCTGTCCTCAAAGGTGTCCCTCACCTGTGAAATGTGAGGAGACAGCAGAAAAGAGAAACCCAGTTACCTTTTTTCTGAACCTACCAGGATAACCATGCCCAGGATGACAGAAGCTCCTCCAGCATGGTTGTCATAGCGTCCATCTGTAATTCTAAACTGTGAGCAAAGGTCACCAGACACAGGTACTGGACCCTTCACCCCATGACTTCTTAGCTCCTACTCCCGCCACCCATCATGTGCTCAGGAGAGCTTCTCTCTTCTGACTATTTAACCAGGTTGCTGCTTTGTGGCTGAGAAGAGATAACCAAAGTTGGGCAGTGTTTGAGTTCAATGGTGGGTGCTGCAGTGATATAGATACACGCCACACACATGTTGAGAAAAATGTGTGTACATGTTTTACGTCCCTCGGCTTCGCTAGGAGCACGATGTGGTTAAGGGAGTAAAGAAGATTTTGTACTGTAATGAAACAAACACTTTTACAGTTCTCTATAAGATATTTATTAAACAAAAACGAAGCTCTTGGCTGAAAAGGGAACAAAAGGGTCATCCAGGACTGGGTATTAACAAACAAAGGAATTTCCCAATAAAGAAAAACGATATCTAATAATAAACGAAAAGCGCAGCACATGGGCTGGAATAAGGCTAGCCGGTAAACGCAAAACTGCACCAAAAGGGTGAGCAAAGTCTCTCTATAACGAGGACACACGAATTACTATTAATACTATCAAACACAAAAATACCACTAAGGTCATAACACAAACGGAAATACCACTCAGGTAGCGAATCGAAGAGATACCACGAACGAACGAACACTTTAACGTCTGTACTGCGAGGAGAGCTAGAGAGGAGAGCAAACACCTCCGTGCCAACACCCATCTGCACATCTCTCTCAGAATGATAGGGAGCTCAGCCTGCAGCTGTGCAGGCAGCGGACCGAGGGCCTCTTGTGGCCAAAAGTAGACGGTGCACGTCACAACATGTGAGTGTCTGATGCCCTTATGAAGCTCTGTAGCTGCTACATGCTTCACCAGTTAGCTGCTGGCCGATGTTTTTAGCTGCATGGGGATCCCAAAAAGAAGTTTAATGGCTGTTACATGTAATTTATTATAATTTCAGACATATTTTATCACTTTGTGTGTTCGTTTGTCACCTGGCTGTCAGATTTCTGCTCTGGGATTCTTCTTAGACGGAAAGGACAGGAGGAGAGGTGGATGAAAGTCTTCAGAGGGAGGCTGGAAGATCCGTTCAATAAAGCAAAGTGTTTGGCGGCGATTCTTGGAGGAGGGTGTGTGTGTGTGTGTGTGGGGGGGGGGGGGGCCTCATGTACCAGCTCAGCAGCAGCCACTAACCAATCCCCCCCCCCCCCCCCCCCCCACACACACACACACACACACACACTGGCCCCACCCTGGATAAGGAGTGCTGTGTGTTGGCACCACCACCACAGGCTGTTGAGCTTGATGTTGACATTGCTAGTACCTACTGCCTTTCTTGTGGAGGAGGAGTTTACTGTCAAATGTTAAAATATTCAAGATAAAAATTAATCATGAAGATTTGAAGAACTAATGAAATCACTCGTCTTCTAGAACATAGGTATTCATTTCCGGGCCTCGAGCGCCGGTATTCAGCACGTTTTAGCTTTAACTCTGTTTCAACACACCTGATTTCAGTCAGCAGGTGATTAACAGGCTTCTGCATAGCCTGATGAGCTGCTGCACAGGTGATCCAACCACTGAATCAGTGTGTTGGAGCAGAGAAACCACTAAAATGTGCTGGATACCAGCCTAGGTCCAGGATTGAATATCCCTGTTCTAGACTGATTCATCATCACTGGACTTGCTGGGAACTGGTGTCTAACGCCAGCAGTCTCGTAATAGCCGAGGGGGACACTCTGGACAGGGCTCCAGGTTGCTGGTCTGTGGGAGAAAACCTATGCATGCATGGGGAGAACATGCAAACTCCACACAGTAAGGCTGCAGCATGGATTCAAACCAACAACCTTTTCACTGCGGTGCAACTGTTCCACCATGCAGGCCAAACAGATGACTTCTCTTAAAAATATAGAAAAAATAAATGTTTGACTATTAAACTAATAAACTTCACATTGGATTTTTCTCATATTCAGAATGAATTAGTCTAAGGTGTGCAGCATTATTGTGGTTATAGAAAACATGAATGTTTGTACAATAATTCACATTCAGATGTAGGAAATGAGTGTTTCACTTTTAGGTTGGTTTTTAATTATTTTCCCCTTTCAGATATATTTTATGGACCATTTTTAATTTTGTATTTCAACTTTAACTCAGTAATGTAACCAGATACTGAAGCAAACGGTATGGCAACAATAATGTGCCACCGTAGAATCTGACCTACTTTATGAAATAAATTAGTTAATGTTTTATATCCACATATCAACGCGTAAAAATAAGCTTTCAATGAAACTTGTTTACCGTTATGGAAAAGTGAATTTCAAGTCTTCTCTACTGCCATCTGGTGGACAAACAGGAGAACTACAGGTTCTCCCACAATGCAACTCGCTGCTTTACTTCCCATCATGCCTTGCAAGCAAACCTCCTGCACCCGGTCAAGATGGCGGACATACCAGGTACCGTAGCGTGTCCTCTGCTGTTAAAAACCGGATTTATTTGTGTTTAAATGTTTTGTTGCATTTATCTTTTTAACATTTCGGAGCCTTTATGTGTTTTGTTCTGTCGGGCTGAGTGAATTTATTAGCTGGGTGGTGATTTTATGAATGTAGGCCGCTAAATCCTTTGACAACGTCAAGGACTTTGTGCATCAGAAGCGACTTTTATGGAATTATTTAACATTTATGTGCTTTAAAAGACACAAGAACCGCGACGTTTCGCGTAAAGTTTAGATGAAGCCTTAATAATTGTATTTAGGTGTTAATAGAAGTTTTTATGTTGGACAAAATAACCTAACAATGTAGCTCTATTTTACGTTATTACATTTAATGCATAAAAAATATCGTTTGTTTTTGTTTCGCAGCCTTTCACATCGGGCTTCGGTTGTGATTTAAAAAATGGGACCATAATAAAACACATTTGCTTTTCTAATGTTTCTGTTGTGTGTGATTGTGATCAGTTCCTGTTGTTGAGAAGCGGCTGATGGACGTGAAACTGGGAGAACTGGGAACCTGGCTCGGAGGTCGAGACTTCACCCCCAACGGCCTTATCTCAGCCGTCCGCCGAGGTGAGCAGAACCCACCCTCCCTGGAGAAGAACGTTTAAGAGAGTGTGTGTTCAATCAGAAAATTAGTATTTACAAAACAGACTTTGTTTTTCTAGGAGCTGACCAAAATAACATGACATAAGAGAACAGCCAACTGATTTAAAGTTTTACCTGACCAGTAATCAGTCAGCCCTCACGTGGGTAAATGTGCCTTTCAGTACACCTAAAACCTAAAATCCTGGTTTGGTTCATTTTCCACATAGAGGGGAAAAAATTAAAGTTTTTATTTTGTATTAATGGGTTCAACTTAAATTACTTTCAAAATAAAGATTATTCTCGGTTATCATAAACATTATCACTAACATTTGAACTATTTTCCTGTTAGGAAGTCATTACGTCAATCCTTTCTCAGCGGTAACTGACACAGGCCAAACTTCTGAAAATTAGAAATATTTTCTATCTTTAGGAAATTAACTTTCTGTATTTCCATAAGTGCTTTAAAGGTGTGGTTCACCAAAACAATCATTTTTTTAATGATTATTTCTGATGATCAGTTTTGCAGCCCGAACATGAAAATAGTCTCCTACACCTATCTCCTGCATTAGCTTCTGATAACAAATAGACAGTAAAACTCTGGGATTAGAAAAGCCGGACAGATCCATGTCACGCTGTCACTTAACATTCATAGACTCACCCATCTTTAGTCACGATGAGGGAGGTTGTTGTTTAGCGTCCAGGAAACAGCAGAGAATGCCTAGGCTAGAAGAAGCTAACCTTTAGCATAAGCAACTCCACCACACAGCAGAACTCCTTCAGACTTGTGTTATTTGTGGAGATAAAACATCAACATTGCAGAACAAACAGAATCATTGGTAGAGTCGTGTTTCTGTCATCCAATCAGAGGAGAGATGTCCAAATATCAGGAAATAAGACTCAGAATCCTGTCGTCTCTGCAGTGATGGGAATTACGCAGTTTAAAATAATGGCGTTGCTAAAAAAAATATATGTACTTTTTTCAGTAATGCGTAATTGAATTAATTACCGTCTTCTTTTATCATAACACCGTTTCCGTTACTGATAAGAAAATGCATGTGTTACAAATTCAGCATTTCTGGACGCTACAGCGGTGTGTTAAAGCAGGCTTCAGCTGACTGGGAGCTAAAGAGGCGGATGTTTTCATCCAAACCCGTGGAAACGAGGAAGACATGATGAATAGTTAAGGCTGCAGACCCGCAGATTCGCTGCTGCAGCCATGCCCTTTTTGGTGCAACAGCGGGACGTCCCGAAGGTCCGCTCAGACGTCACGATCTTCTACCTTCCTAGATCATCCAGCTGTAACCTGTTTCTGATCATGTCTTTAGTCCCGCTGTAACACTGATGCATCAGTCTCAGACGTCATGGTGCTCAGGTGTTATTAGAACTACCTGTGTGTGTTTACCACCCAGCTCTTCTGTGTCCGGGTCTGACCCAAATTAGTACATTTAAGATTTGTGCCTCTTCAAGTGTCGTTTTAAAGGATTTTTATTTAACCATTACCAGATTAGCAGCAACAGAAATGCTACTAAAAACACACAATAATGTAAAGCATTTCCCTAATGTAACTAGACTGAGAGACCATTTAAAGGCTCAGGAACTGCAGGTGTTTCTATTTGCAATTAGAAATTTTAGCTGATTGGGGTCTTGTTAAATATCACACAGTGACATTTTAATAGTCTAGATTACTGTAATGTTCCTATTAGTGGTTCCTCCTGTTAGGTGCCCGTTTATTCTAATTGCTCAGTTTTATAGAAAAACATTTTATGTTCCAGTCATTAGTCATTTATATTTCAGTATTGTAATTTAAGTAAATTGAGTGTAATTAAGAAAACCCATTTTTCTTGCATTCTTTGATGTAAAAAAAAAAAAGTAATGAAAGTTATTTTTCTTGGTAATTAGTTACTTTTATAATCTTGTTACTCCTTCAGACAGTTGTCCACTTTGGTTTCATTTCCACTCGGAAGTCCGCTTTTATTTTGAAAGGCACACCAAAACCACAAGAGGTCATTGGTTAATTAAATAGTTTATTCCTGTTGCCGTTAACCCATTTTCTACATTTGATAGGAGCTCAACTTGAACGTTCTTAAGCATCGGTTCAAAGATGATGAAATGAAACTCCTGATTTGTTTGTAACAAATGTGTGAAGGTGTGCTTATTATTTAGGCCATGACAGATACTACAACAAGTACATCAACGTGAAGAAGGGCGGCATCGGCGGCATTGCCATGCTGATAGTTGGTTATGTGGCCATCAGCTACGTGTGGGAATACGACCACATCAGTAAGACGCAACTCCAAACATTAGTTAAGCGTTTCCACGTTTGCAGACATGTTTGATCAAATCCTCTGGTCTGTTTCCCCGTAGAGCACGATCGCTGGAGGAAGTACCACTGAGCCTGCTTCTCAGACCAGCAGGGGTTAACGTCGGATCTCTCGCTTTCTACGCTCAGCTGGTGTTAATGTGACTGTTGTGACCAATAAAATATCTAAACATTTGTGATTGTTTTTGAAAGGACATCTGGTGTAAATCTGTTATTTATTGGTACAGAAACAACGTAATTCCAGAGAAAACACAACAAAGTGGCTCCACTACCAGCTGCTAATAAGCAGATTGAAATCGGCCCTGGAGACGTTTGTTGATGGGTGATCAGCTGAGTACAAACCTAAGTCCATACTAACATTCATCACATTAATTTACAGATTCATTAGAACATGAGGAACAGTAGGACTTGTAGAATGCAGTCACATGACCTGAGGAACCAGGAAGTGGTGGACCAACACCCTCTCCATCTTCTCTTGAACCTCCAAACATCAGCTCTTTGATCTCCGGCACCACGAAGCCTTTCAGTTCATTTTCACACGTTCAGTTTTTAGGAGGCAGAGAATGTTTTTTTCCCCCCCCCACCACCTGCTGTGTGAGGCTGAGGACATCCGTGTGGGAGTCTGGAAGTCTTCTGTGTTCCATCCCAAATCCTGGAGCCCAGAGATTTTCCGTCTTCAGCTGCTGCAGCCAGCTGCTGGACTGGTGTTGAACCTGAAGGTTACTGTCCACTCAGGAAGGCAAGATGACCTTTTGTGCATTTGTTGGCGTAGTGGCCCTTTTCGCCGCACTGCAGGAAGAAAAATGAACGAGTGATCAAAGAGGGAAGAAAAAAACTGAACTTCTACCCATCTTTCAGATTTATCATGCATGAAGCAGCACGGAGGTTAGAAGGCTTGCCTTGTAGCAGGTGACCTGGTCCAGAGGACGAGGCCCCCGGTTGGTCATCAGGTTGTTCTGCTGAATGGGAACAGTTGTGTTGTTCTGAATCCTCTGGATCGGACTGGTCAGCTGGATGTAGTTGTGTGATGATCGGCCGATAGTCGGAACCGGCTGCCGCAGGAAACAAGCAGAGAAACATATTCAGCAAAACCTGATGAGTCAAAGGTCAAATAATCCCATCACCTTTAAGCAACATAACAGCAGGTGTCTTTAAAGTGTGGCCCAGGGGCCATTAGCGGCCCTCTGAGTGATTTTGTTTGGTCCTTGACTGCATTTCTAAAATGACATGTCTCCAGCAGGCCGTTGATGGAGAATGATATTTAATAATTGAGTAAAAAAAAAAAAAAAATAAAACAGAAATTTTCTTTTTTTCATTTTTTCTTAAAGCAGAAAGGGCACCATCTAGAGGTGGAAAATGTAATGCACCTTAAATCTCATTTCCATGGTGCGACTGAAGCCACACCTAGCTGGCCAACGGAGCTAAAACGTTTTATAATTATTATTCTCAAATTCTGCTGTTTATTTATGAATGTTTTAAAGACGCAACTGTCCATAAGAAATGTCGTGACCTCTGCATCAGTCGAGGTACTTCTGCAAATGCGCGTGCTGTGGATGACATCTGTACATAAGTGGATGTCTAACTATTGGCTAATGCTGAGCACGGAGCTTTACGGTACGGTGGCGTAGGGCTGGACGATAATTCAATACTTCAATACATCTATCGATAGACGTGGTGCGATAGGAAAAAAAAAGGGTCAATAAAACTTTGATAAAAAAGTTTCCTTTTTTTTCATAATAGCCTTTTTTTATTATAACCTATCAGGTAGCAGCATACTAGACTCACTACTTACTCCTAACCAATCAAAACCACAGACTCGGCTACGTCACCAGGCCCTCCCCTCTCAAACCAAAACAGCGCATGAGGCAGCGAGACGAGGCGAAGAAAAATGAAATGGCCAAGGCTGTACGTAAAATCTATTTTCTACTATTTTTTTAATATATTTTCAATAATTATCGATTTTGATCAATATAAAAAAATGTATCGATATACTATTTTTTTTATATCGTCCTGCCCTACGGGGGTGGGCTCAGCAAGAAATATTATAGTATTGCCTACATTATATGACAGTAAAGGTTAAGACGATGGCTTTTACAGATTTCCAAAATATCATTTATACTTTCTGAATAGGAAAATCTCGGTAATGCTGCTTTAATGAAAAATAAGTCTATTTTTGTGGCCCATGAGGACATTTAACTTGACAACTTTGGCCCGCGGGCCGCCTATTGAAGACCACTGCTTTAAACAGAATTGTTTCTTCTATGGTTCTTTCGAGAAAGAAAGAAAATTATCTTTCATTTAGCGCCTCTCAAGATAAAAATCATGAGGTGCTTCACAAAAACTAACAATTTTACATACATAAAAGATTTTTAAAAAACAATTACAAAATTTTTTTTAAATGACAATAAATTTAAAAACTGCGAGGAAAGGGAGAGAAAATGAATAGGAAAGAGGAGAAACATTAAGTAATTCCAGGAGGACTTAACCCCTGACTTGCTGCTGGAAAATAACCAGATAATTCCATGTCATGTGATACGGATGGCAGTGAATGTGTCTCAAAAGTAGGGCTGGGCGATTTGGCCTAAAATCAATATCACGATATACTGAGGATTTCTCCTCGATAACGATACATTTTCGGTTTAATGCACAGCCCTACTCAAACTCTTGTTTTAACGCCCCCTATTGGGGACCTCTACAGTTTCATGTCCCAAACATCTACAACTGTCCACATTCTCCAAACAACTAAAACCACAATCAAACAGCCCAGATGGGAAACAAGGCCATTTTAAATTGTAATAAATTAAGATACAATGATATTTGAACTTTTAGAAAAGCGTCTGGCCTTCACTGGTGTCTGCTGCAAAAAACGATTGAACAAACTTAGTTGAGGACCCCTGGAATAAATAAAATAAGACTAAATTTCTGAAATCGAATTTGAACTCACAACCTCCACCCTGTCACACAGCCCTCCTCTTCTAAAATTAAGTTCAAGTATTATTTTATCTTAATTTATCAAAATCCAAAAATTGCTTTGTTTAAAATCGAAACTGTTTTGATTGTAGCTGTACTCGGGGAATGCAAACAATCACTGACATTTGGGACATGAAACTCCAAAGGCCTCCAATTGGGAGGCGCCAGGGCCCAAAGGGTTAATTCTAAAGATTGGTGCTGTTTGCAGATAACAACACACTTCAGTAGCTCCAAGACTAGCCATTAGCTCATCAGTCCAGTCAGACTTAAACTTTATTTCTCCCAACAGAGGCTTTTCTAGAAGCTCTTTAGAAAAAATAGTAAATATTTATGTATTTCACCTGCTTCAAAAAGGCAGAAAAAATAATTTTTTTAAAGTTGGCTGAACTAAGAGTTGTTTAATAGTTTTGTGAGTGAGTGGTCGTACCTTTGTCTGGTTCTGAAGTTGCTGTTGAAGAGGAGGCTGTTCAGAAGTTCCCATAGGCAGCTCAAACCGGGGGCTGCAGGAAAACATCTCAGTAAATTTTACATCTTTGATTGTGTTATTTCAGAATCTCCTAACCCAAAAATCCACTTTTACTAAATAAAAACTGGATCTTAAACAGGTAATTTATGTAAAAAATCAAATAAAACAAATGACTTACTGCATAAATTTACAGGACTTTCCTTCTGGACAGAAACCCACCAGGTAGTTCACACAGATCACCCTTCTTGTGTGTCTGTGTCTGCAGTCAGGCCCTGAACACACAAACATCCAGAAGCCGTTTGAAGAAAGAGCAGAAAAAGAGTTTTTCTCACCCACATGCCGGATCTTACCGTGTTTACAGAAGCCTCGGTCGTACCATGGACAGTCTTTGATCTTAGACTCTGGATCAATGTGCAGGAAGGGACATTCCTTATTGCTACACTCACCTGGGGGTCAACACATATAAGAAATAAAATATTCAGAGCCTTGAAGACAAGTGTTGAGTGGTTAAGAGGCACAAGAGCCACACTTAGAATTCATTTAATGTGTTAAAGATAAAGAGAAAGTCAACTAACCAAACTTTGAGTAGAAGTAGCATTCAGGCATCTTTGTCATGTCATACTCATGGAGAAACTCGCACTGGTCTCCTTTCTTACACAGTCCTCTGAGCCAGTGTTTACACACCACCGTCTTCTCTCCGCTGATGTGACGGAACGGACACATCCCACCTGAATCACATTCACAGTTACAACATTCATCTCATTTGAACAACTGCAAAGTCGGGTTGTTGCAGAGCTACAAAAACAAGAGTCAGAAGAAATCAAGTCAAAATACTTTCTCCTCTTTTGTCATACAAATCAAATCTTTTATGTTAATGTCACTACAAGGAAGAGCGAGATCAGAAGCGGTGGTTGACTCTGTGTTTGGCATAAAAATAGAAGTGAGAATCATAAGTAACATAAAAATGTGACAAAGAGTAACAATATACACTTTATAAATAGAAAAGGTCTGTTTATGAAAAGATTGCACCGGTTTAGCTATAGTCTCTATTGCACACTAGAAAGAATTTTATTAGGAATTCAGAACCATGATGCGGAGACAACCAGTGAGTGGAGGGTTACCAATACATTTTATTTAGAATTGTAAAGCTTTGATGAACGTTTCAGATTAAAATAAAATAAGCAGCATTTGTGTGTCTAATGAAAACACACATGGACCCGTGACCAACAACAAAACGAAGTAAAAACTACTGAAATTATATTTTTTTACCTTTCATGCAGGTTCCTCTGGTGAAGTACTCACACACAGCTGACCCTGACTCTACAGGGGGACACATTAGCACAGAACTGATTAACACAAGCATGTGTGTACCTGCCGTTAGCTCTCTCATTAGGGTTCATTCAGATAAAGCGGCTAATAGCAGGTAGCATCCCTACACTTACTGTCCATGCCGGGGAAAGGCAGAGGCTGCGCTCCCAGCTGCTGCTCCATAGCTAGTTCCAGATCGAACTTGATGTGATCCACGGTGGCCAACAAGTCCTGCATGTTTGCTTTGGTTTTCTGCCCTCAAGCCAAATAAGTTGTTTTCGCCTGTGCTAGCTTGAAATCGAACCTGTTAGCTTAGCTACCTCATCCGCACACTAACGAAAGCGTAGGCTAACGAAACTTGACGGTCAAACAGATTAACAAAATATAATTAGAAAACATGTAAATAAACTAAGTTTGTAGTTTTACTGCGTAAAAAAAACTTCTGACCGTGGTTCAGGTCTGTCAGTTCCGTTTTAGTTATCGTTCTACTCGTTGCTCAGCGTGACGGTGTTGGCGCGCGCACAACGATCACCGAGCTGACGGATCTAGACTGAACTAATCGATAAACGAGGCCTTTCACGTTTCACTTGGAAAATTCTTGCCTCTTTATTTTTTATTTATTTATTTTTTTTGCTTTAATTTTTTGTTTCATGAAAAATGAGAAGAGTACTTATTGAGAAGAATATTATGAATTGTAAAATTATTTCCAGGATGAACCTTACTAGATTCCTATTTTATAGTGAGTTTTTTTTTCTGTTTTAAAATATGTAGTCATTTTTAATTTTCGTTTGTCTGTCACATAGTTTAAAATTTATTTGTTTGTACAATTTCGTAATTAAAATCACTACTGATCTGACGCTGGGTCTGTGACGTCACAGCTGAGTCTCTTCTCCCCCAGCATAGGTGCTACTTACCACATGGCCAGATTTGTGGTGGTTTTCTCCATATTTAATGTATCTTCTTTCATCCTGGAAGGATTTGCAGCTTGTCACCATTCTTTTTCTCATCTTCTCTGTGTCTGGTTCAATTACATAAATTTGGTGAGACAAGTATTTGTAGACCGTCCTCTACGTCATTTACACAAAACCTAAAGTAACTTTTGTCACCTGTCAAAAATAAACACTTTATTGGCATAAAATTGTATTTTTTAAATTCACAGACATCATATGTCAAAACAATGGCACATTTCAAACAGGATCAGAAAACAACTTATTGGCTCATACATTTTTTTGGAACTAGGGGGCCCACAAACTGACATGGAAGAGTAAGCAAGAGCACATAAAAAGTAATAAAAGAAGAAGAAGAAAATATCATTTCTATAGTGCCTCTCAAGATAAAAATCACGAGGCGCTTCACAAAAACAAAAAAATGTAAAAATATAGAGTCCACCTTTAATCTTTTGAAAATGTTAAAAAAAGAGTTTAAAATAGGCAACAAAGATTTATTTTGATATTTACAACTGAGGCATTTCTCTGACATTCAGGTGAAACCACAACTAGCGGGAAACTGTAATGTGCTGGTTAAAATTATACTGAACTCGAAAAACCAATTGCCGTCCAAGGTAGTTTCTAAATTATACAGCTGTATTAAAAAATGTAATGGAAATAATTCACAATATGTAAAAACCAAATGGGAAAAGGATATGCAAAAGGAAATTTCAGAAGATGATTAGCATTCAATGTGCAAAACAAACTCAGCTCTACCAGCTCCAGGAACTGGTGAGAATTCGGATGGAAGAACTTAGTACTAGGGATGTCCCGATCAGGTTTTTTTGCCCTTGAGTCTGAGTCAGAGTCATTTGATTTTGAGAATCTGCCGATACCGAGTCCCGATCCGATACTTTCGATACATAAAAAAAAAAGAAAAAGAAAAGGAAGAAACAGTGCAGAATGTTCCTTATTTTTTTATTTAATTACCTTTTCATTTTAAGTTTTAACAACAGATCACTTCTGTGAGGTAGCTTGAACAATCAATTAATAAATAACACAAATTCTTCACTTTTGGACTTTATTGCAAATATAAAAAGTCTAATATAAAAACGGATAGCACTTCAACTTAAAATACCTGGCACGGGTCTATTTTGCCTCGGCCCCCAAAATGCTTAGATACGTCCCTGGGCATGGGACAGAGTTTTGAAGATGATCTGAATTGTATCAACTATATAAATACTACATGCTGATAAATTATTGCTTTATACAGGTACAAATGTGTAGTGGGATAAATCTACCTACATTTTATTTTTCTGAGAACTTTGATTTGTTTTCTTGGTTTTATTTTCCCATCTTCCTGTCCTGTCTGTCTCTGAGCTTCCTGCATCTCCCAGTCCTCCAGAAAAACTCCTGTCTGCTCCCTTCTTTTTCACCTCACAAGTAACTTTTTAACTAGCAGATCAAATTAATCTATTGACTGCAAAAAAAGCGGAGTGTGCGCTGCGCTGCCCGGCTGCGCCAGTGACAAGCGCTGCAGCGAGGGCAGCGAGAGTGCGTCCACACGTCATGCTCAAATACAGACAGAACTTACCAGAGAGAAAATGAAAGGACACGAATTACTGTGTGTTAATTGAAAATTTTTGGTGACGCCACTTAGAAACTTAGAAAATGTTACTGTGGCCAGGGCCGGATTATCATTGCAGGGGCCCCTGGGCACAATGTCGTCTTCCTCCTCTTGTCTCCTGTTTCCTTCTTTCTCTTGTCTCCTGTTTCCTTCCTCCTCTTGTCTCATGTGTCCTTCCTCCTCTTGTCTCATGTGTCCTTCCTCCTCTTGTCTCATGTTTCCTTCCTCCTCTTGTCTCCTGTCTCCTTCCTCCTCTTGTCTCCTGTCTCCTTCCTCCTTTTGTCTCCTGTCTCCTTCCTCGTCTTGTCTCCAGTTTCCTTCCTCGTTTTGTCTCCTGTTTCCTTCCTCATCTTGTCTCATGTCTCCCTCCTCCTCTTGTCTCCTGTCTCCCTCCTCCTCTTGTCCCCTGTTTCCTTCCTCCTCTTGTCTCATTTTCTGTTTCCTTCCTCCTCTTGTCTCATGTTTCCTTCCTCCTCTTTTCTCCTGTCTCCTTCCTCCTCTTTTCTCCTGTCTCCTTCCTCCTCTTTTCTTCTGTCTCCTTCCTCCTCTTGTTGTCTGTCTTCTTCCTCATCTTGTCTCCTGTCTCCTTCCTCCTCTTGTCTCCTGTCTCCTTCCTCCTCTTGTCTCCTGTCTCCTTCCTCCTCTTGTCTCATGTCGCAGGTCAATGATAGACTTTGTAGTTGTATCATCTGATCTGCGGCCGTATGTTTTGGACACCCAAGTGAAGAGAGGAGTGGAGCTGTCAACTGATCACCACCTGGTGGTGAGTTGGATCAGATGGCAGGGGAAGATGCCACGTAGACCTAGCAGACCCAAACGCATAGTGAGGGTCTGCTGGGAACGCCTGGCAGAAGAACCTGTCAAGAACATCTTCAACTCCCACCTCCGGCAAAGCTTTGACCGCGTCCCGAGAGCAGTGGGGGACATTGACTCTGAGTGGGCCTTGTTCCACTCTGCGATTGTTGAGGCGGCTGTTGCTAGCTGTGGTCGCAAGGTGGCCGGTGCCACTCGTGGTGGCAACCCCCGTACCCGCTGGTGGACACCAGAGGTTCGGGGAGCCATTAGGCTGAAGAAGGAGGCCTACAGGGCGTGGCTGATCTGTGGGTCTCCGGGGGCAGCAGACAGGTACCGGATAGCCAAGCGGGGTGCAGCAGTGGCAGTTGCTGAGGAAAAATCTCGGGTGTGAGAGGAGTTTGGTGAGACCATGGAGAAAGACTATCGATCGGCTCCAAAGAGGTTCTGGCAAACTGTCCGGCGCCTCAGGAGAGGAAGGCAGCGACTCACTCACACTGTTTACAGTGGGGATGGGGAGCTGCTGACGTCAATTGGGGCTATAGTCGGACGGTGGAAGGAATACTTTGAGGAGCTCCTCAATCCCACCTACGCGCATTCCGAGGAGGAACCAGAGCCGGGAGACCTGGGGATGGACTGTCCAATCTCGGGGGCAGACGTTGCTGAGGTAGTCAAAGAACTACACAGCGGTGGAGCACCGGGGGCGGATGAGATTTGTCCTGGGTATCTCAAGGCTATGGATGTTGTAGGGCTGTCGTGGTTGACATGTCTCTGCAACATTGCGTGGTCATCGGGGGGGGGGGGGGGGGGGTGTTCCTGTGGAGTGGCAGACCGGGGTGGTGGTCCCCATCTTTAAGAAGGGTGACCTGAGGATGTGTTCCAACTATAGGGGGATCACACTCCTCAGCCTCCCTGGAAAGGTCCACTCCAAGGTACTGGAGAGGAGGGTCCGATCGATAGTTGAATCTCAGATTGAGGAGGAGCAATGTGGTTTTCGTCCTGGCCGAGGAACTGTGGACCAGCTCTATACCCTTGCAAGGGTGATGGAGGGGGCATGGGAGTTTGCCCAACCAATCCACATGTGTTTTGTGGATTTGGAGAAGGCTTATGACCGTGTCCCCAGGGGCACCCTGTGGGGGACGCTCCAGGAGTATGGGGTGGGTGGCTTTCTATTAAGGGCCATTCAGTACCTTTACCAGAGGAGCGTGAGTTTGGTCCGCATAGCCGATAGTAAGTTGGACCCGTTCCCGATGAGGGTTGGACTCCGCCCTTTGTCACCGGTTCTGTTCATTACCTTTATGGACAGTAGGGCTGTCGCGGTTGAGGAATTCCCCCTGCAGTGATTCAGGGTGGCTTAATATTGCGGTGTGCGATATTATTGCAGCATTTTCTTTTTATTGCAGCACTATCTAAACATAATGTTTACACATTTAAAAAAGGTTAAAAATTGCCATGCCTTCTTTTATAACACTTTACTGAATGCAGATCAAAGGGCAGTAACAACACAGATCGCAGTAACGTTTGTTTCTCCGACAGTCGGAGTCCGACTGAACTTAAAAACAACAAAATTCAGGGGAAGGTTAAACTTTCAAATGCAAATTTTGCTGCAGCATCTAACAAATAAGAAACAAGTCCCTATTTTGTTTAGTTGTTTAAAATCAAGCATAAAAAATTACATGTGCCGGGCGCGGGGCACTATCATTTCACTTTCACTTTCACACACACGAATGACGGTGATTTATAGCTCGGTCACGTCCTTGTTACCCACAAGGAAAACCAGCATGTTAACCATATACGGTTTGAGAGAGGATCTGAGAGGGGTGGCAACATTTGCAGCAACACTGAAAACCCTCTTGGATGGTGCGCTCATTGCACTAAAAGCTGCGAGTTGTGAAGCGCGTTCCATCCGCGAGCCGCATCATCGCGCGGAAAGTGAATGCATCAAGCATAAACCAAGCTTAAATCAGGCTTTACACACACGTACTTGCGTGCGACTGGCGAGCAAAGGGAATCTCTCCCGGTTGTTGCTCCACCATGTCAGGGGGGTTTCTTTAGGGTGGATGCATTCCTCCTGCAGGTAGCGAGTGAGCTCCAGCTCAGCTCAAACTCTCTTCGGGACGGTTGCAGAAGCAGTGCTTGTCCGGGACTTCAGCAGGTCTCCGAGCGTTTATTTATTTATTTGCCGCTGGTGGCAGCTCTGTCTTGGCCAAGGACTCTGGCTGCGCAGCAGCTGACGTACTGAAAACCAAAGTGCACCCAAAGGAGCGAAGTAACGTTTCGTTTTGATACCAGTGCAGCCATCCTTCTCAACATGCATCATTGAGTTGAACCAAGTTCAGTAATCGCGGTGGCCCATGATGCAGCGCGGTGGGCTTCTTCATATTGCGATATTTCATTTTTGCGGTTACCGTGACAGCCCTAATGGACAGAATTTCTAGGCGCGGCCGTGGTGTGGAGTGTGTCGAGTTTGGTGGCAGGAGAATCTCGTCTCTGCTTTTTGCGGATGATGTGGTCCTCCTAGCTTCATCCACCTCTGACCTTCAGCTCTTGCTGGGTAGGTTCGTGGCCGAGGGTGAAGCAGCTGGGATGAGGATCAGCACCTCCAAATCTGAGACCATGGTTCTCGACCGGAAAAGGGTGGCTTGCCAGCTCCGGGTCGGGAGAGAGGTCCTACCTCAAGTGGAGGAGTTTAAGTATCTCGGGGTCTTGTTCACGAGTGAGGGTAGGAGGGATCGGGAGATCGACAGGCGGATTGGTTCGGTGTCTGCAGTGATGCGGACGCTGAGCCGATCTGTGGTGGTGAAGAGGGAGCTGAGCCAGAAAGCCAGGCTCTCAATTTACCGGTTGATCTACGTCCCAATCCTCACCTATGGTCATGAGCTTTGGGTAATGACCGAAAGAACGAGATCGCGGATACAAGCAGCCGAAATGAGTTTCCTCCGTAGGGTGGCCGGGCTCAGCCTTAGAGATAGGGTGAGGAGCTCGGACATTCGGGAGGGACTCGGAGTAGAACCGCTCCTCCGGATCGAAAGGAGTCAGTTGAGGTGGTTTGGGCATCTGGTCAGGATGCCTCCTGGACGCCTCCCTGGGGAGGTGTTTCGGGCATGTTCTGCCGGCAGGAGGCCCCCGGGTCGACCCAGGACACGTTCGAGAGGTTACATCTCCAATCTGGTCCGGGAACGCCTTGGGGTCCTGCCGGAGGAGCTGGTGGAGAAGGCCGGGGAGAGGACGGTCTGGAGCTCCCTAGTTGAGATGCTGACCCCGCGACCTGGACCCGGATAAGCGGAGGAAGATGACGAGACGACAACTCTGCTGGGATTATTTAGAGCTGAGAGATGGTTGACGCACTCCAGACAGATGCGTCCTGAGAAAGGCCACAGTAACATTCTCAAAGTGTCGCCACCTCAAAAACAAATTTAACACACGATTGTTTATGTCAGCTCATATCGTTTTATATTTTCTGTCATTTATTTGTGCCTGATGCGTTTTACTGCTTTGGAGTGGATAACCTGTTTTGTCCTCCGGTGATTTCACCTCACCGGTGCGGCCGGTGCACGGTAGATCTTTTAGAACTGCAGTTCAAAGGTAACTCATAAGGTGAATATATATGAAGCCAGGTAGCAGTTTTTCTTTAGGATTGAGAGGAGATGCATGAAGATAATAAACAGACAGGACAGAAAAATAGTCAAATAAAAACAAGTTAGTTTTTGTACCTGGTGGTTGCAACAAACAGACACCATTGAAGGTAATCAGAAGTGAGGAACAGAAAATTAAATGATTATTTCAATGTTTAGAGCAGCAGGAACTCTGAGAGGCTGCAGGGGCATCAGTGAGTTTGCGGCCGCTGCGCAGGGGGAGGGGGGAGAGGGCTGAAGCAGGAACAGTAAAGATGCAAAATCTAACGTTGTTAAAAGAAATGTGTGTTAACTTAGAAAATGTGGGCGCAATTTTAGTTACTTCTCAACATTTTTCTCCAATGTTAAGACTGCTGCACAAAAAAAAAGAAAAAAAAAGACTGCTGCTTGCGTGGGCCCCCTTGTGGCTGTGGGCCCCTGGGCCTGTGCCCAGTTTGCCCACATTATAATCCGGCCTTGACTGTGGCTGTGTGCAGAACGCTGCTGGAGTTCATGAATAATCAGCGGTCTGCCTGCTGTTCTGCTCAAAAGAATCCCCGTTACAATGAATCCATATAAATAATATAATGTAGACAGAAACTGGATCTATTTTGTGCTCCTTCTAGGTAAGTAAGGGCATTAGGGGAGCCTGACAACCTTTAAGGAGAACCAAGTTGCTCTCCTGTAATTTGAACCCAGTATCCAAATCCGGATCAGTCTGAAACCACGTGATCGGGGCCGATTTCCGATCATGTGATCGGATCGGGATATCCCTACTTAGTACGATATTTTATTACACCTACATCAAATGTAAACAAATTAAAGCAGCACAACAGCACTGGAGGGTCTGTGGGCAAATTAATGTAAACCATCTGCACATTTTTTGGTCATGTGACAATGTACAGCCCTTCTGGAGGTCAGTGGTTGGACTGATCGAAGGATTTCTTCAGTGTAAACTCCCCAGAGATCCACGCATATTGTACCTCGGCCTGATCCCGGAGTGCATGATTAGCAAAAAGGACATTTATATTTTCAAGATAATGTTGATTGCTGCAAAGAAAACCATCACCAGGAACTGGGGGAAGAGGGACCCACCGAAAGTGCAGCATTGGAGGGGCATTATAAAAGAAATTTATACAATGGAAAATTTAACATTTATACTGTGGCTAAAATTGGATACCTTTAACCGACAGTGGAAGAAATGGACTGTACAAAAAGACTCCTAAGAAAAGACTCAAAGGCTATGAGAACTTTTACCCCTTATATTTTTGTTCGTTCAAACTGTGTTGTGTTAAAAAAGAAAAAGTATAGAGAAAATAAAAATAAAAGCATACGTGAATCAGGAGAATTTATGCTACCACACAAAGTTTCATCAGTATCAATGGGAGAGGCAGGGGACACCATGGACAGGTCACCAGTCCATCACAGGGACACACAGAACCATCACAACCAGGGACAGTCTCCAATCAACGGGACTTGCATGTTTTATGAAAGCAGTGGTGCATCCAGGCCTCGTAAAATGGGGAAGTCCAGGAGAGGCACTTGCTTAGAAGAAAACGTCATGTCTATAGCGCCTCTCAAGATAAAAATCATGAGGCGCTTCACAAAAACAAAAAATGTAAAAATATAAAAAAGCATTTAGAAAATGTTTGAAAATATATTTAAAATGAGCAAAAATAGACAATTGTGATTAAAAAAATGTTAAGAAAGAGAGAGTGAACAGGAAGGAGGGAAATCAGTGGATCCTGAGGAAGGTGGAATAGGTGGGGAGAGCAGAACAAAGAGAGAGGTTGAAGGTCATACAAAAGCCAGCTTGAACAAGTGAGTCTTCAGCTGCTTTTTAAAGGAGACCACTGAGTCCACTGATCTCAGGCTCAGGGGGAGAGAGGTCCAGAGTCTGGGGGCCACAGCAGCAAATGATCTGTCACCTTTGACCTTTAGCCTGGTGCTGCACAACCAGTAGGCTTTGATCACTGTACCTCAGGGACCTGCTGGGGGTGTAGGGACTAAGAAGATCACCAATGTAAGATGGTGCTTGTCCATGTAAGGCCCTATAGACCAGCACCAGGATCTTGAAATGAACCCTGAAGTTGACTGGCAGCCAGTGAAGCTGGAGAAGAAGCGGGGTACACATGGTTGTGCTTTTCGTTATGGACGGGGGATCACCTCTCACTGTTTTTGCTTCCTATTGAATTTAGGAGCTCCACTTTTTTGCCATGACCATTTTTCCTCCTCACTCTCCAAGACGTTTTGTGGCATTTGGAAAGCCACTTCTTGGAGTACTGCCTCCACCTGGTGGAGTGGGGACAGGGACCCTGAATACTATTTGTCACTATGAACAAATAACAAATGGTTTATAATAATAGACATGTTCATAGGCCTGGGGCTAGAACCAATAGTAATGGTGGATGCTGCCACCTACTGTTCTGGAACACCAAGCTTTTTGTGGATAATGGAAGTCGAGTTAAATGAAACTCAGTGGCAGAGCACATCAAACTCAATGGGTGGGATGTGCTATCCCACTCCCTAGACACACCACTGAGAAAGGAAGTCAAATCACTTGAAGACCCTCATTTAAACATTCTAACTTTATACAGAAAAGCCACAGCTAGGAACTGAACCTCCACCCATCCATTTTTGTCCACTTGTCCAGAGTTGGGTCACAGGGGCAGTAGCCTAAGCAGAGGCCCAGACTTCCCCCTTTCCTCCACCAGAGCCTTGCCACCTTATCAGTGACCTCAGCCCCAGAGATTAGAGAGCCAAACACAAAGTCACCAGACTCTGCTTCCTCAATGGAAGCGGTGGGACTGAGGAGGTCTTCCAAGTACTCCACCCACCAATCCATCCTCAACGTCCAAAGTCGAGGTCAGCAGCACACCATTCCCACTATAAACATTGTTAGTAGTGCACTGCTTCCCCCTCCTGAGGATTTGAACGTGACCTGTGAGGCGAACATCGCTACCAACTGCGCTAGGTAAAACTGGTCAGGAGTGAAGAGTAGCATTTTAAAGAGACAATGTGTAGTTTTACGATTAATCTCTGGAAAGATCCATTGGAATGTTGTTGAAAATGAATTAAATGATGTCCAGTTGTTGCAAAACATTATTGGCTTTGTAACATACAACCATAAAAATCAGGTGTAAAATACACGGGAGCGGGTCAGAGTCTCTGGGCAACGCCATGTTTCTTTCTACGGGAGCCTGTGAGGACAAAGTGCATTTAAACATTGTTGTTTTACACATTTACATCTTTGCTTGTTGCCGGTGATTTAAAAGGAGTGTGGTGTGCTTGTCACTTTGCTGGAAGTTGTGCTCCCAGGGATTTTTGACCCTAATGGCTACCCGTTGGTAGACTTACTCAAGCACAAAAATGCAGACTGCTAATAATAATTTAGGTATGTACTGCCCCCCATCGCCAGGGAAAATACACACTGTGACTTTAAAATGGGACAAATTAGAATTAGACTTCGGAAAACACATTTCCCAGTTTGGTTCGTCTCTCAAGGAGCTCAGATCGTCTCCGTTCACAGAATAAAATCTTTCAACAGCAACTATTTATTGTTAACCTTGCTTGGATGTAAAAATATTGGTTTATTTCATTTTAAGCTTCAACAGCTTGTCAGAAACCTTTGGAATCATGAAATGAAGACAAAATTAAAGCCATTTCTTCACTGTTACATCTGCAGAGAGACTACATCCCGTCTAAAACGGCACGGCTTTGTAACAATATCAAATGATCTGACACCGCCAAAGGTACATTTCTGTCCTTCAGAAAAAATCATTAGCAAGTACAAATGCGTCCATGCAGGAATGTCACCCGGAAGTGTTTCCGGTTTGACGAGAACAGCATCGGGAATGTTCCTACAGCTCAGGTAGACCAGGCATGGGGAACTGGCCAGCAAAGGCCTCCACCTCAGCTCTGATCTCAGCCACTCGCTGTTGGAACGTCTCTCCATTAACCAATGCCTGGATGAACTCCTTCAGAGGGGCTTTAGGATCCATGCTTCTCTGGATCTCCAACGTCAGCTCGATACCTGCAGGAGAGGAGAAAACATGGAAAAAAGACCTCCATTTGGTTTCTGAGCCCATTACTTCTGCTGCACACCGAGAACTTCAAGGTTTACCTCTGTGAATGAAGTGGGCCACCTTCTTGAAGTCATCCTGCACCAAGCCTCTGGAGGTCAGAGCTGGAGAACCAAACCTCAGACCACTAGGACGCAGCGCGCTCCGGTCTCCTACACCAAAACACCAATCAGAGGAACGAACTGGATGCTCATCTGTTTTTAAGGCCAGGCTCAAGACTCACCTTTTTAGTATAGCTTTAAGTGATTTTGATCTATTTTAGCCTGTTTTTACCATCTTTTATATATTTTATCAGTCTTTTATTTTTAATTAAATAACACATATTTTCCTACATATTTATTTTAACTTGTAATAATTATTAGTTTTAACCAGTCTTAATACTGTACAATATTTTATAAATTTAATTATATGTTTTCTACTTGGTTATCTTTTATCACTGTGTTTTATTTAGATTTTTATTTATCAGCTGTTTATGTTTAATTTGTTTCTTAACTGTTATCTTAGTCTCATTAGTAAACTAGTGTTTCCTATGTGGGGGCCGGTGGCCCCGGGGGCAGCGGTGGGCTGTGGCGGCCGGGGTGCTTCCATGTCTACTCTTGCCAAGGCTATTGCTGCCAGTCTTGGTGCTCCCGGTGCAGTTGGCTCCTTTGATGGCGTTTTTGTCTTCTTAGTATCTACTACATCTGCACTCAGCCAGCTGCCCTTTCTCTATTACCCCGGGTTTCCACGGGAGCCGCCAGCAGCACGTTACTGCAGCAGCGCGTCTTGCTCGCGTAAGCTGCTGATTGGCCCTTCCCACGAGACGCGAAGCAGCAGGGGAGCAGCTGTCACCGACCGAGCACGAAGTCACACGAGTGACTTCGTCAGTAAACACAACAACAAGCAGAAGAAAACTACAACATGGTTTGTGTTTTTATGTTCTGTCCGTTTTATAATCGCCAATACGGACCTGAAAAACAAAGGAGACCGCTAGCTAGGTGATAACTTCTCACGGGGCCGCACAGTTAGTAACATTTTTTAAAAGTAAAGCAACTGGAAGGCAGCACGTTCTTTATTCTGAAAATATCGGTAGCTTCTCTCCATTTCCGCGTCCGATTTCCTGTCTTTCCTTCCCCAAAAATGTCGAACTTGACCCGTTTCAGAGGCGTCGCGCGTAGAAAATAGAACCGGGGCGTAAAGGCCGTCACATGCTGCTCCTGAGACGCGGCCGACTCGCGCTGCCGACGGCTCCAGTGGAAAAGGTTCTGTTGACCACAGCGGTTCCTATCAGCAGCTATGACGTGCTGCTGCAGTAACGTGCTGCTGACGGCTCCTGTGGAAACCCGGGGTCACGTGTGTGTGTGCGCGAGTTTGCATCTGCTTGGGACGGGATTGAGGGTGGGAGGAGAAAAACAAAGGGGATCTCTTATGTGAATCTGTGTGGGAGGGGTGGGAAACCGACTGCTGTCTGGTAGTTTTTAATATTGTAAAGCACTTAGAGCTGCATTTGTATGAAAATCGCTTCATAAATAAATTTTGATTGATTGATTGATTGATCTGTGGTTGCAAACGTCTGGAATTGCCGTCACCTTGAGCTGCTTTCTCTTCCCAACTGTACAGACGTAGCTCTACGGGTGTTTTGTAGTAAAGAGTGAGCTTGGAGCCAGCCTCGTCGCGGGAACGCGCATCACTCAACACAGCAACAGACTGAGTGAACAATTTGAAATGAGAGCTACAAGGCAACCGTTATGTTTGTTATCAGTATACCCCCTGAATCCATTTTTATTGATTTATCACAGAGCCGGGCAATAAAACGATAGCGATACATTTCAAAGTTACTTTTCCTTCAGAGACATTAGAGAACGTGTCGATAGAAGATCGATATGAAAATATAAAAAAAAAATGAACACCCAATCGTCCACGCTGGAAATGTGCCCCGCGGCTAATGTTTATGTAGCTTTAGCTCTGCTGCGGGTAACGGGTGATGTGGCTGGAAAAAACAAAAGCCCAGAAAGGGGCAGTACACATGATGGCGTTGAAAATAAGGGACCGAACAGTCCAGTCCGTTTGGATTTACACAAGTTCATCAGAATCTGTTGTGCCGCAGCTCATGGCTGCGCCGCTAGAGCAGACCTGGCAACCTTGTCAAAAATGTTTGAGCACCACTTGTGCAGCGTCTTTTCACTATGTAATCTCCCCATTCACTGGATGGAAAATTTTACACACACACACACACACACACACACACACACACACACACACACACACACACACACACACACACACACACACACACACACACACACACACACACACACACACCTCTTTCTCTTTGGTCGCAGATTTTTTATATTTTTCACTCAGATTTCAGCTTGAATATTCAACAGTGAAAGTAACGTCACGCGTTCACATTAGGGTTGTCACGGTAACCGGTGTAGCGGTAAACCCCGGTAAAAAAGTTGACAATAATAATAACCGTCTTGTTTTTTTTTTTTTTATTATCTCGGTGGGTTACCGTGGCTGCGGTGTAGGCGCGGTGACCCTTACCAGCCACCGTATCATCTGCTGAAGTTGCAAAACTTTCTTGAAGCTAAAGCTGAAATAATGGCCAAAGGAGGAGACGGCAGCGCTCAGGACATTTATTATCCCTCAAAGAAGACAAAGTGGGAAGTACGGGCATCTTTTGGATATTTGAAGAATGCCGAGGGACAGCTGATAGAAGACGGCTATCCTGTTTGCAGCACGTGCAGAAAAAGTGTCTGTGAAAGGCAGCAACGCTTCAAATCTCATGACACATCTGCGTGACCATCACCCACAACTCTACAGTCAACGCAAGGCAAGCTAACGTTAGCGTTTTAGCTAAAATGCGTGATCCGAGGATTTGGGTTGAGGGAGAATGCAACGAGTCGCTATATAAAGCAGCCGCAGCGCCGCTGCCTGCATATAAACCGTGTCGCGGACACCGCCATGTTGAAATGACGCTATGCATTACGGGGCTCCCAGGGGCAGATAAGAGTTGGTCTCTCTCCGAGAATAATTATGAATTTAACAATGATTACTGCCTGGTGATGACATTTTCCCACATCTGCAAAGCTCACTGGAAGGACACAAACCGAGGACAATATTTTCCTGATATAGGGTTTATTACTCAAGTAAGGGTAAAAAAGTATCTGATTAGAAGGCTACTTGAGTACTGAGTATCATCTGGTCTAATATTTTTAAATGATGACATCAAACAGACATAAAATAAGAAGTTATGGGCAAATATTGGTATTTTAAAGACTAAAGGGAAAAAATGTAAACAAATAAACAACATAATTACAAAATAACACATTTTAGGCTAAATTTAGACACAAGCTGAGGACAATATTTCCTGACATACAGGGTTTATTTAATTGTGTGAAAATGTAGCACGTTTAAAAAAAATACCGCGATAATACCGAAAACCGTGATCATTTTGGTCACAATACCCGTGAGGTTACATTTTCACACCGTGACAACCCTTGTTCACATTCACCAAAAGACGGCCGGTCCGGCCCGCTGACACACACGCGCGCGCAGAACTCAGCTCGCATATCCGCAGCTTTTCTGCGTAGTTTAGAAGGACGAGTTGTACCAGCGTAAATAGATGCCAAATTGCGTGCTGGCTACGCAAAATGCGTACAGGTTGGCGGGTCTGCTAGAGCTACTGTCAAAGCCATATCTCTCACCCCTATAACAGTTAGCTGCTTCTGGGACCCTGCTAGCCAAGCTCTGGGGTTACGACCACAGCACTGTCAACTTTAAAACTGCTCCTCTGCACCGCTGCAAGGGGTTTTGGACTCCGTCTCCTAATAATGCTAGAAAAGCTCTAGAGAAATGTTCAGTGGCTATACAGTTGTGGTCAGAAGTTTACATACACTTGTAAAAAATATAATATAATGGCTCTACTGAGTGTCCCGTTATTTCTAAAACTCAGATTTTTCTCTGATAGAGTGATTGGAACAGATACTTCTTTGTCACAAAAAACATTCATGAAGTTTGGTTCTTTAATGTCTTTATTATGGGTTAACAGAGAAAAGTGATCACATTTGCTGGGTCACAAATATACATACAGCAACATGAACTAGCAATTTTGGTGACTTAGAAACGTGTCAGTGAACTGAGCTTCATAGCATGGCCTCTTAACTTCTTGTGAGTGATTATGAGTGACTACAGCTGGTGACTTCTCTTAGGCCAGGTAAATAGGGCTCATTTGATACAAACGCCCACAAACGCTACAATGGGAAAGTCAAAGGAGCTCAGCATGGATCTGAAAAAGCGAATTATTGACTTGAACAAGTCAGGAAAGTCACTTGGGGCCATTTCAAAGCAGCTGCAGGTCCCAAGAGCAACAGTGCAAACAGTTGTTTGTAAGTATAAGGTGCATGGCACTGTTTCATCACTGCCAAGATCAGGAAGAAAACGCAAGCTATCACCTGCTGCTGGGAGAAAACTGGTCAGGAGGGTAAAGAGTGAACCAAGAATCACCAAAAAGCAGATCTGCCAAGAATTAGAAGCTGCTGGAACACAGGTGTCATTGTCCACAGTCAAACGTGTTTCGCATCTCCATGGACTGAGAGGCTGCCGTGCAAGAAGGAAGCCCTTGCTCCAAAAGCGGCACCTTAAGGCTCGACTGAAGTTTGCTGCTGATCACATGGACAAAGATATGACCGTCTGGAGGAAAGTTCTGTGGTCAGACGAAACAAAAATCGAGCTTTTTGGCCACAATGCCCAGCAATATGTTTGGAGGAGAAAAGGTGAGGCCTTTAACCCCAAGAACACCATGCCTACAGTCAAGCATGGTGATGGGAATATTATGCTGTGGGGCTGTTTTGCTGCCAGTGGAACTGGTGCTTTACAGAGAGTAAATGGGATAATGAAGAAGGAGGATTACCTTCACATTCTTCAACATAACCTAAAATCATCAGTACGAAGGTTGGGTCTTGGGCGCAGTTGGGTGTTCCAACAGGACAATGACCCCAAAAACACATCAAAAGTGGTAAAGGAATGGCTAAATCAGGCTAGAATAAGGGTTTTAGAATGGCCTTCCCAAAGTCCTGACTTAAACCCCATTGAAAACATGTGGACAGTGCTGAAGAAACAAGTCCATGTCAGAAAGCCATCAAATTTAACTGAACTTCACCAATTCTGTCAAGAGGAGTGGTCAAAGATTCAACCAGAAGCTTGTGGATGGCTACCAAAAGCGCCTAATTGAAGTGAAAATGGCTAAGGGACATGTAACCAAATATTAGCACTGCTGTATGTATATTTGTGACCCAGCAAATGTGATCACTTTTCTCTGTTAACCCATAATAAAGACATTAAAGAACCAAACTTCATGAATGTTTTTTGTGACAAAGAAGTATCTGTTCCAATCACTCTGAGAAAAATCAGAGTTTTAGAAATAACGGGACACTCAGTAGAGCCATTATATTATATTTTTTACAAGTGTATGTAAACTTCTGACCACAACTGTAAGTAAGCCAGCTCCTTGTACATTATGATGGTGAATACACTAATAGACACAAACACACACCTGGACAGGTATTCTTATTACAAGCGATGGCACAAGCCTCCAGAACCTTTTCGGCTCGTCCTCCATCAGTTCCTTTATTACGCAAGTCCAGCAGGATTAGATGGTTGTCAGAACCACCTGCAGGAAAAAGGAGAAACAGACCAGCGCATTAAAAATGTCTGCGGCTGTGTTTTAAAGTTAGTTCACGTGACTCAACATCAACGCAGAATTAGGAATGAGACGATGTTGTTTTTTCCCTTACCGGTGACAATCTTGTAACCCAGATCCATTAGAGCGCCGGATAAAGCTTTGCAGTTGGCAAGAACCTGTGACTGGTAGGCCTTAAACTCTGGAGTCATCGCCTGTTTGAGAGCCACAGCCACACCTGACGAGGAAAAACATTTAGTTGATTGAGACTGATGCTGACAGAAGTCAACGGCCGTCAAGATGAAAGAGAAAATTCCAGAACAATGAGGACACCTGCAATCGCATGGTTGTGTGGTCCTCCCTGCAGCCCTGGAAACACGGCCTGGTTAATCAAAGACTCCAAGTTGTAGAGCGTCTCCTTTCCTTTGGCGTCTACGCTCCGTACACCTGATGGAGGGGGGGAGGAGTCAAACAGAAGCAAAATAAGATCTAGGGGTGTACTAAAGCTGATTCCACGTCTGTTTATACTCATAAAAGTGCTCCAATCCTACAGAACCTGATGGCATGGTGCAGTAATGCAGCATAAAATAAATCCAAACCACTTAAAGCAACACTAAAGAGTTTTAACACTTTAAGCCATTGCTTTCAAACTGGTTTTGGTGATTCTTCAACAATAACCAGGAGCAGCTTCACAGTGGACAGCACACTATAGCCAGCTGCTGGTGGGAGGTCTCTACCTGCTTTACGACAACAGGTGTTAACTGTGCCTATAGCTAATGTAAAGGCTAGCAGTCAGCTTTTCCAGTTCGACGACTGTCAAAAAAAAGAGATGAAGTCGTTGGAGATGAAGCAAAGAGCTTAAAACATAGTGAACATCGGCGCAGCCTACGCTAGTTTGAGGGAGCTAAAGGAGGCTACAAAATCACAGACTGATGATGGCCTGGCTTTGTTGCTACTGGACTTGTAATCAACAATATTGTTTTGCCCAACAAGGTGGATCCTTTTACTTTGTGGTTTGTTTTAGTATTAGCCGGCTCATGTTGGTGTTAGCTCGTTGTTAGCGCCTGTATGTCAGCTGATGCTGCTTCTTTCTTTTTTTTTAAAGAAACACTAAAAAAGTTTTGCTTTAAAAAAAAATCAGCGGCTGACATACAGTCACTGAGCAAATTGTTTAACAGCAGCATGACTTTAGGAAGTTTTTTTAAGGAGTGTAATGATGTGTTAGTACAGCGTGGGCCTGTACTATAAAGCTACGTTAAAACCAAGCACACCATTGTTTTTCTTGTGAAATTCCCAATAAGTTTGATGTGTCACATGACCATCTTCCTACTGAAAAAAACAAAAGTTGGACCCAAGATGGCCGACTTCAAAATGGCCACCATGGTCACCCATCTTGAAAAGTTTGCCCCCTTACATATACTAATGTGCCACAAACAGGACGCTACTATCTCCAACCACTCCCATTTTATTAAGGTGTATCCATATACATGGGGCGACGGTGGCACAGGAGTTAAGTGCTCGCCCCGTAATCGGAAGGTTGCAGGTTCGAGCCCCGCTCAGTCTGTTGCTGTCGTTGTGTCCTTGGGCAAGACACTTAACCCACGTTGCCTGCTGGTGGTGGTCGGAGGGACCGGTGGCGCCAGTGCTCGGCAGCCTCGCCTCTGTCAGTGCCCCCCAGAGCAGCTGTGGCTATATTGTAGTTCATCCCCACCAGTGTGTGAATGTGTGTGTGAATGGGTGAATGACTGGTTGTGTTGTAAAGTGCCTTGAGGGGTTCCAGGACTCTAGAAGGCGCTATATCAAACACAGGCCATTCACCATATAAATGGCCCACCCTGCACACTTATTAATACTCAAGTACTCAAATGTAACTAATACAGTGTATGTCGTTTCCTTTATACCTTTCCTATAAAAGATGAGTCCAGCACGGCAGCCGCGCAGCGTCTTGTGAGTCGTCGTGGAAACGATGTCACAATGCTCAAAGGGTGAGGGCACCACTCCGGCAGCCACTAGTCCACTGATGTGAGCCATGTCCCCCATCAGGTAGGCGCCATTCTCACCAGCAATCTGCTTCAAGCGGGCGTAGTCGAGGTTGCGAGAATAACAGCTTACTCCTTAAAAGGGAGGAAAAGTTGTAAGTTTCTCTTGTGCAAGTATAAAGGATCATCAGATATGTTAAAGGCCCCCTGTGTGAAATCCATTGAAGTCATGATGAAGAAATGTGACTCTTTAGCGCCGTGCAGTTCAGAGAAAGTATTGCAGCTACGGTGGCCCACTCGTGAGCTTGACTGTATGATCAGTTTGTAACCTGTGTAGCCTAACCCAAACGAAGCTTAAAACAAGCTACTCGACGTCTTTAAAAAAGCATTTATAATTCTGACGGTTTTATCAGCCTACCAGTTCTGAAGGAAGCAGCTAGTTCTGTTAGATCTTGAAGCTGTCACGATTCGCACACAGAGGAGGGGTGACGTCAGCCGGGAGGTCAGGTGTTGTGAGAAATTGTGTTCTCCTGAAATATTCTGTCCCCCCGTGTCGGGAGATCGCACTTCAGGCTATTTTCACAACATTTGTGATAAACCTTTACGGTAAAAATGATGTAATGTAATGTAATAATGTTATGCTTGTGATTTTTTATCTATATTTCCTCCTAAAAACAATAAAAAAGATACAGTAAAAACTTTCTTGATAACTCTTTTGCAGCAAGCTTAATTATCATTTTTGAAAGTTATTTAAAAAGATGTAATCTCACTCAGTTTAACATCTTTTATTTGAGGTAGTTTAGTCCTCATTGTGGACAATAAGTTCTGTGGATTTGGAAATATTTGCCCTTGACTGCCTGAGGGAAACAGAATATTTCAGGGGAACATAATTTCCCACATCACCCGTTTCACATGGATCACAGCGCCTCGATGTAAACAAACTGGCTGCCGCTACCAGCTTATATGGATATGGAGCGATCACTGGCTGGTCGTTAGCCACGGCTGGTTCAGGAGTGTTGGTGAGCCGGGGACACGCTGTGGACATCAAGTGAACAACGCTGACTTAGCCACCAGCTAATCATGTCTCACAGCTGGCGTGGTGGAGATGGACGTCACGAGCTACTGGTTAGCCATGGCTAGCGCCGGGGAGACGCTGTGTATGCTGCGCTTAAACTCCAAGGGATTACCAGCAAAAGGAGACCCAAGTCTAATTCTAACGTTTGAGAAGAAGCCCTCTGAGTCGGAACGTCTCAGTAAGGCGTGGAGAACTCTGTTAACTGTTCTGTGACTGTTAAGAGTGTTGTGGAGATAAACAACGCTGATTTAGCCACTGGCTAGCAGACGCGCGCTGGAGTGTGTTGGGAGAGACGGCAGGCTGCGGGAAGAGAGGAGACTTGAGTAGAAGGACTTTGGAACGAACACGTTGGGACCGGATCGGGAGTTCTGGTACTAGGAAAAGACGAATGAGCAACTTGTGGTGAGTTTGGAAGTAGGGCTGAACGATCTATTGTTTTTGGACCGAAATTGCGATTTCAAACGGCACAATCACGTGACCGTCAAAGCTGCGGTTTTGACTGATCCAGGATCAGTTGTGTAACTTTTTTTTTTATCATCTGGGGTTTTCCCCCTGTGTTATGGCGTTGGCAAAAGCCAGCGCAGGGTGGGGTGTACCATCCAGAGCCGAGCCCAACTCCACAGCTGCCAGAGCTGCATGTTCAGGTTATTTTCCCTGTTTTATGTTCCCACACACAGCGCTGCTAGAGCCGATAATAATGAGCCCGGGACAGAGAGAGAGAGAACGTAGGGGGTAAGGGAGAGAGAAAGAGACTCCTCCCACTTCAGAAGGTTCAGGCCGATTTCTAAAGCTCGGTTTATGCTTCATCAGCGCGAGTGCGAAGTCGCGCACTTTAGTTGACTCGAAAGCTCAACTTCTCTTTTAAAAATGGTTTGAATGTTTCTGACGGCACACGTTAGCTCAAACAAGCTAAGGTGTCAGAATGCGTGCGTCTCTCTCACGGAGCTGACGTTTTAGTGAGGATTAACTATCGGACGGCTTCGGCCTGCCGCGGTAACGCAGGGAAAACTGTTTATTTAATACATGTAAAAGCTGTTCCTACCTACAGATCTCCTCCATGCATTTCTGGAGTAGAACATGTTTTTATAAAGCTCCTCTCTAGATAAAAAGCACAAGATGCTTCACAAACACATAAAAAAAATATAAAAAAAAGGTAATAATGGGAGAAAATATTAATAGCTTTAACGGTTTTTATTGTATGATTAAATAGTAAATATTATTGTGAATGATTTGTTGTACTAGATTAGAAACTAGACCATCTTTTCACTTCATCTACAGGAAGGCTTGGCAGGCTAATGTTGGATCTTTGTTTGCAGAAAATCGTGAATTGTACCAAAATCGCAATTTCTGCGAAAAAAGTTGCAATTCAATCTTTTTCTAAAATCGTTCAGCCCTATTTGGGAGTCAGAGACACTAATCAGAGGCTGGTGTCCAGATAATAGCGGGCGGGGATCTGAACATATGCAGCTTCAGGGTCTGAAATAAAATTTTTGACTCACCAGCCAAGTTGGCTGGTAGATGATGAAAATCTACCGGCCAAAATTCTGAATGATTTAGATCTACCTAAAGCATGTTATTCTATATTATGTTGATTCCAAACAGAGTGACAAAATAATTAAAATATCAATTAATAAGAAAAACAACTCTTGTCATTTTACTATGTATTTATTTTTTAGAGATGTTTTTATGAACTCTTTAATTGAAATCTAGTCAGACTCCGTGTTTTCTCTGACATAGCCATTAGCGCAGAGACCGTGGGTGTCACCAGTAGACTCAGATTGAGCCCGGGACATGGATGTGCAGGCAATATGGCATTTGCTGTTCTCATGTTCTCGAATAGTCTCAAGCTTCATTGTCTTATTTCCTATGACAAACGAGTTGTTACAGTTATTCTCTCGAGCGTGCTGGCGGCAAACCGTGCAGCTCATTTGCGCAGATTCTGGTTCATAATGTAGCCATTGTCTCATGACTCCGCCATCTCCAGTTCGCCACTTTTCACAAAATCTTCTGGTTGCCACTGGTCCTGGTGGTTTTTCTTCCAGTTCGACGAGTTTTCTTTTGGAAGGCTGGCTGACTCCGGTTAAAAACCGCCACATTTCACCGCTAGTTTAACAAGAAGCTAACTGCTAACTTGATAAACTGATTGAATGGGATAGGCGGAAATGAAGTTGGATGCAGTGCTCACGTTTCGCGTACGTTGCATGCAGGCGGGAAGAGTATCACAGAAATCAATGGAAGATGACTGATAAAAATAACTAATTTGGTGCAAACATTTACTCGCTATGTGGCAGACAGAGCTCAAAAATTTACTCGCCAAATGGAGCAATTTGCTCGCATTTGGCGAGTGTTAATTTCGGACCCTGTGCGGCTTCCTTTGTTAGACATGAAGAACTGACACCTTTTATGTGTGTTTTGATTTAGTTGTTTTTTATGTCAACAAGTACAGCAACGGTGCAGCTATTTTCTGTTTCTTAGTTGAATTGGCAGACCTCATGCTTCCAGGGCGCACTGCTGCCCTCTGCTGGTTCTTTCAGGTTACAGTCTCAGTCCAAACGGGTAAGGTGGAGCTCGTATGTCTCTAAACAGCTACTGTATTTTAAGATAGAGCGTCGACCACAGTTTATGTATATAAAAACGTATAATTTCAAGTTGAGAGGGCTATTTAGAATTCATACTGGTGAGAAATATTAGCGGAAAAGGACAAGTTTGTGAACTGGAAACACAGGATTTGATAGTAAACAGGTAAAAATATCACACACTGGGCCTTTAAAGAACCTGCGATGATGAGCCTGGGGTGGAAGAGCCGCGCGTTTTCCTGCAGTCGATCATAATCAATGTAGCCAGTTTCTGGGTTCACCTGAGAACAGACACAGCAGACGCTAACAAAGGACCAGGGTACCCCTCAGAGCCACATCTGAAACAAACCAACCAAGCTGATTCATCACAGATCTAAATTTTTTTTAACCACACGAACTTTAACCTTGAATTCATGTAAACAAGCTGCACAAATTGCATCACCAGTAGTAAATAATTAACTACTTCCACACTACAGTCAGACCTTTACGGGAACATGGAAGGTCTGAGATCAGATCCCCTCTAACTCCTGATGGTCTACTTCTTGTCCTTCGTGAACACTTGGTTCTCATTAACATACATAATAACATACAGTGATACAAGCCATAATTATAATGATATAATTTAATAATATAGCGATATAGTTACCCTTTGGGTTTGCGGTTAAATGACCTCAAGGCTGCTGGTTTTTAAACCATAATTAAATGTTTTTTTTTGTCCAAGTTAACAAAATCACTCAAAACTTTAAAAAGCTTCCTTCAACATTCCTGAATGTTAAAAATATACATGTTAAAGCACCTTATATGGCATAGACTCAAAGAAGATGGATGTTGCAGATATTTTCTTCTTATCAGTCATGAATCCGTGTGTCAGGTGACCCCCATCAGGAAGATCCAGACCCATGATCCTGCCATGTGGCTCCACAACAGCCGTATAGATGGCAAAGTTAGCAGGAGAACCTTAAAGAGAACCACATCAAGACCAAAATATGAATCAAGAACAGAGTAAGGAAGTGTGGAGCTACACGACGCATCTGTGTCTGGTACCTGAGTATGGCTGCACGTTGACTCCCCATTTATCAGCATCCAGACCAAAGGCCTCCAGCGCTCTCTTCTGACAAAGACGCTCTAGCTCATCAACATGCTCTGTTCCACCATAATACCTGTTAATCAGTAAATCTGTATTTATCAATCGAACATCTTTTCTTAAAAACTGATCCAACCAGATTTGGCTGTGCACCTCTGTCCAGGATACCCCTCAGAGTATTTATTGTTCATGCAGGAACCAAGAGCCTCGAGAACAGCTCTGCTGGCGAAGTTTTCAGACGCTATGAGCTCCAGACCGTATATCTGTCTGTGCTTTTCCTTTTTAATGATGGAAAACACCTGAAAAACAACAAAGTCATCAATCCACAATAAGAAATCGTCCACAGAACTAAAATAAAGTATTGTTATATTAAAGATCACAAACCTCAGAGTCATTGACGGCCAGAGGCTCCAGCAGCATCTTGTTGTGCGAGTCCCAGGTTTCTTTGCTCACACTGTGGCCGTTTGTTAGAGACATGGCTGCTGCTGACTACCTGTCACACGTGGAGGTAATCTAAAAGAGATGGTAATCTTCAAGGATTACACCACATATATAAATACATAAAACTGTACAAGTTTTGTAAGAGAGTTGCTGCAAGTCAGTCATTAGTATAACTTATAACTCTTCTTTTAGACTTTGTAAAGCCTGAAATAAAATGCCCCAAAATGCAAAATCAGACTAGCTGTAAGAAAGAAGTGTTGCACCCTCTCAGCTGTGGTCTGATGCTGCCTCAACAGTTAACCTGTGTCTCATTGCATAAATCTGTAACCTAAAAACCTGCCAAAATTCTTATCTGCGTGGAAACGCTCTATAAAGTTAGATCCGTAGTGTGTCTGAAGCGGTTTGTTCCGTCTAACCAGATAAAACTCTGCACATGGCAGTCATGCTGTGTCAAAATCAACACACAGGTCCGATTGTGTCAACCCGGTCAAACCTGAATGGTGGGCTGCGGAAAAAAGTCACACGAGTTTAAAAATAGATATTTAAATAAGGTCAAAATAAGTTAGCAAAACTGTTTTACCAACTACAACAGCTAAAGCTAGTGCCATTTGCCAGCAATACCAACGTTTAACATTATTTTCATTACATTTATTTGCTGAACACAAAGAGGCGTAACTTACTATTTAGTATTGGAGAATCACGCCGCGCCGATCAGCTCAACTGGAATCAGCAGATCTCCAGACTAGACTCCTCCCACCACAGAGCAAAGTCCGCGAAACTTTCTACCAATCAGCGCTCGGGTATATTCTTCTTCGCGGCTTTAAAAGCTGCACGTCCGCCGCATTACCGCCATCTTCAGCTCAAAATCTAAATCGTTGCAATGTTGCAGCGTTATTTTTGACATTTCATGTGTAAAATACGTTAAAAATCAAGTGTAAGAAACTTCTCAGTCCTGAGTGGGAAAAAAGAAAGAAAGAAAGAAAGAAAGAAAGAAAGAAAGAAAGAAAGAAAGAAAGAAAGAAAGAAAGAAAGAATGAATCACGAGGCAATTCTAAATGAGAAAAGTTTTTAAACTGTGATAAAAAATAATAATGGAAGGAAAGGGAGAGAGAAAATGAGTAGGAAAGAGGGAAATCAGTGGATCTGGGGAAAGGCGGAATTAGAAAGAGCAGAATAAGAAAAGGGTGGTGACAAAGGTCAGCTTATTAAAAAAACTGATATTGCAATACTAGCAAAACACAGCATAATATGAATTACTGTGTAGAGGTTTGTGCAAAGGTAAATCTGAAAACACATTAAAGTTCATTAACTTATTTAGATTTTTAAAAATGTTAAGGTAACACAGAACACAAGTATATTTCAGAAGAATGATAAATGATAAATGACCCGCACTTGTATAGCGCCTCTCAGAGTAAGGACTCCAAAGCGCATTACACTACAGTGTATCATTCATCCATTCACACACTGATGGTGATGAGCTACGATGTAGCCACAGCTGCCCTGGGGCGCACTGACAGAGGCGAGGCTGCCGAGCACAGGCGCCACCGGTCCCTCTGACCACCACCAGCAGGCAAGGGGGGTTAAGTGCCTTGCCCAAGGACACAACAGCAGAATTCTCTGGCCGGAGCCGGGATCGATCCTGCAACCTTCCGATTACTGGACAACCCGCTCAACCTGTTGAGCTACTGCTGCCCCAAGAACATGTATAAGTGTGTGTTTATAGTCTCATCCGAATATCATCCTTTTTACTCTGCTCATCCGGGGTCGGGTCACAAGGGCAGCAGCCCAAGGTGAGAGGCCCAGACTTACCTCTCCCCAGCCACTTGGGCCAGCTCCTCCAGGGGAATCCCAAGGTGTTCCCTGGCCAGGCGAGATTCATAATCCCTCCAGTGTTTCCCGGGTCTTCTTTTAGGTCTCCTGCCGGTTGGACGTGTCCAGAAAACCTCACCAGGGAGGCGTCTAGGAGACACCTCAACTGGCTCCTCTCGATGTGGAGGAGCAGCGGATCTACTCCAAGCCCCTCCCAGATTACAGAGATTCTAACCCTATCTCTAAGAGAGAGCACAGCCACCCTGTTAAGAAAACTCATTCTGGCTGCTTGCATCTACAATCTCATTCTTTCGGTCACTACCCAAAGCTTGTGACCATAGGTGAAGGAAAGTAGTGACCGGTAAATTAGGCTTATACTTAAATTAGGATTATAGTATCCTGTGACATCTAATCATGAATGAAGGGTTTGGCTATAGGGGAGGAGATCATTTGCTGTAAACGATTAACAAGATCAGTCATATCTATATAATGGAACAAGATCTTTTAAGTAATTTAAACATAGCCTTGTACATTGGGGTTAATATTGTATGCTATTTATTTATATTTACTAAATTGAAACAAAGCCAAAATGGAAAGGTTTTGAGTAAAAATAAATACTATATCCATTCTTCCTGCCTCCATAGAATTTCATGGGGAAAGTACCAGGCAGATGCTGCTGAGGAGAAGCTTAGACAGATGGTTGGTCCGGTGCCGTGGTTCTCAGTCCTGGTCCTGGAGGGCCGGTATCCAACACATTTTAGTTGTCTCTCATCAGGCTCTGCAGAAGCCTGTTAATCACCTGCTGATTTAAATCAGGTGTGTTGAAACAGGGTTAAAACTAAAACACGCTGGATACTGGCCCTCTAGGACCAGGATTGGGAACCACTGGTCTGGAGCATACAGGTGTGTGTGTGTGTGTGTGTGTGTGGCATGGCCAGCTCCAGCTCGTCTTGCCCGGAAACGGCTCTTTCTGGAACGAGGTGGGCAACTTCAATCTTCGAGAGAGCATGTTTTAGTTTTTTCCCTGTTCCAACACACTTGATTCAATCACCTGCTGTTTAAAATCACGTGTGTTAAAGCAGGGAAACCACTAAAACATGCCCTCCAGGAACAGGATTGCCCAGTCCTGTTCTGGAAGGTACCTAAACAGTCAAAGAATAAAACTGCTGAAGTTGCTTTAAGCGAGAAGGATTTTGGGCAAAGAACTTCATGAACATGTTTCGAATCAACTATAAAGCCATAATAACTTGACATGAAGTCCTAATACAGGTGCTGGCCAGTAAATTAGAATATCATCAAAAGGTTGAAAATATTTCAGTAATTCCATTCAAAACGTGAAACTTGTACATTATATTCATGCAATGCACACAGACCAATGTATTTCCGATGTTTATTACGTTTAATTTTGATATTTATAGGTGACAACCAATGAAAACATCAAATCTGGTATCTCAGAAAATTAGAATATTCTAAAGGCCAATGAAAAAATGTTTGTTTCTCTAATGTTGGCCAACTGAAAAGAATGAACATGAAAAGAATGTGCATGTATAGCACTCAATACTTAGTCGGGGCTCCTTTTGCCTCAATAACTGCAGTAATGCGGCGTGGCATGGACTCGATCAGTCTGTGGCACTGCTCAGGTGTTATGAGAGCCCAGGTTGCTCTGATAGTCGTCTTCAGCTCCTCTGCATTGTTGGGTCTAGCGTATTGCATCCTCCGCTTCACAATACCCCATAGATTTTCTATGGGGTTAAGGTCAGGCGAGTTTGCTGGCCAATCAAGGACAGGGATACCATGGTCCTTGAACCAGGTGCTGGTGGTTTTGGCACTGTGTGCAGGTGCCAAGTCCTGTTGAAAGGTGAAGTCTGCATCCCCATAAAGTTGGTCAGCAGCAGGAAGCATGAAGTGCTCTAAAACTTCCTGGTAGACGGCTGCATTGACCCTGGACCTCAGGAAACAGAGTGGGCCAACACCGGCAGATGACATGGCACCCCACACCATCACTGACGGTGGAAACTTTACACTGGACCTCATGCAACGTGGATTCTGTGCTTCTCCGCTCTTCCTCCAGACTCTGGGTCCTTGATTTCCAAAGGAAATGCAGAACTTGCTTTCATCAGAAAACATAACTTTGGACCACTCAGCATCAGTCCAGTCCTTTTTGTCCTTGGCCCAGGCGAGACGCTTCTTGCGCTGTTTCATGTTCAAGAGTGGCTTGACACACGGAATGCGACACCTGAATCCCATGTCTTTCATGAGTCTCCTCGTGGTGGTTCTTGAAGCGCTGACTCCAGCTGCAGTCCACTCTTTGTGGATCTCCCCCACATTTTTGAATGGGTTTGTCGTCACAATTCTCTGCAGGGTGCGGTTATCCCTAGAGCTTGTACACTTTTTTCTACCACATTTTTTCCGTCCCTTCGCCTGTCTGTTAATGTGCTTGGACACAGAGCTCTGCGAACAGCCAGCTTCTTTAGCAATCACCTTTTGTGTCTTGCCCTCCTTGTGCAAGGTGTCAATGATTGTCTTTTGGACAGCTGTTAAGTCAGAAGTCTTCCCCATGATTGTGGTGCCTTCAAAACAAGACTGAGGGACCTTTTAAAGGCCTTTGCAGGTGTTTTGAGTAAATCAGCTGATTAGAGTGGCAGCAGGTGTCTTCTATATTCAGCCTTTTCAGAATATTCTAATTTTTTGAGATACCAAATTTGGAGTTTTCATTAGTTGTCACTTATGAATATCAAATTTAAATGTAATGAACATTGGAAATACATTGGTCTGTGTGCATTGCATGAATATAATGTACAAGTTTCACGTTTTGAATGGAATTACTGAAATATTTTCAACCTTTTGATGATATTCTAATTTACTGGCCAGCACCTGTATGTCCTTTTTAAAGGGCTGAGCAAAAACTCTCTGTAAAGAAGTGAGGGACCTCCAGAGTCCTCCAGAACCACGTGAGACTAAAGAAGTCTAACAGGGAACAGCTACTGGCTTTCTGTTGTCCTACAAGCTGTGGAAGTGGACTAAAGACCGGTCCATCACACACAACTTTGACATTTTTTATAATTAATGCCATATTGGAATTTGTTGTGTTTGTGTATATTTTAGTTAAGACTTGAATTATTTTAAAATCTGGAAAACAATCATTTTTTATTATGTCCTAATATGTAAAATCTTAAAACTTTTTGCCAACATAACTTCATATTTTAGTAGGGGACTAGTTTCGGCTTGCTTCTAGCACCCCCTAGTGTCCGTTTAGTAGAACCGAAAGCAAAACCTATCTCCTTGCTGTGCGTTCGTCTTCATAGTACCTTGATCTAACAGCTGAAATGTCTTCTCAGCCTTCCTTAATGTCTACAGGAGTGATTCATCACTAAATTAAAGAGCAAGTCACCCCCAAATCTACTTTTTTTCCTGATAACTATATAAATGTGTGTCTAATTGTGCTGCAGACATAGTCAATAGTTTTGCACTTAAAAATATATAAAAATAAAAATTTTAATTTTCTGCCTAAAACTGTCAGTGTTGTGCCGTTGTCAGGTAAAAACTCTGCATTGTATTTGAATTTAAATCTGCCATCGCTATTGGCTAAGAGGTTGTTCTGATGTCACAATGTTGTCGCGAGCCTGTGTGTGTATATATGTTAGCGGCTCTGCCCTCTCGGTCTGCTAAGCAACAGCATTTGTTGCATTTTTCAAACAGGAAGTGGAGTAATATTCTGGTAGAGGGTGACTTGCTCTTTAAACTAATCAGCTGCGTTTATGATATAAAACAGGGGTGGGGAACCTTTTTGGCTGAGAGAGCCATAAAAGCCAAGTATTTTGAAATGTATTTCCCTGAGAGCCATATATATATATTTTTTTATACACTGAATATACTATATGTGTGCAATTTTAAATAAGACCAACATCTTCTCATCACCTCTAGCTCATTGACGCCAAAAGTGCCCTTTTTCGTCACGTAAGTACAAAAAGGGGGTTTCCCCTTTTCTGACTGCAGATCCTAATGCAGCGTAAAACTGACGCGATGGGATGTCCACAGCCGGGGCACCAAACGAGCTCATGTACCTCACCAGAACCTTATCCTCTTGTTATTTAACCTTCCCCTCACCCCTATCCTAACTTAACCAGCTTGCTAGCTAACACTTTACCCTTACAGTGACCAAGTGTTTGTTTCCCACATAAAATTAGTTGGGTTTGGACCGAGGCAATGCGAGGGCGAGGTTTCAACTCCCAAGGTGGAGGTTAGAAGTAGAGGTATTTGTAACCTCCCCCTCGCCAGATGGTATATTCCAACGTTCTGCTAGCCTGGGCTAGATTTATGCGTGAAACTTAGTGGTCCACTAAGCTTCACGCAGATCCATTTAACCAGTTCAGCAGCATAAATTCTTCCTATTTATAGCGCCCCCTATTGTTGAATCAAGCTGAAAATCAACAAATACGCTTGAATTGACTTTGGGTACGGTTGATATGAAAAGCTTTGTCAAAATCTTTTAAAGTTATACCAAAAAAACTTTTTCATTTCAAAAAAATTGTTTTAAAAAGTCACATTTCCAAAAATAAATAAAATATCAAAAATCCGTCCACAACGTTTGGTCAGCCGCTCTTCCCCTCGTCAGGCAAAGTTTTGATTTGATTGTGTTTGACGGCCGGGAGGAGTTAACGAAAGTATGTTTGACTTACTATGCTATTTCCTACTAATTAGCCTAAGTTTAAATATTTTTTCAAAATACTCATCTAAATTTGACTGCCTCAATGAACATACAGGATGAGATCATTTGTTTTTTTTACTGAAGAACTGGGGAGAAAATTGACCCAAACTTTTTTGGAGTACAACAGCGCCACCTATTGGATCAAATTCAAAAGATTTTCTGTGATTGTAGATGACACTGTTACGAATAAGAACTGTAACTTTCTTTGTAGAATATACATTTTTCATGAGTAAAGGTGAAAAATGTTAAAGCCCATAAGCCACGCCCATTTTTAAATCATTTTCAAAATATGGCTTAAGGGTCCGATAATTAACATCTGTGCCAAGTTCTGTGGAACTCTATCAAGCCCTTTTGCTGAAACAAACTTTTTGACTCTTTAGCGCCCCCTATTGGTGGATCAAAACAAAATTTAAGTAGAAGTTGCTTACAGCTCATACTTTGTAATAGTCTAAAGTCTCATCATCTAAATCTAAAACATTGTGGAGATATCATTAATTAGGACATGTGCTAGGTAGCGCACTGAATTTGACCATGTGTCATTTAAGCAAATTTAAATATTTCTGCAAAATTCTTCATCACAATTACTTAACTTCATCTATAGATCATATATCCCAAGTTTGAAGCTGATTTGATGAAAAATGACAGATTGGTGATTAAAAATAAGTTTAGCATTTTTTGCGATCTAGCAAAAAATCTAGTTAGGCGGAAATGGGCGTGGCCAATAAAAACGACATGCAGGATCATCCAAGGATCAAGGACATATAAAGTTTTTGACTGTAGGGCCTATGGTTTGGGAGCTAGTAGCTGAAAAGCATTGACCTTCGCAACAGCGCCACCTAGTGATTGCTGGTTATGAATTTTCAAATCTGAGTAGCAGTCAGGATTTTCTACCAGACTGCCATGTCAGATTTTTTTCTGGCATTTTCTGGTTCCTGCGCCCATATGGAATTAGCGGAGAAGAATAATGCCGGAAAAATAATGAAAAATCTGTACAAAAACAATAGGGTTCCCTGCCCGTTGGGCTTGGAACCCTAATAAACACGCTTCCATGGGTATCTGACTAGCACACCATCATGTGATCGTCATGCTGAGCCCAATGCTTTGGTGACAGGACTTAGAAATGCTGGAGTCAGGAGAAATCTACACACCACAGCAGCAAGAACAAAAAAGGTTTAAATCAGCCTCAATTTTCAGAGTCTTAGACGCTATCTTGGTAAAGTAAATATAATCGACTCAACCTTTTCGTGTCAGCAGACTCTTGCTCCTGAGGTTCAAACATCGGCTCTAACCCAGATCTCAGTTGTTTTCATTCCAGTCAAAACTGGTTTGGAATAACAGATTTCCTTCATAAAACAGAATCAAGACATATTTTACTGGAATAATATTGTTAATTTGAATATCTTTCATCAGTCTGTTATATACAATAAGATCTCCCCCCAAAAAAACAGTGCCAAAGCTCCGTCAGCAAAGTAGCAATTGTACAATGGTAAGTATAACACAATTTAGATCATGGGGTCGATTCCAAGTGCTCTCGTGTGTGGTTTAACTTCCTGGGGGGGTCGAGGCCTTTACGCCATGCTCCGACAATAACAAACCCCGCTGCGATCCTTAATCCCGTTCCCAAATGTTCATAGTGACGGTAACACTCTGCAGAGATCTCCCTTTAAAAATATTCAAATAAATATATATTGCGCCGGTCCTTGAACGAGTGAAAACGCTTCTGATGAATACTCTGCATCATTTCAAAGACATGGAGTTGACTCCTCTGGCTGCTGCCGCCGCCGCCACCACTGCTTCTTTTGCTGTGGGAGGAAACGGCAGAAACACAGAATTAGCTTAGCCGGCTGCTTTCTGGGACACAGAAACAGTAGAAGTGCCGCTGAAGGTCTGGAAGGAAGGCGGAGGAGATAAGAGGCTGGTCTAATGTCAAGATTACATTTAATTACTGGGATATTTGAGCCATTTTGAAGAATGATTGTGTAAAGTTATAAATTATTACTGCCTTACTTATTAATAATTACTCCATAAACAATGGTCTCCTAAACAGCCTCTGTTCAGTGAAATAGCTTTTACATCTAGTGCTTATTGGAGCTATTAGTTGTTTTATAACTTTCTCTGCAACCCTTCCTTCTCCGTTTATCAGCGAGCAGCAGAGGAAGGTGTCGCCCTCTGCTGGAGAGATGATGGGGACTGTGTCATGGGCAAGGGAGGCATGGGCAGACAGTGTCGCCCTCTGCCACCCACGGATAAACGGAGAAGGAAGTGATGCCGACAACAGCGGCGAGCTCTGAAGAAGGCTACAGCGTCAGTCAAAACATCAGCAAAATGTTGGATAAAGAACCAAGTAATGCATGACTGAAACTCAAACATTTCACTAAATATATATATTTGATCATTTTATTATTAAAAACTTGTAAAGATGTGATCAGACGCAAGTGACCAGATCGTTTAAGAAACTGATCGCTATTGGTTTATGTTTTTCCCACCAGAAAAGCTACAAAACAGTAATTACAATGAGAATCTGTACTGTCATGATGTCCTTGTTAATTAGGTTTTAAGCTAGGTTTGGTTTTAGGGCTCCTCGCAGCAACATTAATATTTACTGCTTGCTGTTCACTTAGTCACTTTCAGATGACTGTCTTTGAAACAAAACACACTTTCAGCACATCCTGCCTACCTTTTTTCTCATCTTCTTTCTTTTTTGCTGCCTCCTCTCTCTGTTTCCTGATGATTGCAAGGCGAGCGAGGTCGGCTTTGGCCTGGTCTGTCTTCCCAGCCAAATGCATCTTCATGTAGCGCTCCTTCGCTTTCTGCTTCTCGATCTCTTCTCTGGTCAGGAGAATGCGACACGTACAAACACTTTTACATTATGATGTGTTCCATAACTCTCCAAAATACTCTGTTTAATGCTGCTACAGTGGAACAGACACACACACCTCTCTCTCCTTGATAACTGTCGGGGCTCATCCAGCTCAATCTGTGCCACCTTCTTGGACTTCTGGGCCACTCTGTTTGGGTTCTCGATTTCGATCAAGCCCTCCACACCATGTTTCCTCCTCTGGAGACACAGTGTTAGAAATTAGCTGTGTGTGCTGTATATCTAAACAACTAAATATGTGTTTTAAAAAAAGTGTAAATGTTGGCTGTTAAGACCCACACCACCCCAAACTCAGCGTTAAATTATGGAAAAGGTCAGGACAAATCCAGGTCGAAGCAATAGGAACATTTTCTTCTTTATCTAGATGATGATTTTAGCCGAGTTGTGCTCAAGAACACTTTGATTACAGATATGATTCTGTTTCATGTAAGTACTGTCACTCACAGACAGACAGACAGACAGACGACAGACAGATGATAGATAGATAGATAGATAGATAGATAGATAGATAGATAGATAGATAGATAGATAGATAGATAGATAGATAGATAGATAGATAGATAGATAGATAGATAGATAGATAGATAGATAGATAGATAGATAGATAGATAGATAGATAGATAATCTTTATTGACAGACTCTTAGGTCCAGATAAAAAATATATATATATATATATTTAAAAAAACATTAAAAATAATTAATGAAAACAAATAGAACAAATCAAATAAAAATCTAAAAACTTACTATAAAGATGTTCCACACAATTAAGAGTAACCACACAAACACTTCAACCAACATTTCCTTATACTGGACAAACTGCTCACAGCAGGATCAGCGATTGCTAAAATGATACTGTTGGCAGAACTATCCAGTCGTTCTCTAAGAGTGATTATTAGTTTTCTTAAAAGAGCTTTAAAAGCACAAATTCCTGCTGTTACAAACATCTGCCTGGCACAGGAACGAGGTGAGCCTCCTTACCACATGGTGTGCTGACAACAACCTCTCTAAATGTGGAGAAGACCAAGGAGATTGTTGTGGACTTCAGGAGAGCACACACTCAGCATGCTCCTCTGACCATCGATGGTGTGTCTGTGGAGTGAGCCAGCACCAAGTTCCTGGGAGTGCACATTACAGAGGATCTCTCCTGGACGAACAACACCATAGTACTGGCTAGGAAATCACAGCAGCGTCTCTTCTTCCTCCGCAAACTAAGAAGAGCAAGAGCACCAGCCCCCATCCTGTACGCTTTCTACAGAGGCACCATCGAGAGCATCCTGTCGTGCGGCATCACTGTGTGGTTCGGAGCCCGCAACGTTTCCTGCCTTAAAACCCTCCAACGTATAGTGAGAGCAGCAGAGAAGATCATTGGGGTCTCTCTCCCCTCCCTACCAGACATTTACAGCACCCGCCTCACAAAAAAGGCCCTTCGCATTGCGGCTGATCCCACTCACCCAATGCAAACCTCTTCGAGCTGCTGCCGTCAGGGAGGAGACTGTGGAGTCTCAAGGCCAGGACCAACAGACTGAAGGACAGCTTTATCCATCAGGCAGTTAGGAAGCTAAACTCCCTCCCGGCTCTCCCCCCTCTCCTCTCTGTCCCCCCACAGTCTCTCTGAACTTGGTTACTTTTTTTTATACTAAATGTTTATTTGCTATCTAGCGAGAGTTTGAGAGTAACGTAATTTCATTTCTCTGTATGTCCTGTACATGCGGCAGAATTGACAATAAAACTGACTTTGACTTTTTACATCCTTCCGCAAACCTTTGACATCATTACTCATAAATTTTCTGGCCATAGAATCTGCCCTCATGATCTGCTCATTTTTTAATATAAAACGAACAGCATACTTGTATCTGGCATTTGCACGATTTCCTGTTTTTTCTGTTCAAATTCCAGACCTTGCTTAGGTCTCCCAATCATATCCCAAAGTTTAAAAGCTACCCGTGCTTCATCCTGATACATGGCAATATGTTCTTTCCAGCCAAGCCTGATATGAAGTTTCTGCTTATGCTTACCTTTGACATGAAATGGCTTACCACTTTCATACAAAACGTCCACTATATCATCATACATAGAGCAGAGTTCACGTTTATGTTCAAGATTCTTACAATTGACATCTTTACACAGGATAGCCTCTTTAGCCACACAGATGTAGTGTAGGTGGCAGTCGTTGTTACATTAATTATCAAGAAAAACACCTGAATGATTCCAGGACTTCAGCCTGAATTAATGTGCCTATACTGGATGAGACTGGGACCATGTGAATTTTGTGATTCCCATCCTGGATAAGAGAGAAGAGTGTCATGGAAACAGTGCAGTGGTACCGAGGAATCTTCATCATCGCTGTCTTCTGAGTCGGATCCAGGTAGCTTGTCTTCTGCCACGTCTTTCTGAGCTACTCCTTCACCCTCCTCCTCTTCTTGCTCATGCTGTGACACAAAAACAACACCATCAACAGGCAGGTAAGACTAACAATAACATCCAAGTCACCAAATTAAGCAGACTCATAAGCAACCCAAACACTCAAGGCCATCCGTGATGTTCATTCAAGTGAACAGGAGCCGTTCCAGATAGTTTTGTCTCTCATAGTTAGTAAAAAAAACATTTATTGTGAAATGGCAAAACACATGCTTCACTTGTGTGTAAACTGAATAAATAAAAATAATCCATTCACCTTTTTCCTCTCCTTTTCTGCCTTCATCTGAGCGTCTATCTCTTCAGGGCTAGTGTACGTGCGCATGCGACCCTTGTGGCCACCTTTTTTACCTGGAACAGAATGAAACATGACATCACACACGCACACCCGAATAGAAAAGACATACAGAGGTGGTAAACAGCCAACAGACAGCTGTCATACGGAACGGTTTATTTACTTTCTGTTAGCGGCGACTTGCTATTTTTAACACAAGTGGCAGTACACACGTACAAGTCAGCAGACGGTTTACTTTAGTACGCCGCTCCGCTGAAACCGTTTTCTGTTGTCGGCATGCCAAACGATACACACAAACGAGTTGTGACGCCGCCATGACAGAAAATACAAATGTTCTTACCTCCTTTTGGCATTTTGACAGACGAGGTATTTACTACAACTTGTGTAATAGGTAAAAACTAACAGGAAACATATATGTTAAGGCACCAGCACAAACTGACAGCTGGCTAAACTCAGACGCGATGAACTGCGGCTTCTTTGAGCGGGCCAAAGATTTGCCTGTCTAAAAATGTTATGTTCAGCAAATTTCTCCAGCTAATAGAAATGATGCCAGCTACATAAAAGAAAACATAACGTGTAAAAAATAACTCCTTGTTGAAATATTTACCTGTTAATGTCATTTTGTAAAGGGAATATTATTTTCTTTGTTTAACTTTTAGGCAAACCATCAGTGTACTAAAGTGATGCAATATGCCAGGAACAGTTAAAAACATCAAGCTTTTTTTAAAACATTTATTTTTTACTAAAGTACATCTTAGTTTAAAACCTGTAAATTGTATAAATTGAAGACAATATTTATAATGTTTTTGAAAAATGATTACAAAGATGTCAATTTGACTCGGTGACGTTATCAGAAACGGAAAAAACAAACTTAAGCCCCAACAAAGTGACGTCATAATCACTCGCCTAGAAGAGGCTTTAGCGAGAGGATCGAAAATACCAAAAGCTTTTTTTGTTGTTGCGTTTTGTACAAAACAGTCAAAATGCCCAAGGTAAAGAGAAGCCGAAAGCCACCTCCAGACGGGTGGGAACTTATCGAGCCTACTTTGGACGAACTGGATCAGAAAATGAGAGAAGGTTTGCTTTGCTAGCTTTTAGCCGAATGTTTAGTTTCAGTGAACGACGACATTGCTAAAAAAAGAGCCAGTCAATCCTGTTAAATACAGCTTGTGTTTGCTTTAGACATTTTGTTCGTTGTAAAAGTATCCTGCTTTTCCAAAAAAGAAATGTTTAATTGCTCACATCACCTTGAACGGGTGGATACCAGAACACAGATGTAATTTTGACTGTTTGGATAAATACCCTAAATCGTTTCTGTCTGTGTCTCAGCTGAAACAGAGCCGCATGAGGGAAAGAGAAAGGTGGAGGCCCTCTGGCCAATTTTCAGGCTTCATCATCAGCGCAGTCGCTACATCTTCGACCTCTTCTACAAACGAAAAGCCATCAGCAGAGGTAGACGGGACCAGCTTCATTATTTCATTCTTGTTTCTTTCATCAGTGGTCACCCTAGTGAACAGCTGCTGACGGGATACATAACCATCAACTTTGAACTCTTGTGTTTCTCCATAGGCTGCAACCCGCTGTCAGTGTATAGAATGACAAAATTATTCTTATAATATGAATCATCACATAATCAGTGTTGGGCAAGTTACTTCAAAACTGTAATGCATTATTTATTACTTGTTACCCTCATTTTAAAGTAATTCATTACATTACAATATTACTGATTTTAAAATGTAAGGTATTACACTACTTTTGCATTACTCTAAGTTACTTTCACCTCTTCAACTTCAACATGAATCTGGTAATCTGACGCTCAGTGAGCTCATGACATATATGTGGAAGGTGATGTGGTGTCTGAGCTAGGGTTGCTGTTAAAAACAGTCAGATATAATAACAGTGCTTTAAAATGATTGTTTATTAAATAAAAGCAACAACAATCTGTACTCTCAGCACGCTGCCATCTTATATTAACTGAGCAGGGAGTGAAGTGGTGGGGGCTCCAAGCCTATATTTGCCTTGGTCCCCAAACGCCTTGATACGGCCCTGGATGTGGGACTGACTTCTGAGGTGATCTGATTCTATCACATGTATAAATATTAAATGCTTATATATTATTGCTTTTCACTGGTAAAAATGTCTGTTGGGGATAAATCTACCTACTTTTTTTCTTGATTTTATGTGAATAATTTCCTGCCCTTTCTCTCTCTAACCTTCCTGCATGCTGCATGTTTTCTCCGTCTTCCAGAAAAACTGTTTCCTAGATTTCCTACTTTCTAACTAATCAGCCAAAGGGATCTACTGAACGCAAAAAAAAAAAAAAAAAAAAAAGCTTAATATGCACTTTGCTCCGACAGCAATGAGTTGAAATCACCGGGGCACAGATTATGAACTCAGCTGAAAAGTACATGAAGTACCAGAGAATATGCGCTGAAATAAACAATCGCAAGTGAATTATTTTGTTTTGGTGGAGCGGTTTTGTGAATATAACAGTGGCCGCGCGCAGAACGCAGCTGGAGTATTTGAGCCATTACCGCTGCGTCCTCTCTGCTCACAGAATGCCCGCAAAGCTGAGTCCATAAATGACGTCATATATGTGGATACTGGATCTTTTTTCAGGCTTCCTGCGATTCGATTTTTTAGGAAACCCACATCTTGATTCTGGGTTTAAAAATGCATTGTAATTACTGCGTTACTGACAATTGTACCGAGTAAATATTACCATTTACTTTTCCTGTAATGCCTTCCATTACCACATTACAGCAAAAAGCAATGCATTACAGTAATTAATTACTTTTGTACCGCGTTACTCCCAGCACTGCTCATAATAAATATTAATTTGGCAAATGCTTATTTGAAATAATTTCCTAATGGATGACATCAACCTGAACGACTTGTGGAAAAAAAATGGACGTACCATAAAACATGTGAAGCTTACAGAAATGGCTTGAATTTACCAGAGAACAACATAATAATCTCTTAATGCTCTGGAAGTAGCCTGAAGACTACAGTTTTTCAATAGAATGCAGTTTTTTTAAAGTTTGCTTTAGTTTTCCATTTTTTATTCTTAATATTTTCCTTTTGACATTTCATCTTGACACTTTTTTCCCTCCAAAGTGGCACGTGTTCTCCATTGTACACAAGTCATGCATGCAAGGATATATTTAAATATCTCCTATTATCTTGTGTTTTTATGTATCGGAACATAAACTGAACTAAAGTAGATTATTGTTTTTTTTTTGCAACATTACACGTTCAGAACTCATAGTTCCACAGTTGATGTAGAAAAACACCAGATCTGTTTCTTTAACCTGATTTTCCTTTCCTGGCAGAGCTTTACGAGTACTGTATAAAAGAAGGCTACGCAGACAAGAACCTGATTGCGAAGTGGAAGAAGCAGGGCTATGAGAACCTCTGCTGCCTGCGGTGCATTCAAACACGAGACACCAACTTTGGGACTAACTGCATCTGCAGAGTCCCCAAGAGCAAGCTTGAAGTTGTAAGTCGGACAGAATTGAAGCGTGTTTACGCCAGTCAGATGGGTCTTCATAAAGTATCTGTCTTCTGCAGGGGAGGATCATCGAGTGCACTCACTGTGGTTGCAGAGGATGTTCTGGCTGAGCTGCTGCTTTTGGACTCATCGTTTTGTTCCACATCCAGCCTTCACCCAAATGACCCCGAACCCTTTTGATTTCATTTGTCTGCTTCAGAAACCGTCATCTTTGTCTTTAAAGGGGATCAATGTTTTGATAGTTTTGTGTTTTAACACATGAGGGAATAAATAAAAAATGGGGCCATGTTTTAGGACGAGTTTTTCTTTAACACATAAAAAAAGAGAGAACTGTTTCTGGCTCAGACCTGTCATTCCAGCTCCGCCACACCCACAGTGGAGGTCCGTTCTGAAATGATCTGAAAAGCTTTTTTCTTTTTAAATGTCACGTCTTTCATCTGTAATGGCTCATTGTTATTATTCTAGTATGATTTAAAATAAAACATTTCAGGTGAATTTGTCTTGTTTTGAATTTATTCAGAGTCAGCCTTTCCTTAAACAAATTCTGATTTTTAAAGAACTAAACTGCTATATCAATGTTTAAAGGAGCTAATCAGACATGTTTATTTAGTTCCTGCTCACTGCAAATAAAGCTGTCATTTAAACATCTCAAATACATGAAAATCTTATGGATCTTCAAAATGCTGATAAATATCTATTACTGTTGTTTATACTTTGAAATATATGCATATTATATGTCATATTATTTAAGAATATATAAGATATTTAAATACTCCATCTGAGTACTTGAACTGCTGCTTTGTTATAAAAACAATGTGACCAAAATGTTTCAGTTTCACACAAATTTTCAAAAATATGCTAAACTCAGAATTGTAGGAGTATATTTGTTTTTTGTTTTGTTTTTTTACTTTTTTTATTAATCAAATAAATGAGCAGTCTCCCTCCAGCTGCTGTTTTCGACCCATGGTTCACATAATAAACTCATTATTGGGACAACGAGCCATTCATCTTTTTACGAATTCCCTTCCAGCAGCCAGACATCGTCGGTAATCTCTGTAAGTGGATTTGATCATCAGTTCTCTGGTAGTTCAAAGTTTTCCTGTTAACTGGATTTTGTATTTTACTGTTCTTTCTGAAGATTTAATCTGAGAGCATTTTGGGAATCGTCTTGTTTGTTAAAATTTTTGATATTTTTCATGAATGCAGCCAAAGAAAAGAAAATGAGCTGTGTCTTCCTGGCAGGATGTAGGTAACGGAGTCCAGGAGACACAGTTCAGTTATTATTGCTACACTCTGCTGATCAAGTATAAAAACTGACCATAAAACCTAGCAAATATACAAGAAACTGGCTTAAAATGCAGGACAAGTGTTGCCAAAAATCTTTGTTTTTTTTAGAACTGAAATAGTTTGAATTGTTTGTACAACTCTCACATCTCTGTGGAGGATTTTCTTCCACTCTTCTTGACAGATTTGTTTTAACTCGGGCACACTGGAGGGGTTCCAGCACAACTCTAGTGTTTAAAACTGTTGGTCTAGAACAGTGAACCCCAACTGGTGGCTCGAGGACCACATCCGGCCCGCCAGACCGTTTCTCACCGTTTTTACTGTTTTTTTAAGAGTGCCAGAACGTTGCGCGCTAGGATGATGTCAACGCCAAATCAACCAAAACAAAGCAGAGACTCGCCTCTTACATCAGGAAGAATCCGCGCTTTTCGAGCGTTATCTGTTCATAATCCGTTGTTGAATTGTGATCGGCAGAAGCTTTTCCGGTTCGCGTCTCACTTTTTTTTAACAGCAGCGGCCCAAAAAGATCTCCTAACACATGGATGTTCTGCTTCCTGATCACGTGACGTGTGACGTATGCGGATGAAGATCGGCTTTAGAGCTGAGATGTTTGTTCTCACGGTGCGGGGGCTCGTTCCGATGCCCACACAGTAAAAACATGCAAATGATGAATTTAGTCGTTATTGGCAGTGAACGAGTTAAGTGACAGTGTGACGCAGATCTGTCAGGCTTTTCTAATCCCAGGGTTTCACGGTCTGTTTTCTATCAGAAGTTAATGCAAGAGATAGGTGCAGGAGACTATTTTCATGTTCAGCCTTTATGAAAGAGTGACCGATTATGATCAGGAATCACTTTAAAACGATTTTTCAGTGTTCTGCACCTTTAAGTTATCACAAAAATCTGTAGTTATTAATGCTTAGGCTCCGCCCTCAGCAGGGGGTCCACAGGGGGATACAAGCTTCCCTCAGGCAGTGCCGGCCCAAGCCTTTGTGGGGCCCTAAGCAGGTTTTTTTGGGGCCCCCCATACCAACAAGCCAACACCAGATGATTCATCATTGCTAGGCTACACCTTTTGTGTAACATGCTTACCACTATTAGTGTCTTTTGTAATTAGCTTATAGCTTACAAGTGTTATTATTGCTATTGAATAGAACTTTATGGGAGAAGCAACCAACAAAAATGATCTTAATTTGCATTTTGAAATGCAGAGTGTTATTTAAGCGTGGTCTATTAATCAACCTCTTTGAATATAACATCAACAGACAAACACTGAATTTACAGTAAAAAAGGTAAGTTTATGATCTTTTATTTTTCAAAATTTAAATGTTTAAAATTTGCTGAACTACTAAATAAAACCAAATCACACTACATAATATATTTTTTTTTTCATGTGAAACATTTAGTTTGTAGTATTTAAAGTTATTAAGACATTTTTTCCTCTCCTGATCTTGGGGGCCCCTGGTGCTGTGGGGGCCCAAAGCAGTCACTTAATTCGCATATGCCTTGGGCCGTCTCTGCCCTCAGGGGGGCATTAGCCCACCCTGGACACCCCCTAGAACCACCTCTGTAGACCACCAGGAGCTCGCTTGTCTCACAGATGAACAAACACACACACTCACACAACCATAGGATGCGTCATATTGCTGCGCACATCAAATGTTTCCCACCAGCGTTCTGTTCCTGGCTTCACAGAATATTACTCATGACACCTAGAGCGCTTCAGTCACACAGACACCAGGGCTCTCGGTGTTTCAAAAGTTTAGCACTAATCTATTGTTTATAAGTGACATAAACCAGCTTCATCAAAGGGACACGAGGACATCGGGACATTCACATCGTGCTTTATTAAAATTACTGGCGGTGGTGCCATCCTGCAGTGCTGACGTGATGATGAGATACAGAATGGATGTAAGGACACTGGGTGACGGCATGTTCAGCACACAGCGGCATGCTTCGGGTTACATTCAGCTTCTGCATTAGCAGGACAACGGGTCATAAACCAAATGAAAAAAAGAAAACCTGTAATACTTAAACATTACATGCTGCAACAATTACCACAAAAAGGCTCGTTTTAGTGTGAAGGACTGCAGCCGTCATCTCACGTTGACCTTTTTCAGTTTCCAGCCTACAGGATTGTACCACGGTGGCTCTTCCTCCGTTATTGTTTGCTTCTTAGTGGCTCTATTATACTACAATCTTATAGTAATCTAATCAGAAACTCAGGAAAGCCTAACAAATATCCTTCTAAATCAATAAATTAGACACAAAACCAGCAAAGGTTTATTCATTAAAAGTTAGGCATCAGTCCTAAAGTCGTATTTAGGCTCTTAATTGCACAAGAATTTAAATATTTCATTCATAAAAACTGGATCTCCATTTAACATTAAAACTTAAATTATACCAACACATTGATCACTCTGGCACAAGACTGTCTCATGCTGACGCCACGACACTCTCACATGACTTTAAGACAACAGTGAGATTCAATACATTTAGATTAAATAGCTTTAGAGTCCATCAGCAGAACCCGATCACCTCTCCGCACGTCAACAGGACCAGAAAATCACGTCTTCCTTAAGAAGGCTCTTAGAGGAAACTGACATTTGTTTTTCTGCAGGAATGTGTGAAACTGCAAATTTAAGAAAATAAAATAACAATGTTAAAAAAGGCTAAGTTACTTTTCAGCAAAGGAAAATCTGTGTGATGTCTACAAAAGATGTCAGCACACGTGTGCGTGTCACAGTCATGTCGCCAAACACGTACGACTTGGATGAAGTCAACGATGACAAACCGCGCGGTGAACCTGTTGGGAAAAGCAGCACAGGCAGATGGCCGTGACGCTGGACGCTCTGAATGTGTGCTGAGGAGCAGAAGGGCCCGGACTCGAACCTGACTAAGTTTTTGGTTTCCTTCCACCCCTGAATCTCCACCACTGAGCTGAATCTCCACCACAGAGCTGAATCTCCACCACAGAGCTGAATCTCCACCACAGAGCTGAAGCTCCAGCACAGAGCTGAATCTCCACCACAGAGCTGAATCTCCACCACAGAGCTGAATCTCCACCACAGAGCTGAATCTCCACCACAGAGCTGAAGCTCCAGCACAGAGCTGAATCTCCACCACAGAGCTGAATCTCCACCACAGAGCTGAATCTCCACCACAGAGCTGAATCTCCACCACAGAGCTGAATCTCCACCACAGAGCTGAATCTCCAGCACAGAGCTGAATCTCCACCACAGAGCTGAATCGAAGGAGCGCAGCCGGTCTTCATCTGCTCAGATATGTGGGTGTCAAGAGGTTGACCATTATCTCAGACCTCCAGCCAGGCAGGAAAAGATAAACATGAATAAAACAATCAAGTCTGATTTCAGTTTTTGGTCCAATAAAAACCAGAAGAGTGATCGTGAGTAGTGCATTATTAGATTTTGTATAAAACGCTGGTGGTGTAGTCAAAACTAAAACTGCTCCTGTTTGCAGGCCACAGGTACTGCTGGGTGATGAGCTGACTCAGGTAAAGCAGAACCTGGCTGTCCCCCTTGTCCAGCCCCAGCTGCTCCTGCAGGAAGCTGCGGCGTCTGGACTCCACCACCTCCTGCCCCTCCACAGGGCTGACCGGCAGGTGGAGGTGGTGCGTGAAGGTGAACAGGAAGGCCCTTGCCGCCAGGCGACAGAGCGTGCTCTGGATGTGAAGGAAGAAGGTGGAGCCACGGCGGATGTAGGTGCGATGGTCGGCAATGTTGGCGAGTAGCCGGCCGCTGTAAGGTGGGCAGCGCAGGGTCTTCATGTCCACGTCCAGGATGGAGATGTAGCGACTGTAGCGGGACAGCGAGTAGAGCACGCTGGAGCCAACGGGAGATCCAACTCTGTGATTCACAGATAAAAACATTTATGATCAAAATCACTTTAACAAACCAGAGGAAAGTCCGGCTATTCGGAAGGAAAATAATATAGCTTGAAGTGCGTTTGTGAAGAAAAGTTAAGAGCAACAATGTTTTTACATAAAGATAAGCCTTTGAACAACCTCATTGACTGGATTGACATGCTAAGGGCTAGTCACAATAAAGTTAATTGCAGTCATCTTAAAACACATTAAATAAACACTAGTTTTTTTTTTTACTTTTCATCCTATTCAATGGTTACAAATAAACATTTATTTGAAGGCAGAAATTGTTATCGAAGCCAGATACTTGCAGCACTTCCATTTCTCAGTATTTCTGTTTGAATAAAGCCTGAGTCATGCTTCTGCGTCTGAGTCAGTGCGGATACATGCAACGCCATTACTCATCCTTGTGAGCCTGCTGGAGAGCCATCGCAAGGATGGACGGAGTCGAGCTCTCTTCTCTAAGCATCCGTCCGTCGAGACGGAGAATGCAAGCTTGTGATTGGTAGGGCACTGCTGTCGTCTACACCGCCGCCATTGCGCCCTCAAAAACATAAAGAGAGCCGCGGACAACTAGCAGCAGACACGGAGCAGTTTGAACAATACCTCGCGAAAAAACTCTAAAAATATTAACGTTTGATTCCCCCGTGACTGGAGGAGTGAAAAGATGCACAGCAAGCGTTTTTTTTTTTTGTGGACGGAAAAGACAGGAAACGTTGGTTTAGAGGTGGCGAGCGCATGAAGAGGTGGAGGAGAATGAGAGACAAATTTGTCTGTGTGGAAAAAGTTTCTTATCTACAAAAAACACAAATATAAACACACCATCTTGGACCGGACACATGACCGGATACCACAGAACAGCGCTACGCCCTCTGCTGTCCTGCCGGGGAATTGCTTTGCAGAAGTATGAGGGCAAAATGTCTCCGTCCGTGCGTGCGTGTCTCTCCCTGTTGGAGCTGACGGAGAAGTAGAAATCCAGCTTAACAGTGAATGCAAATGTTTATCAAGTAGCCTCGCCCTGAACGGTGGCACAGGAGTTAAGTGCTCGCCTCGCAATTGGAAGGTCGCAGGTTCGAGACCCGCTCAGTCTGTCGCTGTCGTTGTGTCCTTGGGCAAGACACTTAACCCACATTGCCTGCTGGTGGTGGTCGGAGGGACCGGTGGCGCCAGTGCTCGGCAGCCTTGCCTCCGTCAGTGCGCCCCAGGGCAGCTGTGGCTACATTGTAGCTCATCCCCACCAGTGTGTGAATGTGTGTGTGAATGGGTGAATGACTGATTGTGTTGTAAAGCACCTTGGGGGGTTCCAGGACTCTAGAAGGCGCTATATCAAATACAGGCCATTTTACCATTTACCATTTTGAACTACGACATTTTTATGTTTGCAGATGTTTTGTTCCTAGAGATGCTGGAGAACCAACAAGATCGATAGAACGAATGTTTGTTTCTTCAAAAAATGTAATTCAAAGAGAATCAGGTGGAACTATAACCACTTTAAAGGGATATCTGGGAATTTGGAAGCGTGTTCTTGTGTAAAAGTTATTAATAATCCATTCACAGGTAGCTGACGAGCACACTGGGATGGGAGGAGACTTAGGCTCCCTAAACCAGATCTTGGTGAAGAATTAACGCAACACCGGATGGAAATAAAGTTGGTGACGTTGCAGAAACTTATCGAAGCAGGGCCAGAGCGAATGCGAGTCATAATCAAAGCTGAAGGCGGTAAATATTATAGTGTCTGACTTTTTTCCTTTTGGTGGCAACTAGGAATGTCCTGATACAACGTTTTCACTTCCGATACGATATCGCAGCCTTCAGTATTGACTGATTCCGATATCAATCAGATACGATATCAGCACCAATCATACATACTTTTACCTATTTCGTAGTGTGGAATGTGTGAAAGGCTTCATCAAGTGATATTACTCCGTCGGAGAACAAGAGCCAATAACAGTAAGAATGAAATAAATGACTATTTTTCCTTAACTATTGGTTGCAAAAGCGTGAACCTTAATGTTCTGCTTATATCAGAAATTTTTGACGCCGCCCAATAGAAACCGATACACTGTTTTTGTGCCGATATCGAATTACTTCTGATATCGGTATCAGAACAGGACATCCCTACTGGCAACTTTGTTTGGCTAAGCAGTGTTTATAAATAAATAACTTCTACAGACCATCAATAGTTGAATGTAAGTCAGCCCAGGACCCTTTCATACTGTTAAATAGGAAGCTAATGCTGATTTCACTAGGTACGAATGTGCTCAGCTGATACTATTTAAACTAAAAACTGCTAACTTTGTCAGCCATAAAGAGACTCTGTTTCTCTGTTACTGGACAGTCTTTAAGTGCTGTTCAGAGCAGCTCGTACAGCAACTAAGTCCCAAAACCTTATCTGTGCTACATTTGCCTTTTAATTGGTATTCTGAATAAAATACGCTACTTTATTTTGTCACAGCACACTGAAGAATTGATGTACTTCATACAAGACAAAAGCAAGAATAAGCAGGAAGAGCAGTTTACCTATTTACTTGCTGTAGTATAAAGATAGCTTCACAAAAACAGTCCCGACTTCATGACACCGATGGTGTTGCAGCTTGATGCATTTTAAACACAGCTCAGTGCTTCAAAGTTCTCACTTTTCCTTTCAACCTAAATACCTAAAATTAGCCAGCAGAAATGTGCCAGTCTACTCTGAAATCAACTTCTCAACACCTCACAGTACAAAAGGACTCAAAAACAAACGAAGCAGGCAGAACCCTCGCATCTAATTTAAAGGAGTAGAACGCTCGTTTAATCAATACATTTGTAGTGGTCTAGTAGGAATGGGGGGGGGGGCTCCAGGGCACCAGCTTCAGGAATTAGCCGTGAGCGACATTAGAGCTGAGCCACAGACTGCAGGTTTTTGAGTCTTTTTCCTGATTTTTGGACAACTCGCCTCTGATTGGCTAACAGCAACACGACTCTACCACTGACTGTTTGCTCTGCATTGTTGCCGTTTTATCTCCAAATATAACAAGCCTGGAGGAGATCTGCCATGTTGTGGGGTTGCTAATGCTAACAGTTAGCTTCCACTAGTCAAGACATCCTCTGCTGTTTCCTGGACAACAACCTTGCCCGTCGTGAGTCAACTTGGGTGAGTCCATGGCTGTTAAGTGTCAGTGTGACATAGATTTGTCAGACTTTTCTAATCCTAGAGTTTCACCATTTATTTTCTATCAGAAGCTAATGCAGGAGATAGGTGTAGGAGACTATTTTCACATTCAGCCTGCATGAAAAACTCTGAGGGACCCATTATAATCACAAATAATAATTTAAAGAAGAATTTTTCAGTGTTGAAACCTTGAAGCTTCTGTTCTAGCGTCTAACGGGGTTGAACCCCAGGGAACAGAACAAATGACGAGGCTAAGCAGTATTCTTCCGTTGGGTAAATCTAATGTCAGGGTGAAACTGAAGCTGAAAAGACCCGTAGGTGAATGAGTCATGGAGGCCTGAGTCAGAGAAACCGAATAAAGGTGTGGAAAAAAAAAAAGCTTGTCAGGATCATCAGCGTCAAAGTGAACCCTGACAGAAATGATGATGATGATTCTGAAAACACATCCTTTGGAATTATATTCAACTAAAACATCTGGCCTTTTCATTAGTTTTTATTCTAGTGCTAATAAAGACTGAGTCCATTGTCTTTGATACCCGCAATCCTTCTGGTTCTCATTCCACTTTTGATGGTTTAAACCCTGAGCAGTGTGCAATAAGCCTCGGGGTAAAAGTGGATGCCAACCTCTTTGGTGTGTTCTTGCTGTGTTGAAATTCTAATTCCATCTTTTAGTTCTTTTTAAAACACAGAAATGTTGCAGGTAAATAAAACCTTTCTGTGTTTTAAAAAGAACTAAAAGATGGATGCCAACCTCTCAATGACTCCTCAGATCAACTCAGTGGTGAGGTCTTATTTTTATCAGATATGCCGCCTAACTCGTTTAAGACCGATCATAAAGAGGAAGCACTTGGAATCAGTCATCCACACTTTCATCACCTCTCGCCTGGACTACGCTAATACACTATTAGTTGGACCTCCAGTCTCTGCCTTTAACCGGTTGCAGGTTGTCCAAAATGCAGCTGCTAGTTTTTTAACAAACACAAGTCGACATAGTCATATTACACCAGTCCTGGAACGTCTTCACTGGCTCCCCATCACATTTCGTGTGCGTTTTAAGATACTGATGTTTGTTTTTAAAGCCCTACACGACCTAGCTCCTCATCTGGCTGACCTGCTGACTCCCTATGTACCTACTTGTATGTTGAGGTCAGCTGACCGTCTACTGCTCTGCACTCCCCGGATGGCCTACAAATCATGAGGTGAACGTGCATTTGTCCACGCTGCCCCCATGCTCTGGAACTCACTGCCCATTACAGTTAGGCTGGCATCTTCTCTGCCTGTTTTTAAATCTCATTTAAAAACCAACTTTTATCACTTGGCTTTTAGACCGTGATTCATGTTATGGTATTATGATTTTATAGTTTTTATTGTTGTGTTTTATCTTCTTATTGTTTTTTCTTTTTTGTTTTAATTGATCCTGCCTGTTCAGCACTTTGGTCAGCTCTCACGCCGTGTCTTAAATTGTGCTATAGAAATAAAGTTGGTATGGTAATTTAACATTTTTTTAGGGAAGGCAAAAGGGATAAGGGCTGAGTGAATGAAAATGCTGCTTTAAAACAATGATTTTGTTTATTAGGTAAGTAAAGTTCTCAAAACCAGTCTGGTTCTATGGAGAAGCAAGTGACACAAGTAGTACGTTTATGCACGTGTCTGGAGCTCCAGCCGGGTGCATAAACATACTAATATTGTTTTTGTTTTCTACACTTTTTAGTTCAGTAAGAGAGTCCAACTGTGTTTTATCTACTTATCAGAGCTCAGGTTGACCTTTTGAATTCAATACAAACAGCAGAAGATCTAAAGAAATGTCTAGACTTTCTCGCTTGGGCCACGTATGGCAAAATGACTGAATTTGGTGTTGAACAGTAAAAATCATAAATGTGACAACTTTTCTCCCAAACAAAACCCTAATATCACAAAAAGCATGATTATTTGTTGCAGATGTTACAGGATTGAAAACTGTGGTTTGAATGGAAGTCAATGGGACGTTTTGGTCCGCTAAAGACTCAAGTTTATGGTGTTTTTTCTTATCATAGTGTTCCCTTGGTTTTTTTTTTTTGGTTTTTTTTTCAAATTTTTCCAAATTGAATTTCAAAATTCATCCAAAGTGGTTTTGCAACAAACTTTTGTACCATATGCACAAAAAAGGGTGAAATGGTGTCCAAAAGAAAAGCAAAAAACTGCCCAAATGGACAAAAATGTCCGTAATGAAGCCTGAGGTTAAAGATACAGGCTGAGATTTTCTTATGGAGCATTGCTGCCATATTTCTCTAAATACTATTCACGTACCGATGGCAACCAATAAATTAAATGTTTTGTCAAAAAATAAAATTCTTTTATCGATTCTGAAATGTAAAATCCTGGAAAAACCTCATCCAATACAGCGCTGGTCCCCCTTCTAAATGACTGGCTCAAAACCCATCCGTCAAACTGGTCCTCTGACCGTCTCACACCCCAGCGAACCTCAACAACTTCTGCACGAATCGCTCAAGCTCGGACGAGCAGCTAAACTAAACAGGAAGCTAGCTGAGCTGCCTGGTGTCATTGGATCTAATTCTGTTTACGAATCTCATCTAATGAGTTGTTTCACAGTCTGGTTCTGTTCCTGTTGGGAAACGTAGTTTGTTTTGTGTTCTGTAGTTCTTTTTAGTGGTGGAGTCTCCCCAGGTTGAACTATTGTGATTCTGAAGTTAAAAATAAACACAAAAAGCTGAAAATTGCCTAATTTTTCACACTAAAAACACCACACGTGACTGCACCTGTGTGTCTGTCACAAGCAGGTGTTGTACCATATTTTGTGACCATAAGATACTGTGGCTCTAAGGCTACGTTCAAACTGCAGTTCTTAATGCTTAATTCTGACATTTGATTAAATCCATTTTTTGTGTGTGTGTGGTTGTTCACACTCTTAACTGAAATGTGACAGCAAACCACTCTCAGCGTGAACGGTTCACAGCCCTCAAGCAGTCCGCGTACACGGAAGAAGACAAGAACACGCTTTGTGGACTCAGAACCGGGAGAGGTGGAGTTGTGATTATGGAGTTCATTCATAGTTTTAGGATGTCCAGACAGACTTCTAAATACCTCCGTCAGCGCCTCCCATCAAGAATATCTAGACAACACTCGACCAGGTCAGTGATGTAAGGGACGGGTTTATTGCGACATACCATAGTTTATTGATGTAGCACGTTTAAAACGCAGCATGGGAGCTGCCCAAAGTGCTGCACAGGCTAAACCAAAACACAACCAACCTAAGCAACTAAAACAGAAGATAAAAATACCGATCAAAGGCAGATAAAACATGAGGAATACTAAGAACACATAAAACAATAACACAATAAAACACTAAAACGAGTCACTGTCTAAAAGCCACGTCGTAAAAGTGGGTCATTTAGAAACCGCCAATGATGGAGCCTGCCGAACTCCGATGGGCAACGAGTTCCACAGTTTTGGGGCAGCACAAATGCTCGTTCACCCCGCAATTTGCATCGCATTCGGGGCGTGCACAGCAGCAGGTCAGCCGACCTCAACGTGCACGTGGCTACATAGGGAGTGAGCAGGTCAGAGAGATAGGGAGGTGCCAGGTTGTTGAGTGCTTTAAATACAAAAGTCAATAACTTAAACTGTACTCTGAAAATGACAGGGAGCCAGTGAAGATGTTCCAGGACGGGGGTAATATGGCTACGTTGGTGCGTATTTGTCAAGAACCTGGCAGCAGTGCTCTGGAGGACCTGCAGCCGATTCAGGGCAGAGACCGGAGCGCCAACTAGGAGGGCGTTTGCATAGTCCGGGCGAGAGGTAATGAAGGCATGGATGACAGACTTTAAATGCCTCCGTTTCAAGATTTGTCTGAGGCGAGTAACATGACCGCTCAGACTGAAGTAACTTTCAGAAACATCAGCTATGTATCGGATTCAGTACCACATATGAAAAGTGACCTGGGTTGGAATTTAAAAACCAGAATTGGGCTGTTCTAGGTAATGGCAGCGCTAACCGAGACTGAACAAGCGGGTTTAGAAAGCTAACTCGGTTCTGGTGCTGCTGACCTCCACCTTAGAAAATCACTCCCACCCACTGTATTCCACTGTTGAGGCCATGGACAGCTCCTCTAGTGGCAGACTGAGACATCCATGATGCAAAACAAAACGCCACTGCAGGTCATTCACTCCCACAGCTGTAAAATTGCGTAACTGGTACTGGCATTATCTTGTTACATGCTAACATCAAAGCTATATTCAGTGCCTGTGCAATACCTGGATGCACAATTGGGGGTCTGTGTATTTTATGCTGTTTCTCCTTAGAAACCCAGTTCTCTAATTTCCAACAAAGTGACAAAGTGACAAAAATTGCAGTTCCACTCTCATCCACTAGGGGCTGGTGTCAGAAGCGAGCAAATCCTCATTGACTCCCATGTTAAAAATACCAATTTCACAGCAGAAATAAACATGTTTACAGCCTGGTTCCAAAACATGTTTTTGGTTTAATAGATCTAGTTTACACTCATGACAACTCTGAGGGGGGTGAATTTTTCTCACTCTTCTGTTTAAGTGTATTAAAAGCCTAAAATTCTGAATAATTAATGAGCATCAGACCCACGTGACCACAGAGCTAGCTCCGGGGAAAGGCCTCAGCCTGAGCCTCGGCCTCGCCTTAAAATTGTTCTGCCATTTTCAGTCTCTCAACTTAGACCATTAGCTGTAGCGTTTGTGCGTTCTTTTTGGATATTTTTTGTGCAATTGTTGGACAAAATGACTTGCTGTGGCATTAATTGCACTAATAGAGCGTTCAAGGAGTCTCCTCTTCATTTTTTTCGGTAAGTAAAATTATATTTATGTATTTTAGGTCACTGCCGAGCTGAGCTTAGATTTTAACATGTACTGTTTAACCATGAAATTTAAATGTAATAGGGTAAAACCCAGTGCATTTAACATAATGCTGCACTTTAGAAAATGGGTTGAAATATAACATGTTGGTGGAGCTGGGTTCCGACTATCGGTATGGTCCCCTCCCTTCAACGGCAGCTCGGCGCATCTCTGACCGCAGCGGCGTTTGTCTGCTGTGTGGCTGCCGGCTTGTGGAGGTCTCGGAGACCTCTGTGTTCCACCTGGTTTTACCCAGCAGTCAGCCCGGTGTATCTCTGACTCAGAAGCTCTGGTGTTGTGCACAGTTAACTCCGGTTGTAGCTAGGTTGCTACCTCCGTTAGCTTAGCTCCCACCTCCGTGTTAGCTTTGGGTTAGCTTGTAGCTAGTTCGACCGGGTGTCGTCAGTTGATCCCAGCCTTACAGCCCCACCCTCAGCTCCACCTCTCTTCCCTTTTGTGGAATTGTCTGGGCTTGACAGAACCTGTGACACGGTCAAAATGGCGGTGGTGGCCACCTCCCATTTTGGCACAAAAACTTATAATTGGAGTCTATGGACACGAATTGTCCAGTGTATATGTCGATGGTTTTTACCTGTATTAGTTTTTCCTGTTCTGTAAGTGTATGTGCTGCCTTACTGAGGGATCCCCCCCCCCCCCCCATTGTGGGATTAATAGTCTATTCTAATCTAACAGAGATTCAGCCTAAAACACAAAATGTCTAAGACACAAATGCAAAATAAAGTCTCTCCACTTTTCATACCTTTGCAATCCAATAAGTTTCCACCTCAGTAAGTCAGTGAGAGTGAGAGGACACGACAGCCAGGCCTGAACCCTCTCCCCACACTTTCCAGGGCTGGGCACAAAGAGAGCCAGAGCCAGGACCAGGCGGCGGACTCTTCCCTCATCTGACCCGATAACCACCAGGGTTCTTCCTCTCAGCAGACACCACAGCGCTTGCATGGCGAAGGGGTACTGACGCACAAATCTCAAAGCACCCTGACCAGCCTTTTTCCTCTCCCGAAGGGTCACCGTCCCCCCGTAGCCAAGGGGGGAGGCAGCCCTGTCAGACCCTGTGGAGGCGCTCAAGGTGCAGTCTGACCCCTCTTCCACAGAGGTTTGGGAAGCTACATCTCCAAGAAGACCCACAGGAAGCTCCAGGCTGGTTGGAGGACTTTCAGAGCACGGGGAACCCACTGTATAATCACCTTGGACTGGAAGGAGGGCTTGGGGTTCCTGATTTACCACCAGGATTTGGGAGGGCTTGGGATGTGAGTTTTGCTGCACAGAAGACATGGTGTCGGGGGCGGATGCCTCGTGGAGAAAATGCTCTTGGGGCATACAACATGCTGCATCTATTGGAGGTAGCAACTTTGACTCATTTAGTGAATCACAGTCATCCAGCTCAGACGCCACCTCCAGCAAAGACACAGGGGTCTGATCTCGTTCATGGTCACCGTCATCCTCCTCCCCGGCAGTGGTCTCAACATCTTCGCTGCTACTTTCCCTCCCCGCGTCAGTGTTTTGGTCAGGTTCAGGGGTCAGGTCAGAATCGGGATCAGGCCCTTCAGAAATCATACTGGCCATACTTTCCTGTTTCTCTGCCAGTTCCAGCCCACTCTTATCGCTGCTAAAGCTTCCTTTGGTCTCCTCCGAGCTCTCCTGAGTCTCCAGAGTCTGATCCGAGGGGGAGGACTCCAGCTGGCTCTCTCCAAGTCCAAGCTCACTCTGCCGAGTAGTGCTGGTTTCAGACGCCACGTTGAGCGGATCTTGAGGTTTTGAAGGATATAACTCAGTAGTGTCAGGCCCAAGGACAATGTGAGGTGAATTTAAGTGCACATGGTTGTCCACGGAATGATTCACAGCACAGAATGGTCTTAGAGTTCCTGATTCATCCTCTGCATTGTCATCGAGTTCCTCCTCAAACAGGAAGTTGACGACTCGCAGATTTTTGCGCAGTGCCTTGTCCAGACGACGTGTGTGCAGGTAACACAAATCCCCCCGGAAGCTCCTCTCCGTCTCCTTCAGGAGCTCCACGGCGGCCTCGTAAAAGGTGCCCTCACACAGCTCTGGGAGGATCTTCAAGCGCTTGTCAAAACACTTAGCAGACTTGGCTTTGATCAGCTGCGGCGTGTAGGATGGCCTGCGTTTAACGCCATCTTCATCCTCCTCTTCTTCACCTCTGCTGTCATCTAACCATCCCTCCCCTCCCTCTCCTTTCCCCCCCTTTTCACTGTGGCTAACAGGTTCTGTTAGTTTGGCGTATTTGTCTAAGAGCTCCTCACACTCGCTCAAACACTCGGTCATACACCTGCGGCAGGCCACGGCCTGAGGATCCCGGCGTGGACGGCGATGGTAGGAGCAGATCTGTTTCAGCAGGTCTCTGTGCTCATAAATACTCTTCTCTACATTGGCGAGCTCATTGGCCTTCTCTACAGCATGGGCGGAGTAAACGCACTGAGGCCCCGCCTCCCTCTGCAGGCCTTCCTCCCGTTGAAGCACAGAGTGGGTGTACCTGGGGAGATCAAACAGACTCGGTGACAGAAGAAAGATGGAACCATTTCCAAACAACGAATACTTGCGGTCTTCTACGATATAACACGTCAAAACATTTAAAGGCGTGGTGGAGTCACGAAGGAAGTGACAACACCAACAGCGGCAAAACTCTGAGAAAGGCAACAACGATAGTCGAAACATCCGCAATAACAAGGTAAAAACAACACTCTTGCTCTGTTAAAAAAGAACCGTAATGCAGTTGGATGAAACGCACAGAATGAACGCATAACATATGTTTACATTTTTTCATATTTGTAAATCATTCATTTGAGCCAGTACGTGCTAAAACGACCCTTTACAGAGTTGATGAAATGTCACTCAGACCCTCACCGCCCTCTATGGCCAGAATACCGCACTTACAACTTCGGAGTGCCAGTCCGGTCCCTGTTGGACTCCGTAAGTGTAACTGACATGCCTGGTGCTGGAGTCTGCTTCCAGCATGCTGCCTGCATGTTTTAGATCTTGAACACAGCTTATTTGTTTGATTTAGTGATGAATCACTCCTGTAGACATTACTGAAGGCTGAGGAGACATTTCAGCTGTTAGATTAAGGTGTTCAAATGACAAACGCACAGCGAGGACAAGAGTTTCACTTTTGCTTTCACTAACAAACCACTAGAGGGTGCTAAAGGCAAACCAAAACTGCCCAGTATCCCTTTGACAAAGGGGTAGGAACTACAGTCAATAGCCTTTTGTGGGTGACGGTGGCACAGGAGTTAAGTGCTCGCCCCGTAATTGGAAGGTTGCCAGTTCGAGCCCTGCTCAGTCTCTAAAATGAAAGTTGAACCCACATCTTTTTTATCTGTGAATTCAATGCCGTTCGACGAGTCTCAAATAAAAATTTGGGCGTCTTATTACTGTAAAAAAATATACCATTTATGTAAAAAAAGAAACTCTAAATAAACTATGTTCACATCCAGAATCGAACCCAGGTCTCCTGCATGAAAGTCCAGCGTCTTACTAAGTGAGCTAACACGCCAGTGTCAATTCTTGTATCTGTACCATTTAAGAATGGTTCGGGGGGTTATACCTGAGCGTGAACGCGCATGAAGCAGCCTGCTCGACCCGAGCAGCTCTCTTTTTCTGTGATTTTACAGAAAAACAGGCAATCACAGTAAAAATGCCAGGGCTCATTCTACAGGACCAGGGCATTGCAGGAGAATGTACGTAGAAGAAATGTATTATTTCTATACATGTTTTGGCTGTCAAACTTCCAAAATGCCCCTTTAAATAACAGGTATTTGTTCATCTGAGGTTGTTTTGTCCTGATTTTAAACCTGCTGGGAATAAATTGTTTGTGTTAAGACCCAACAAGTCCAACCTCCTTATTGTCTGACTGTATATTCACAACTAAACCACTCATAGACCCCATCAGGGATGCTAAGTTGAATGTTTTGTATTAAAACCCTTACTCGAGGTCCTGGAGTTTCCTCTGGAGTTCCTTGGCAAAGGCCCTTCTGTTCCCGGCTTTCAGACACTCAGAGGCCTGGGAGAAGCGGAGGGACAGCTCTTGGAACTGAAGCATGATTTTCTTCTCATCTGCAGCGATGTACGCCATGCAGAACGGTCGTACAAAGCCCCTCGCCTCCAGGTCGTAAAGAGTGAAGTGATGGACATAAGCAAACGCCCCTTCCTTTGAGTCTCCCAACACAACCCTCGAGTCCTCCACAAAACTGAGCCGTGGGTAGCCACTGCCTGGCGGATGACCCACGAAGGAGGCCTGGTAGTCCACCGACATGATGCGCAGAGAGAAGTAGTTAAGGTCAAAGGTGCCACAGATTTTAGGTTCATCTGGGATGGTGAGGAGAGGCTGCGGGCCCACCTGCTCCGAGAACTCAGAGATGAGGATGAAGTCTTTGGTGAACTTGGCGTAGGACGTTTTGGCCCAAGGGTTAGAGTCAGCCAGTGGATGGAGGGGAACAGAGAACTCCTCTGGGAGATCCCAAGGTTCTGGACTGGTCTGCCCATACTCATCCTCTTTAGTGAAAGCCACCACATCTGGGGAGCCTATCATAGTGTTATTAGTGAGAGAGGCATGAGAAACAGCATTGGCACTTTGAGTCATAGAAATGCTGTCAGGATACAGCAGCGAGGGGCGGCACCGTGAAGTCCAGACACACCGGGCATTCTGGTGGCCCACGGAGCAATCAAGCTGCTCTACAGAGCAGAAGCGTGGACCCAGAGTCCAGCTGTGATCCTGAGATGGTCCGCCATGGAATACGGAAGCGAGTTACAAGCAGAAAATGAGAGAAAACACAGTGATGAAGAGAGAACCACCGCGTCCGAGCAGATCTTTCACGCTGCACAACACCGGGGAGCGTTTGTCCTCCTCGTCTTGTCTCCAGACGTCGCGTCCATCACGTCACGGAGCTCTGAACTGAAGCACGGGGTCTCGGTAAAAACACGAACACCGTTTAACGAGAGAGGCGCTTGATTTGCTGCTCACATCTAGGGACAGACGCCATGTTTTCCCAACTGGACGCTCCTGGTCAGGTGACCAAAGCTCCGCCCCTCACAGGAAATCCACCCTAAACCGGAAACGCGTTCGGCACAGACACTTCTCGTTTGTTACAAAGTAAAAGAGGTTTCTTTCAAGATTATCCATCGTTTCTATCCTACAAAATCTTTTCTGAAAAGATACAAAAAGGATATAAGCTGTTCATTTTGTAACCTCCAAGTCGAAGATGTTCTACACATTTTCTGGTCTTGTCCGTTCTCTAGTAAGTTTTGGCAAGAGTTTAATATTTTTATAATAACATATCTTATTGAAGACTTTTCGCTTTCTTTGGAATTTTTGATATTTGGTTTCTATAACTACCCGATGAATAAATCAGACCAGTTGTATATAACCAACTTATTAGTATTGTTGGCTAAATTTCATAATCATAAGACAAAATTGTCTAATGCAAAACCTTGTTTTCAGCAATTTCTCTGTGAAACGAAACAGTATCTATTATCCATTCAACTTCCCCACAACGCAAAAGCAGTCAAAACAGTGGATATATGCTCCTCTTTTTGGCTTGTGTAAATCATATCTGAGCTGGCTGTTTGTGTTAGGAACCCCTGATACTGTGTGTTGTTATATGTATGTTCTTTTTGGTATTATTTATTGTAACGTTCTAACTGCAAATAAAAAATCGTTTAAAATAAATAAATACATAAATAAAACTTCTCGTTTGTTGTGCCTAGTTTCTTCCCTTTGTATAATTAGGGATAGATAGATAGATAGATAGATAGATAGATAGATAGATAGATAGATAGATAGATAGATAGATAGATAGATAGATAGATAGATAGATAGATAGATAGATAGATAGATAGATAGATGATAGATAGATAGATAGATAGATAGATAGATAGATAGATAGATATAGATAGATAGATAGATAGATAGATAGATAGATAGATAGATAGATAGATAGATAGATAGATAGATAGATAGATAGATAGATAGATAGATAGATAGATAGATACTCCCAAGGGGGGATTGAAATCAAAGATCCTCATAAATGGATGCACAGATTTAAATAAATAAACAATAGTAAATAATAAAATTGAATTTAAAAGCTCAATAAAACATAGACCACACGAAAGAACACATTAAACTCTATGCAAAACATTTGGCTAAAATATCTTAGCTAAAAAGTTTAAACTTAAATTTCTGATTTAAGGTGTAGACTATTTCATGGCTTTTATCAACATGTATACTAGAAACAGTTATTTTAACACAACATGCGTTCTATGTGCCCACAAGAAATGTGTAAATACGTTTCATTATTATTATTATTATTATTGTAACGGGTTTTTTACGTCTAGGAGGATTTTACGACAGTTGTACAAACTTCATTACGGCAGCCTTGACACACGGGCGCGGAATTTGTAAACAAAGCTAACAGCACCCCTTCTGTGGAGATATTACTTGAATGTTTTATAATCAGAAAGGTGTTAATTTTTGTTTTAATTCCTGTTTTATCATCTGTCTGGAAGTTATCTAACGGGTGACAACTTTTATGTTCTGTTGAAAACTTTTCTAGTGGCATGGCTTTCGTTATCTCCGTCAGCTAACATGCTAACAGCGGGGCAGTTGCCGGAAGGAGAAGCTGCTTCTGGGAAGAGCTGCGCAGCATGCTGATACTGCACCTCCTCGGGAGATTCTCGGTTAGTTCGGGACTACCGTGGATAAAACTCCAGAAAAGGTTTTTCTGGGGGACAGAGATCCGCCGGTGCTCAGACACGCCGCAGGGGGCAGACATGATCCGGAACCGGACTCAAATCAAGCGGGTCCTCTGTGTGGCCGAGAAGAACGATGCAGCCAAAGGGATCTCCGAGATCATGTCAAACGGCAGAGCCAGAAGGGTTAGTCCTGTTTGCACTGAAACACACCTCATGCCTCTGTTTACTTCAAGGCTTACCCTACTACCCCCTGATCTGATGTAAAGGGTTTTATTTCTGAATAATTACTGTATTTCAGTCAACCCAGACATCCCCTATCATCTACTTTTGCATCAGTTAGCTTCATGTCCTCCATACATTCCGCTCTGGTCTTCCTCTAGCTCTCCTGCCTGGCAGGTCCAACCTCAGCATCCTTCCACTGATAAGACATTCAGATCTATGAAGAACTGAAAACAGACACACATTTTTTACGAATAAAGCTGTAAAGTTAGAGTGCAGTTGCCATTACTGACATCATCTGAACCACAGTAAAAGTAGTAAAAGTGACATGTTCTTGTCGTTCCTGGCAAGAATTCCTGCCATTCTTACAATCTAATACATTCTGAAGCCATGGAGTCCAAAACCTTTGTGACATGGGTCAAAATCTTCAGGTTTTCTGAAGTATAATTTGATGGATCCGTACTTCACTTGAGTATTTTTCTTGAGGCCTCCTTTTTACTTTTTACTCCACTACATTTTCTAAAAAGTAATTGGCTTTTGTCTAACCCCCACCCCATACCTGGTCTGACGGAGACCGGTAGCGCACTCTCCTACCCGAGCCAGACTACAGTTCCAAAGGTAATAGTATTTGTGTTTCGCCTCCTCCCCCGATCCAACAGCACACTTCTACACCCACAACGCATTTTTAAATGTTAGCTGAATACTTTTTCTTTTTTTCGTTTTCATTAAATTTGGAAATGTATACTTTGAAACTTTTACTTCAGTTAAACATTTCTTGGATATTTCCACTTCTACTGAAATAATGATTACGATAAATGACCCGCACTAATATAGCACCTTTCAGAGTCAGAGGACTCCAAAGCGCTTTACATTACAGTGTAGGGATGTGTATTGGTGAAATTTTGGTGATACAATGTATCACGACATATTGCCATATCGATATTTTCTTACATCCCTACTACAGTGTATCATTCATCCATTCTCACACATATTCACTCCCTGGTGGTGATGAGCTACAATGTAGCCACAGCTGCCCTGGGGGAGGAGAGGCTTCAGATCACTGACGCCACCGGTCCCTCCAACCACCACCAGCAGGAAAGGTGGGTTAAGTGTTTTGCCCAAGGACACAACAAAGCTCTCTGCCCGAGATCGATCCCACAACTCTCTGATTACTGAGTACCTCCTGAGTTACACCTGCCCCAAGTAATTATATTACATCTTTACTTTTACCTACATGTTTAAGTACTTTTACTTGAGTTTAAAAAGTACTTCTTCCACCAATGGTTGTGAGTCACAAAATTAGGATATTAAAAACAGTTTTGGTAAAATTTGCATTTTGACATTTTTCAAAATTTTTCTGTTAAAGGGGCATTATGGAAGTTCGACAGCCAAAACATGTATAGAAATAATAAATGTCTTCTTCATACATTCTCCTGCAATGCCCTGGTCCTGTAGAATGAGCCCTGGCATTTTTACTGTGATTGCCTGTTTTTCTGTAAAATCACAGAAAAAGAGAGCTGCTCGGGTCGAGCAGGCTGCTTCATGCGCGTTCACGCTCAGGCATAGCTCGTAGCATTTGCTATCCGTAGCTTTAGCTGTTCCTAACGCCTAGTGACAAACCTAGCTACATTTCTGAGGAGCCTTAGCTACTTTCTGTAGAACTTTCTTCTAGATATTACGTGCAAATTAGCAACAAAACAGCCATTTTCGCTCCGAACCGTTCTTTGGTTTGACGTTGTTTCAGCTGTCATCAAGGATATAAATGTTACAGATACGGTAAATGTTACTGGTGTGTAGCTAACCCTGTAAGATGTCTGACTCCCAAGCAGAAGACCTGGGTTCGATTCTCGATGTGAACATAGTTTATTTAGAGTTTATTTTTTACATTAATGGTATATTTTTTACAGTAAGATGCCCAAATTTTTATTTGAGACTCGCTGAACGGCATTGAATTCACAGATAAAAGATGTGGGTTCAACTTTCATTTTGGAACAATTTTTCAAGCAAGGGAAGGGAATGATCTGAGCATGCAGGAGGACTGACCCATCATAAACCTTTGTCGGCTGTGCTGAAGAGAAAGGTACAGAACCAAATTATTTAATTAATTAGCTGCATGTTCTCCTGTCCTCTGTCCTCTGGGCCACACACACACACACACACACACACACACAAGGGACTGTCTCAGCTGTTATTTTTGTTAAGGAGTGTGCACGTACAGCATGCGCGCCTCGTGCACGAGCCTACTATTGAAGCTGCCGTTACGCTTTTGGCCTGAGGGGGCAATTGCGAGCATAAAAATTCAAAAGTCTGTAAAGTCCCCTTAAATGATGAGGTAAATATGCACTATTTAAATGAAAAGAATATTACGATTTTTATGAGAAAAAAAATACAATTCTTGTAGGACTGAAGCATTAAAATGCCAAATCAATGATGCGTCGGGTTGATTTTTGTCAGTTTTCGTGGTTTTGAAAACGAATCGTCCATCTAAAGCCACAAGAACAGGATTTGGACTGAATCTCTCCAGGTTCTGTTGACGGTTCTCACAAATCTGCTTTTTTTAAAAGGTGGTGAACGGTAGTGGTGCTTTAAAATGACATTTAAATAAAAGCAAAAATGTGGTAAATAAGTTATAATATACTTTGTATTTTTTTTACTTAACCTTTTTTAAAATTGTCTAAATTCTACTTTTGTTGAGATGCATTTGTAGGCTGTGCTAAGTCCAGGCCCACGGGCCGTACTTTCACCACTTTCAACACTTTCAGCTACAGTAAGGTTAAATGTTATTCTGCTGCAGGGCTCATCGTGTTCTTTTCTGTTTTTTATTTCTCTTTTAGAGGGAAGGAATGTCAAAATTTAATAAAATATACGAGTTTGAGCATCATCTCTTCGGTCAGGTAGGAAAACACTGAAATGATCAAATCCGACATAATGCTTTTGTTCTTCCCATTTTTTACATCGTCCATTTTTGTCTCTGTGTTGAACCAGAACGTGACGGTAACCATGACATCAGTGTCGGGTCATCTACTTGGTTTGGAGTTTAAAGCACCGTTCCAGAAATGGTACGTTTAGACAGATGCGTCTTTATTTTGCACCGTCAGGGTGTGTAACTGTTGCTTTTTTATCTTTGTCCATTAAAAGGCACAGCTGCAATCCTTTCCTGCTGTTTGACGCAGAGGTGGAGAAGTATTGTCCAGATAACATGATTCAGATAAAGGTGTGCAGTAAAACACATTCATTTAATAAAAAATGATTGGTTTGTTGAACAACAACTTTCACTTTCCTTTGGAAAACAACACGTTCCCCAGTGTTTTGACACCTTTGTTATGTTATTTAATTAATAAAAAGGGCCTTTTTTTCTCATTTCAAAAGTTTTCTGTACTTGTTTTTATTGCAGCGGACTCTAGAGAAGGAAGTGAGGCAGTGTCAGGTCTTGATCATCTGGACTGATTGTGACAGGGAGGGAGAAAACATTGGCTTTGAAATTATTGATGTTTGCAAAGCAGGTATGTCTATGCTTATCACTTAGGAGGGTTTTAAATGTTCAAGCCCATCACATCAGAGGATTTATGTGTAACAATAATAATAATAATAATAATAATGGCACTGACACACAGTTTTTGTATTTCAGTGAAACCTAATTTGCAAGTCTTTCGGGCAAAGTTTTCTGAGATCACTCCCAACTCCATTCAGAGAGCTTGTGAGACCTTAACAGAGCCCGATTCTAACGTGAGTGATGCCGTTGATGTCCGCCAGGAGCTGGACCTACGGATTGGTAAAGTAGCGGTTGTCCCAGTAAACATTTTACACAATCATTCCATATTAGAGATAGGGATGCACCGATACGATACTGGTATCGGCATCAATACCAGTATCGGTATCGGTAAAAGTTAACCGATACCAATGCAGTTGCTTGAAAATGGCTTCACTGTAACTTGTCATTTCTGTTCACCTAATATTTTAGATTTGTGATGATTTCTATTCATATATTTTACTTTTTATCTACATCAGTCTTTTCCTGTTGAAAGCGGAGAAGAAAATAAAATCTGTATTCCAAATCATTGCATTTTTTTGTGTGGTAGAAGTATCGGTACTGGTAATCGGTATCGGCGAGTACTCAGATCCAAGTATCGGTATCGTATCGGTTTGGAAAAAAAGTGGTATTGTTGCATCCCTAATTAGAGAATAAATCATATTTAAGAATTATCCTTACGTTCTGTGTTTTGCTGATAATGTGCCACATAGATTTTCAGTGTATTTTTATTGCCTGTGCTTTTTTTCTTCCGCAGGAGCCTCCTTCACGCGTTTCCAGACGCTTCGCCTGCAGAAGATCTTCCCAGAGTCCCTGGCTAATCAGCTGATCTCGTACGGCAGCTGTCAGTTTCCCACTCTGGGTTTTGTGGTGGAGCGCTTCAAAGCCATTCAAGCCTTCATTCCTGAAACCTTTTACAAAATCAAAGGTTAAAAATAAATTCAGACTCAAACTCAAACATCAGCTGACGATTTACAGCTTCAGATTCGAAAGGTTGTTTTGTTTCAGTGCTGCATGAGGTAGACGAAGACTGTGTGGAGTTCAACTGGAAGAGGAACCGTCTCTTCAATCACACGGCCTGCTTGGTGCTCTACCAGATCTGCATGGAGGTAGGAGTCTGCTCTAAAAGTGGGATGGAAGCTGTCAACTCTGACCTTTTAAATGTAAATCTAGTCTAGGTTGAACACTCGGTAACATTTGATCCACGTAGCACCATTCAACGTTAAAGGCATAATATGCAACCTTGAATCAGTACAGGGAGTGCAGAATTATTAGACAAATGAGTATTTTGTCCACATCATCCTCTTCATGCATGTTGTCTTACTCCAAGCTGTATAGGCTCGAAAGCCTATTACCAGTTAAGCATATTAGGCGATGTGCATCTCTGTAATGAGAAGGGGTGTGGTCTAATGACATCAACACCCTATATCAGGTGTGCATAATTATTAGGCAACTTCCTTTCCTTTGGCAAAATGGGTCAAAAGAAGGACTTGACAGGCTCAGAAAGGTCTAAAATAGTGAGATATCTTGCAGAGGGATGCAGCAGTCTTAAAACTGCAAAGCTTCTGAAGCGTGATCATCGAACAATCAAGCGTTTCATTCAAAATAGTCAACAGGGTCGCAAGAAGCGTGTGGACAAACCAAGGTGCAAAATAACTGCCCATGAACTGAGAAAAGTCAAGCGTGCAGCAGCCAAGATGCCACTTGCCACCAGTTTGGCCATATTTCAGAGCTGCAACATCACTGGAGTGCCCAAAAGCACAAGGTGTGCAATACTCAGAGACATGGCCAAGGTAAGAAAGGCTGAAAGACGACCACCACTGAACAAGACACACAAGCTGAAACGTCAAGACTGGGCCAAGAAACATCTCAAGACTGATTTTTCTAAGGTTTTATGGACTGATGAAATGAGAGTGAGTCTTGATGGGCCAGATGGATGGGCCCGTGGCTGGATTGGTAAAGGGCAGAGAGCTCCAGTCCGACTCAGACGCCAGCAAGGTGGAGGTGGAGTACTGGTTTGGGCTGGTATCATCAAAGATGATCTTGTGGGGCCTTTTCGGGTTGAGGATGGAGTCAAGCTCAACTCTCAGTCCTACTGCCAGTTTCTGGAAGACACCTTCTTCAAGCAGTGGTACAGGAAGAAGTCTGCATCCTTCAAGAAAAACATGATTTTCATGCAGGACAATGCTCCATCACACGCATCCAAGTACTCCACAGCGTGGCTGGCAAGAAAGGGTATAAAAGAGGAGAAACTAATGACATGGCCTCCTTGTTCACCTGATCCGAACCCCATTGAGAACCTGTGGTCCATCATCAAATGTGAGATTTACAAGGAGGGAAGACGGTACACCTCTCTGAACAGTGTCTGGGAGGCTGTGGTTGCTGCTGCACGCGATGTTGATGGTGAACAGATCAAAACACTGACAGAATCCATGGATGGCAGGCTTTTGAGTGTCCCTGCAAAGAAAGTTGGCTATACTGGTCCCTATTTGTTTTTGTATTGTTTTTGAATGTCAGAAATGTATATTTGTGAATGTGGAGATGTTTTCTTGGTTTCACTGGTAAAAATAAATAATTAAAATGGGTATATATTTGCTTTTTGTTAAGTTGCCTAAAAATTATGCACAGTAATAGTCACCTGCACACACAGCTATCCCCCTAAAATAGCTAAAACTAAAAACTACTTCCAAAAACATTCAGCTTTGATATGAATGAGTTGTTTGGGTTCACCGAGAACATGGTTGTTGTTCAATAATAAAATTATTCCTCAAAACTACAACTTGCCTAATAATTCTGCACTCCCTGTATGTACGACCCTTTACAGGGTTAATGCAATGTTACTCAGACCCCCACCGCCCTCTGGGGCCAGAATACCGCACTTGCAACTTCAGAGTGCAGGTCCGGTCTGTTGGCTGGTGCTGCAGTCTGCTTCCAGCACATTTCCTGCATGTTTTAGATCATGAACACAGCTGATTAGTTTGATTTAGTGACGAATCGCTCCTGTAGAAACTAATAAAGGCTGGGGAGACATTCCAGCTGTTAGATTAAGGTGTTAAAAAGACGAACACACAGTGACAAGATACGTTTTTTTTTTGTTTTGTTTTTACTAATCAGACACTAGGGGGTGCTAAAAGCAAGCCAAAACTGCTTAGTTTTCCTTTAAATTCACAAAACGTTTCACAAGATTCATGAAAATCCATCACAGTCAAACATTAGCAGCATCTTTTTAAGCCTTGAGCTAACTTTTAAAAGAAGCGACTGATGTCCGTGCCAGAGTAAGAGAGCTCCAGAGTCTTGGAGCCACAGAAGAAAAAGCTCTTTCTCTTTGATTCTTCATGCTTGTATGAGTGAACATAAGCAGGCCTTGGTCAGAGGACCTCAGGGACCTTAAGGGGGCGTAAGGATGCAAAAGCCCACTGAGTTGACCGTCCATGCAGGGATCTGCAAGTCAGAACCAGGATTTTTAAATGGGCATGATGCTAAACCAGCAGCCAGTGCAGCTTTATCAGAAAAACACAACATTTGAGGATTTAGTGTGGAGACTGGTCGTAGCGTTTGGACAGTTTGCTACCGGTCTGAGGAGGTTTGGATGGACGTGTGTAATAAAGTGCATGACTGTCACAGAGATGAGATGTAGGCATGAATCAAAAATCCCATTTCTGATGAGAAACTATTGAACCAAGTTAGACCTTTTAGTGAGTCCTGGGTTCCTCCTGGGGCCAGAGGAGTCGATGGGTCGATACCACTAACTAGCTTCCATCGTTCGTGGTCGGGATCTGGGGGAGAAACGCCAGGACATCATCATCATCATCATCAGCTCATCAGGCATACAAACATACACGCTGCTGAGAACCGTTTAGAGTTACCGCTGCGTCATTTTTACTGTGTCTGTTTTCTGGTGACTTTCAGTTAAGACCTCTGTAGGATGATCATTTTTATTTCATCAGCTGATGTTGCGTCCTTAACACACATGGCCCATTCCGTGTCCGGGTGGATATCCTGCAGGATTTAAACTGCAGACTCTTCTGTTGTTGGTTCTTAGGGGCTCTGTGATGTTGATGCGGTTTTTATCTTCTGTTTGCTGATGCAGATTTAGAACAGAGCTTTAACTTCTGTGTGATTTCTAGTGACGAGACATAAGTGTCGTCTGAATCTGTTGCTGTCATAAAAAAGCGCTCGCTGAAGGGGCTGACGAGCCCTGCAATTATCACCTCTCTCTCCGTTTCCCACAGAGCGAGCTGCAAGTATCAGCATGCAAACTCAGGTTAAATCCCAGGTCTGGTATGATAGGTCTGATATGCTGAGGTCCCGTTATTAATCTGGAATCTGGAGTCTAGAATTTGACACACTTTGATTTGTAATGGAAATAGCAGAAAAAATGTTAAAAGTTCTTTGAAATTCAAATAAAAAATATTTTTACTCTGCAATTCAATTCAATTCAAATTCAAAGATACTTTATTAATCCCAGAGGGAAATTAGAGTTTCAGTACACACAATTCTGAGATCAGACATACATACATAGGCATAGACACATGACAAGAATTGGTGACTGTGGTCATTGGCAACCCGAGTCGCGCTACCTTAATAGAGATCAGAGGGTTTATATGAGGATTGAGTCAGGTGGAGGAAACAAATGGCACTTCAGAGTTACCCTCCACAGGGAGGGCAGCTTTGCTATGCAAAAAACACCTCAGACAGAAATGCAACAGACTTCAGACATTACACAACATAAGTGTCCACTAGGTGGAGAGGTAGGGTTGGGGACTCTCCTCACATCAGTGCGTGCAGCCGTGATAAGCAGCGCTCGTCACCTCCATTTGGACAGGGGAGGGAAGTGGGTTTAGAAAGTACAGTGACTCCTGGAAACGGTTCCATGGCCTTCACCGGTCGCAGTTCCACCCAGGCTGGGATAGAGAGACAGAGTTGCCATGGCGACAGCACCATTCCACATTTCTTCTGAGGGGGAGTAATCACTTCAGCCTCACAGGCTCAAGGACACCAGATTCAGATAAGAACTTGTTTTGGGGCCAGACAGAGATAATTTCCTCTCTGTCGTAAAGTTCTGTTGGTCTCCAACCCCTCTCGATCCAATAATGGCGTAATTAATCTATCCCAATCCGTGCTGATCCGTCAACTCAATCCTTGATCGAATCAACCTTCTGTGCCAGAGCCTGAATCTCAGCCAAAGTTCCAAGCTTACGACTCATCTCGACAATTATATGAGTTTGTGCGTTCACAGCGTGATGTAATCTATCCCTGAGCTCCGGGATTGAGCCAATATTCCTTGACAGTTTATAAGTTTTCCGGTAAGCCAGGTAACTGCTCAGGCCAAACAGCAGGAATCCCGACACCAACACCACGAATATCCAGACGTCTTCAGAATCCTCTACAGACTGTTGAGAGAGGCAGATCAGGTTCCACTGTTTCCAGGAGTCCATGATATGCCCAGCTGGCTCTATCCCAGAGGGGCGACCGGGACGCCCTTCTCCCGTTCTCATCGTTGAAAAAATCTTGTCAATCGCGTTGAGAGACCAACTGACCAGGTCCATTTTTAATAATTTCCAGTTTCCACAAAAAATGCAGAAGTGCCGTACACCCAAAGACAGACAAAGAGCCTTGGGATAAGATAGGGAGGAGAGGAGGAAAAAAGCGTCTGTACTCTCCAAGAGCCGGAAGAAAGAGCCTGACTCCGCTGAGCTCTCTCGTTGGGTTTTTGTGTTCTCACCTGAAAACTTTAGATGTTTTTAACTGGGGGGACACACACACACACACCGATGTTTTAAATGCTGAAAACTGTTGATGACCTGGACGAGTAAAGCTGTGTGTGAAAAGATGATATAATTTTATTCGTCTTCAGGATCCCATAGCAACAGTCACCTCAGTAACGTCCAAACCCAAGAGCAAGTGGAGACCGCTGCCTTTGGACACTGTGGTGAGAAGATAAAAACCAAACACATCATCCACTCCTCAGCGTTAAAAAATGCGTCTGTTTTGAATTTAAAAAGTTTTTTCTTTTTCAGAAAATTAACATCATTTTTAAATTGTCCTGTTGACTTACAGGAACTGGAGAAACTTGCATCCAGGAAGCTCCGAATAAACGCTAAAGAAACCATGAAGATAGCAGAGAAGCTCTACACCCAGGGGTTGGTGCATCCTTTAATCACAGACCTGTGCTCTGCCAAGGATTTTCTCAGTCCAAGTGTCTAAGAAGTGTCCTTCCGTTTGAACTCACTTCAGTTAGCTCACTGGCCCACAGCCACCATGTCACAGTCAAACAGTCAGATGTACTTTTTCTTTACCAGCTTGTATTGTTTCTATTTTTATACACGAGAAGACCATCTGGCATATGATGGATAGGTTTAGCAGTCGTTTCTATTCACAGAGCATTTGTGTGAAGATGACTTGGTGCTGCTGTTGCACGAGGCGTCTGCTTTACCTGTGAGGGTGTGGAGAAAAGGTTTAGCTGCTGCGGGTCGAGCTACAAAGCAGAATTTAATGGTAAAAGTCTGAAACCACTGAACATTATACATATATAGAGATTAGAGACACACTGATTCTTATTTTGAGTGCTGATTTTATTTCACTGTGGTTGTCACAAAGCTCCTTGGCGGCAAGGGTCTCGGGGGGGAGGGGGAATCCTCCCAGAGTTCCTTAAAGAGCAAGTCACCCCCAAATCAAATTTTTTTCTGATAAACTACATAAATGCGTGTCTAATCGTGCTGCAGACACATGTAGTCAATAGTTTTGCACTTTAGTGCATTTTAGTTACATTTAAATTTTCTGCCTAAAACTGTCAGTGTTGTGCCGTTGTCGGGTAAAAACTCTGCACTGCATTTGAATTTAAATCTGTCATCACTATTGGCTAAGAGGTACCCTACAATGTTAGCTGGCCTGGTACCATATGATGCCACAATGTTGTGAGCCTGTGTGTGTGTATGTGTTTGTTAGCGGCTCCGCCCTCTCGGTCTGCTAGGCAACAGCATTTGTTGCATTTTTCAAACAGGAAGTGAGAGTTGAGTAAGAATCTGGTAGGGGGGTGACTTGCTCTTTAAGGCTCTGTCGCAGGGCTGTGTTGGTTGGAATTTGCAATATCGCGTTGACATCAGGGGCAGTTCCACTAGACTGGCAGACCCGGGTGGCGCTCCCCCTATTTAAAAAGGGGGACCGCATGGTGTGTTGCAGCTAAAGGAAGATCACACTCCTGAGCCTCCCTGGTAATAAAGTATTCAGGGGTTCTGGAGAGGAGAGTCTGTCTGGAGAGGAGAGTCTGTCGGATTGTTGAACCTCAGATTCAGGAGGAGCAATGTGGTTTTCGTCCTGGCCGTGGAACACTGGACCAGCTCTATACCCTTAGGGGGATCCTGGAGGGTGCGTGGGAGTTCACCCAAACAATCTACATGTGTTTTGTGGATTTGGAGAAGGTGTTTGACTTCATCCCTCAGGGGGCCCTGTGGGGGGTACTCCAGGAGTATGGGGTACCAGGCCCTCTGACACAGGCTGTTAGGTCCCTGTACGACCGGTGTCAGAGCTTGGTCCGCATTGCTGGCAGTAAGTCGGGCTCGTTCCCAGTGAGGGTTGGACTCCGCCAAGGCTGCCCTTTGTCACCGATTCTGTTCATAACCTTTATGGACAGGATTTCTAGGAGCAGCCAAGGTGTGGAGGGCATCTGTTTTGGTGGCCTGAGGATCAGGTCTCTGCTTTTTGCAGATGATGTGGTCCTGTTGGCTTCATCAGAATCATCTCCGGCTCTCGCTGGAGCGGTTCGCAGCCGAGTGTGAAGCAGCTGGGATGAGAATCAGCTCCTCTAAATCTGAGACCATGGTCTTGATTCGGAAAAGAGTAGAATGCCTTCTCCGGGTCAGGGATGAGGTCCTGCCCCAAGTGGAGGAGTTTAAGTATCTCAGGGTCGTGAGGGAAAGCTGGAGCGTGAGTTGGACAGGCGGATCGGTGCTGCGTCTGCAATGATCACTGCGCTCCAGCTTTCCCTCGTGAACAAGACCCTGAGATACTTAAACTCCTCCGTTTGGGGCAGGACCTCATCCCTAGTAGAAAATTATTGTGTTTACCATATACACTTAGTAAAATCCAGGTAAGTTTAAATATGAGAAATTGTCTCCTTAAATGTATTCAACTTTAGATCTTAGCGTTTGAACAAAGTTGCATTGTTTAAATATGAAAATAGTTACAAAGACAAATCCCATATTCTACTTTTTTATACCATTAAAACCATTTTAAACTATAATCAAATTCAGGAAAAACAAAAAGTCACAGAGGATGAATATGAGTACGAACACATGTACCCCACAATGACCCGCTGTGACCCAGATCATCCCACTCAGTGGAACAGTGACATAATTAGGTCTGTGTCTTTATGCGTCCTGCTCAGGTTTATCAGCTATCCTCGCACAGAGACAAATATTTTCCCAGCCACCCTGGCCCTCACGCCTCTGGTGGAGCTACAGACTCAGAGCCAAGAGTGGGGGACATTTGCTCAGAGAGTGCTGGCCCAGCCGGGAGGTCCCAACCCACGGCAGGGCAAAAAGTCAGACCAGGCCCACCCTCCCATACACCCCACCAAGTACAGCAGCGCACTGCAGGTAGGCTGACCAGCGCTGCTGCTTCATTTGTTTGGTTTCTTCCCAAATTTTAAATCGATTTGAGCTCTTGAGTGCTTCTCATATTTTGTCCGTTCTTGTCCAGGGTAACGAAGCACGAGTGTACGAGTTCATCGCTCGACACTTCCTGGCCTGCGTGTCCCAGGATGCTATGGGCCAGGAGACGGTGGTGGACATAGACATCGCTCAAGAGAAGTTCTCCACGTCAGGACTCATGATCATTGCGAGGAATTATCTGGATGTTTACCCGTACGACAGGTGGAGCACCAAGGTGTGCTTGGATGTTTCTCCATTCTGACAAACTGAACAAACCTCTGCTGAAGCTCTTCACTGTTGCCTCCTGCTGCTGGTTTGTGATCCATTCTTCCATTTCAAAATGTTTTGCAGGTGATCCCAGTTTATGAGCAAGGCTCCCAGTTCCAGCCCTCTGCCATTGAGATGGTGGACGGACAGACAAGTCCACCACAGCTGCTCACTGAATCTGACCTCATATCGCTGATGGAGAGGCATGGCATTGGTACATTTCAGAATAAAAGCATTGTCGGTACAGGGTTAGCTGCACATTAAACTGGTTAGTGTTTGATTTGGGATTTGCCATGTAGGGCGGGGGTTCTGGTTGGGCAACCAAGCTAATAAAGCTAATGCATTCTTTTTGAAATATGATCGGTCACTCTGAGTTTCACATGCAGGCTAAATGTGAAAATGGTCTTCTCTCCCAATTTCCTGCATTAGCTGCTAATAGAAAATAGACGGGGAAGCGGTAGGGTCAGGAAAGCCATACAGATCTTCTTAACAGTTAATTAGAAAGGCTGTTATTGATTTAGTGTCCAGGAGAGAGCAGAGCGTGTTTCGGCTAGTAGAAGCTAACTGTTAGCATTAGCAGCTTCACAACATGGCAGAACTCCTTCAGGCTTCTGTTATCTGAGGAGATAAAACTAAAACGTTGCAGAGCAAACAGAGTCAGTGGTAGAGTCATGTTGCTGTTAGCCAATCAGAGAAGAGACGCCCAAACATTAGGAAGTAACAACGAGTAAGACTCCAAATCCTGCTGATTTATGCTCCCTTCTCCTATGATTTACTTCTACTTCCTGAAACAGGAGCACCAGAGCTTTTTATCCCACATAGATCGACTCACGAGGCATTCATCTGTACTAGAGACCGCTGCAAATGTGTTGGAAAGACAAGTGAACTTGGTCTTTAATGTTTATAATCAGTTTCATTCGTCAGGATAGAACCTGTTTGTTTGGGATTCATGGTTTTATGTGTGATATGTACCCGCTGAGCTAACCGTGTGCATTAACAGGCACGGATGCTACACACGCAGAGCACATCGAGACTATTAAGAGCCGCATGTATGTGGGACTGACAGCAGACCAGAGGTTTCTACCTGGAGAACTGGGCATGGGACTAGTGGAAGGTCTGTTCACGCTCGTTGTTCCTCATCGAAACGGACTTTGTTAGGTGAAGATGTGTCTCTGATGAGTGTGGTCATGTTTAGGTTATAACTCCATGGGCTACGAGATGTCCAAGCCAAACCTGCGATCGGAGCTGGAGGCCGACCTGAAGCTGGTTTCAGAGGGAAGGAAGGACAAGCGGAGCGTACTTCAGCAGCACATCCAGAAATACAAAACCGTCTTCATTGAGTCTGTCAGGAAGGCTAAAAAGTTAGTAGCACTTTACCCCTCAGTGCAGGCATGTCCAAAGTGTGGGCCGGGGGCCATATGTGGTCTTTTGGACCAATTTTGAGGAGACCAAATAAAAAAATTCTACATAAAATACTTTTTAAAAGTTTTTAAATAAAAAAAAATCATGTTTGACGATTTTGGCTCTTCATCAAAAGTCTGGAAATCCCCTACAGGGAATTAGTTATTTATAATTGCTCATATTTAATAAACAGTCTGGTTAATCCGAATAACAGGCAACAAAAATGTTTGAAGGTGTGATTATAAAAAAAAAATTATTTCATTTCAGCTTTAAAATTTTTGTAATTTGTTTAATAAAAGTAGCCATATTTTTGTGTCCCGTGAGGACTTAACTGACGATGTCGGCCTTAATCAGGCCGAGTTGGCATCCTCTTGCCTAAGTGTGCCTTTGTGGGTCTCTTCTCTGTTGCTTCCTCAGGTTAGATGAAGCCCTGGTTCCCTACCTGGGTGCAGCTCAGGAGATCAGCGAAGCAGAGCAGCAGGACATGGAGATCCCGCTGCCGGTGAGGAAGTGTCCTAGCTGTGGTCGAGACATGGTGCTGAAAAAGAAGAGGGAGGGAAACAGGTGAGATGCGCTAACAGCTAGCACAGCAAAACAAACACTGCTTCTTCTAAAACGCCAAAACTGTTGGACTCGTATTTACAAATTATTTATGAATGGCTGAATTTCCTGTTTCTACCCATCACCTGCAGCAGGTACCTGTCCTGTGTGGGGTACCCATCCTGTAGGACAGCGGTTTGGTTCCCTGACATGGTGCTCGAGGTCAACTGGGATGAAAGCGTTTGTCCAACATGTCAGCCGAGCCCCGTTCACATGTGAGTATCGGCTCACATGCTTGTTTAAAACCGCCCTAATGAAGCTTTGTACAATCTGTTTAGTTTAAGCTACGTGTTTGTTTTTAGAAATCTGGAAAGTTTGTAGTTCCTAAGGACATTTAAATGAACTGGAGGGAAAATAATGAAGGAGTTTCAGGGGATATTTGTTCATCACATAAACATTTGAGGGGAAGTTTACTGACGGTTTTCTCTCTGTCTCTGTTTACAAAATAACTCGTTATGTGTTCAGTACACTCCTCCCTCCTGCCTTTTTACCAAGCCCCCACAATGCGGGTGAAAAATTGAAGCAAACGCGGAAGTGAAATAAATTGCAGTTCCACCCTCATCCACTGGGGGCTGGTGTCAGAAGCGAGCAAATCCTCATTGACTCCCATGTTAAAAATACCAATTTCACAGCAGAAATAAACATGTTTACAGCCTGGTTCCAAAACATGTTTTTGGTTTAAATGATCTAGTTTACACTCATGACAACTCTGAGGGGGGTGAATTGTTTTCTCACTCTTCTGTTTAAGTGTATTAAAAGCCTAAAATTCTGTATAATTAATGAGCATCAGACCCACGTGACCACAGAGCTAGCTCCTTGGAAAGGCCTCAGTAGAGCCTCGGTCTGGCTTTAAAACTGTTCCGTCATTTTCAGTCTCTCAACTTAGACCAATAGTTGAGCCGTTTGTGCGTTCTTTTTGGATATTATTTGTGCAATTGTTGGACAAAATGACTTGCTGTGGCATTAATTGCACTAATAGAGCATTCATGGAGTCTCCACTTCATTTTTTTCGGTAAGTAAAACTATATTTATGTATTTTAGGTCACTGCCGAGCTGAGCTTAGATTTTAACATGTACTGTTTAACCATGAAATTTAAATGTAATAAGGTAAAACCCAGTGCATTTAACATAATGCTGCACTTTAGAAAATGGGTTGAAATATAACATGTTGGTGGAGCTGGGTTCCCACTATCGGTATGGTCCCCTCCCTTCAGCGGCAGCTCTGCGCATCTCTGACCGCAGCGGCACTTGCCTGCTGCGCGGCTGCCGGCTTGTGGAGGTCTCGGGAGACCTCTGTGTTCTACCCGGTTTTACCCAGCGGTCAGCCCGGCGTATCTCTGACTCAGAAGCTCTGGTGTTGTGCACAGTTAACTCCGGTTGTAGCTAGGTTGCTACCTCCGTTAGCTTAGCTCCCACCTCCGTGTTAGCTTTGGGTTAGCTTCAGGTTAGCTTGTAGCTAGTTCGACCGGGTGTCAGTTGATCCCAGCCTTACAGCCCCACCCTCAGCTCCACCTCTCTTCCCTTTTGTGGAATTGTCTGGGCTTGACGGAACCTGTGACACGGTCAAAATGGTGGCCACCTCCAATTTTTCTTCAAAAACTTGTTATTGGAGCCTGTGGAAACCCATTGTCCAATATTTATATGTCGATACTTTTTACCCGCTTCTCTGTATGTTTCAGATACTTCTTCTGTTAATCCTTTATTAATTCATCACAATTATTTCAAAATAAAAAGGACATTTTGGATTTACTAAAAATTTCTTCAACGCCGTTTCCTGTTCTGTAAGACTTGAGGCGTTCAGCTGTGTCAAACAAGTCTTTCGTTGTTTCTGTAGATCAGCTTGTTTTTATTGTTGTTGTTGTTGTCATGTGTGCAAACACAAACAAACATGGAGGGCTTCTGAGGCTGGCCGTGGCCTTGCTGGTGCAAGAAATGTGTCCAAATTCTTATTTACACAAGTAGGCGTTAGCCCCCTGAGCTCTAGCCTCAGCTCAGTCCAAATATAGGGCACGCTCGCTAACAGTGAGCCAAAGTGCTCCACATCAGCTTCGGTTACCGTGGCAACCAATCTGCTACACAGCTTAAAGTTGAGCTTCTGTTTTTATTTCTAAAACAATCTCGCTCGCTCGCTCTTTTTTTTTTATAAATCATATTCCAACTGTGTTTGTTGGATAACTTCAGCAGCAGATGCACGGCTGAGTAAACTGTTGGATTCTTCGTTCGCCTCCCAAGTTGCCATGGCAACGTGGCGTTGTAGGTTTAAATGATGGGGTTGTCAGTAATGCTTTCTTGAAAGGACATTAAGCACTACCATCGACTTAATGTAGTCAGGAAGAAGCTGTAGAACATTTTTGTCACTGTTTAACATTCTTGTTATTATATAATTAAATTATATATTATATTATAATTATATTTTATATGTATTATTATTATTTTATTCAGAAATGTGTTAAAACTGAGCAAAACCATCACACTTTTGCCACTTGGGCGTCTGGTTTTACAGTTGTTAAAATATTTTGTTATAACTAAGATTTCTGTAATAATGATGATCATTTTAAAAACCAGTCACAGTTTTTACTTTAAAAAAATTAACAAGGAGTTCAGCTGCAAATGAACAACCGTGTCTTAATCATAATGCATTAGGATCATTGTGGTTTTACAGGACCAGGTGTTAGGACCGGGGTGTCGGGGTGGCCGGCCCCATGTGGGGACCTGGGCGGGGCCTTGGGGGTCAGGTCCTGCTGCCGGGAAGAAGGCGGGAACATGCGGCAGTGCCTGGCCCGGGCTCAGGGGCCTCAGGTAGACCTTGGCTCCTCTGCTGTCCCATCACAGGAGAGGGGGATGTCCGGGAGGGGGAGGACCCAACCTTACCTGGATGTCCTATGTCTTATATATTCTTGAAGTTGTGCAAATGCAGGGATGGGAGTAGATATTCTGCTGGGGTGGGGCTGGTGCCCTCGGACTCTGTGAGGCTCTGTGCTGCTGCTTTGGGCCCTGGCAGGATCGGCTGGGGTCTCCATGCCCTGAGTGGCATTTTGGTTACAGAGGTGCCCATTGGGGCCAGTGAGGGAGCTGGCTCCCTGGAGGGCTTAGGCCAACCAGCCATTCCTCCCCATCCCCACACATTTTTCTCCTCCTGCTCCCTCACATCATCACACAATCATGCACATAGGACTTTGGGGGTGGACAAGTCAGGGGGTGCGGACAAGTCAGGGGGTGCGGGTATGGACCCCATTTCCGCATTCCTGTGGCAGCCTGCCCTCCAATTTTATTTGCACCTTAAACACTTCCACCAACGACATTCCACACAAACACACACTTAGGGCCTTGAGAGTGAACACATTCAACGGTATTTGGCAAGGGGATCTTTCAGCCTCAACCCGAGAGCCGGTGCCCACTTCCAATTTTAATCTGCACTTAGAGACAGAGGGCTGTGGGTGCAAGTGGGGTGGTGTGGTGGCATCAGCTGGCGTAGGCCAGACGATGCCTGCACTGCACGCTCACCACAGCCATGGAATACACCTAATCAACATGCACTAACACCATATTGGAGCAGGTGGAGGGAGTCTAGGGGTCTTAGCACACCGCTGTTGTCGCTTGGCTTCCTGGGGCTGGAGGCTAGGAGGGAGAACTGGCCGTCTGGTTGGGGTCTGGGGTGGTGGGTTGATTTGCTCGGCTTTGAATGGGGTGCCTGCTCATCATCACCCCAGTAGAAAGGGGCTAACTCTGGGAACCGGTGATGGTTGTACCATTTGTGCAGCTGTACTGGGACCAGAGTGAATAGGGTGTGTATGGGGAGCATGAGTGGGTGTCCGGTGTGCATTTTTGTAAGTCTTTGGTTGTATGTGTATGTGAGAGCATGAGGGAGGGAGTGTGTGACTGTGTTTGTGTATGACTGTATATGTCAGGTGGGGTCTTTGACTCCTCCCCTCTCCTGGGACTTCTTTTGATGCTATACATCTTCATCTCCCCTCCCCCTGCCACACTTGGTGTGGAGTGCGGTGCCTTGGTCTGCGTGAGTGTTCGTGGCTCCCGGGTCAGGGGAATTGAGATTTTTGGCATCTGCCTGATCAATCCCGGTGGCTGCCTGGTGGGATCTGGGTCCCTGGGCTCTGCTGGGTCCCCGGCGGGGGTGGTCGCCCCTGGGTCCCGGGTCGCTGGGTTCCGGGCTCGGCGGACCTGTGGGCGTGCCGCTGATATCTCCTGGGACTCTGCCGGCTGCTGGTTGTGGCCCCCGGGGCAATCCTCTGTGCCTCTCGAGGGGGGCAGGGGCTTTTCTGGTCGCAGTCTCCTTGGGGTCCCTGTGCTGTGGGGCAGCTCCTGGATCTTTGGGACTTGGAGCTCCCTCCATCTCCTACGCATCTTTGGGGGCAGATCTGTGGTCCCTCACACTCTCTATTGGACGCTCCTATAGAGAAACCTTACATAAACAAGCGAGTGTACACACACAGGTGCTCACATGGTGCTCTCATAAGTATGGACTTGGGCACGTTCAACACATGTCTTAAGGCTGTGGTTGCCACTAAATGCACTGTGATTTATTATCATGTGATTGTTCAGTTAAACAATGTTGATTGTATATTTCATCATCAGGTTGATGCAGTGATAGCATGCTCCTGCTGTGTGTCCCTTTTCTGCAGGTCTAGAAGCAGACTCTTGTTCAACATCGATTGTGTATGTTTGTGGGAACACCCCCACCGCCCCACCCCACCCCCATCTCTTCCTTTCTCTTTCACCTCTGTCTCCGTGTCTGGTCGGTTTTAAGTATCAGGCGTGACATTAAAAGCAGACGCCTTGACGCTCCACCTGAGAATAAATCTGTAAGGCTTGTTGCCAGCATTCAGATATTAATTCTGTTTGCTTCTCAGCCAGACAGGACACGGGGAAAATAAATGCAAAAGTAGAAATTCTACAGCTAAATAATCACAAAACAATCTAATGTCTCAATCGTGTTGGAAGGAAGGCCACATTAAAACAGACTGGGGGATGTTAGTTTTACTCATCCAAAAAGGCAAAAGAGGGATGTAGTTTTTGTTTACACTTTGTGAGCATGCTGGGTTGCCAAGTCTGCGCCAACAATTGTAATTCAACGCCAGTCGGCAGAACCCAGCAGCGTTTTGTAAGTCAGTAATTTCTTGTACCCGTAAGAAGTCACGGCATCTTTTTGTTTCACTCTAATATCAGGTGAAGAAGGCTGAAGGCTAACGTTGGGCTAACTCAAGCTACTCTTTTCAGTTAACAACAATTCGATAATACAGTGAAATGTATTTATCTTCTTATCAGCTTACTGTGTATGACCCGTCTTCTCTCGCCATCTAGAATCATCTGGCGCTGGTCCATAACTGACAACAGTTGCCCGGACCGGTCTCTTTTGTTTTGATACACAAACTGCAGTACCCACATTTGACCACCGGATGTCAGTCATACTTCATGCACCTTTGAATGAGAGTATTTTAGTTGTCTGGGGCTCTTATTGTGAAAGGGCAGATAAACGTTTACCGGTTTTGATCTCTTTTTGATGCTGTTAGGAAAAGTAAAACAGCTCGTCAGAGTCACCCAAGAAAGGGCGCTTGTTGTATCAATGGCTTCTGCTGGTCTAGATGAACTGAGATTATACAGAATCTGTCTTAATTTCATGTATGTGTCACTTGTCTCTGATCCATCTGCTGGTTCAGTTCTGTCTAACTGTGGGTTTGGACTTTGTCTTCTGACAGGTTAAAGTTTAAGTTCCGCAGAGGCAGCCTGCCTCCCATGATGCCTCTGGAGTTTGTCGGCTGTATCGGTGGTTGTGACGAGACTCTTAGAGAGGTTCTGGATCTCAGATATCTCAGAACTGGAGGAGGAGGAGGTGAAGGAGGAGGAAATGACCCTCCACCCCCAAGGCCTCCTAGACCTCCTAGACCAGAGCAACCTAGAACTTCCAATCCTCAACCCTCCTTTCCTCCCGTCCCCTCCTGGACTCCACAACCAAGACCTCCACCAGGTGGCCGCAGTGCGATCATGGACCCTAGTAGTGATGCAATCGTGTGCAACTGTAGTCAGGAAGCAGTCCTCCTTACGGTACGCAAAGAGGGGCCCAATCAAGGTCGCCAATTCTACAAGTGCAACTCTGGCAACTGCAACTTCTTCCTGTGGGCCGATCAGCCCGGTCAGCAGGGGCCGCAGACGAGTCGGGGGCCTTTACAGTCGGCACAGGGGAATCCCCAGTCTCAGAGGCCCCCTCTGGGGTTTGGAAACACATGCAGAGGAGGCAGAGGGCAGGAGGGGGGCTCAGCAGGACGCGTGGGACAAACGATGTGCAACTGTAACGAGATGGCGGTGACGCGTACGGTGCAGAAGGACGGGCCGAACAAGGGACGCATGTTCCACACCTGTGGGAAACCACGAGAGCAGCAGTGTGGCTTCTTCCAGTGGGCCGATGAAAACGTTCTCCCAACAGGCATGCTCTCTCTCTCACACACACACACACACACACACACACACACACACACACACACACACACACACACACACACACACACACACACACACACACCAGACACAATAGTCCTGGGAAGACGGCTGGAATTCTTTTATTGTTCATAAAGATGTTCTGCGAGTTTTCCTAAAGCAAACAGAAGATTCAGCTTTCCTGTCCGTCCTGGATCCCTGGGAATCGTGTCCAGTCAATCAGATTGTGACAAAATAAAATAAAAAATGTGGACGATTCTTAAATAAAACTGTAAAAAATAAAGACCAAGCTGAACTATCACCATAAAAACCTTATTTAGGACAGGCTGGTCTGGATGCTCCTAAGATAAAATAATCTTTCTGAAGCAGAAGCTGGTCCTCCTTTAGTTAAACACACCAATCTGATCCCAGTTCAGCGGTCAGCTTCTCGTCTCAATGAGCACCCTCGTGTTTTCCTTTCAGAAATGATGACGACAGTCTTTCACCGTGCCATTATTCCTGAAAACACCTTGAGTTTAAGTTGCACGATGTTACATCATAAGTACTCGTTAGCAGCTAAATTTGGAGTTTTCTCCCTTTTCCAGGGAAACCTGATGATTGCATGTTGTTGTTTTTGGCGTCTCGTATCGGTGAGACGAGTCTGCACTGTGAAACATCTTAAATCGGTACCCAACCATCGAGACCTGATGCTGGTATCCACATCGGTGCATCCCTAATAAGACAGGAAGGGAGAGGAAGATGCATGACTGAAGCTCCTAACGGATACAAACCTCACCAACTTTATTCAAATGAGACAGACTCCATAAACATGACTCGGGCTGATCATCTTCCTGACCCAGGGTATCTGCAGGTTTAAGGGAGCCAAATTTAAGACTTTTTAAGACCTTTTTTAAGGCCACTTTGACGAAATTTAAGCAGTTTTTTTTTATTTAATTTAAGCTATAATTTCCAGCGATTGCCTGGAACCGGTGCCAACCATGTCGCAAACGTGGGATTAGCCACCCAGTTACCATTAAACTTGCACTTCCCCATGGCGCAAGCTCCCACTAGCTTAACCAGCTAATGTGCTCATCTAAAAATAGCCCCCTTTCACAACCAACTGAATGTGTACGGTTCCGCTTACGCCAACATCATACACAAAAAATGCTGAACACTAACTAGAAATTCACAAAAATTTTATAGAAGTAAAATATCTTGTTTATTGGGTCTTTGGTAATTTAAGACCTTTGGAAACCGTATTTAAGGATTATTTGTCATTTTTAAGGATTTTTAAGGCCTTAAATTTGGAAAAGCAAATTTAAGACTTTGTAAGGACCGGCGGATACCCTGCTGACCTGACCTGACCTCTGCTTTTGTTTCAGGAGGGTTTGATGGTGGATTTAATACCTCTGGAGTTGGAGAGAAGAAGGGGAGGAAGCCGAGGGGAGACGGACCCCCCGCTGTGAAGAAGCCTCGCTCCTGCAGCATCTGCCACGTCCCAGGACACACCCGGGCCACCTGTCCTCAGCGGTGACACCTGTCCGACACTCGACCTGACAGGAGGAGTTCTCCTTCAACCACCTACGCTTCCTGTAAACGAAAACCAAAAGCTCCAAAGATAACGTTTTACTTTTGGCTGCTGTGTGACAACAGGAGGAGCGCCAAGAGCAGTTCTACTTTCACTTTTCACTTTTCTGCCTCACTTTTGCTGAGTAACGTTTCAAGATGAGCGGCTCGTTTCTGGATGGAAAGTGTTTAGTCCTAAACTATAAAAGATGTTTTTTTTTGGTTTTACAAAAACTGGAGAACGAGGCACTGATTTATTGCTGGGTTTCAAACGTAAAACTTTCAGACATTTGCATAACTTGAACCAAAAGAAAGGTTTTTTATGGTCGTTTTGCTGCTGAAGGAGAAAGGAAATGTGGAAGCACAGGAAGCAGCAACACATCACACAACGAGGTGATGAACTCCTTTTAAACCCGAAGGTGTTTGTCGCCACAGTGAAGCTGAAAACTTCTGCGGTTCGTTGGGAATTTGCTCCTCTTGTGTTTAAACGAGGTCAGGTTGTGACTTTCAACACGTAATTAGTTTTAAACTTGATTATTTCCACCATAAAGCAGACGGGTATTATTATTATTATTGTTAATATGAAGGCAAATTTAAAAATGTTCCTTTTTTGTCTTAAAACATAAAAGTTGAATATTTGCCATCTTTTGTTTCGGCTCTTCACTTATTTTCACAGGTTTTAATGTTGGAACAAATGAAAACTAATAAAAACTTGTCATTTCCTTCATGGTTAACAACGTCTTCACAGAAATACTTTTGCTATGTTTGGTTTCATTTTGCGTCACCGGGGCTTTTGGCTTCCTGCTGAGTCTTGAAACTTCACTCAGGAAAGAACCCAGCTGTCGCCGCTGCCTGGCTCGAGTCCAGCTTCTTCAGAATAAAATCACTGTTGGCTAACGACCAAAGGTGAGCTATTCCTCCAAGGTTATTCAACCTTTTCCACAGTTCCCTTTGACACAGCGCCAGAGTGCATGAAACAGCCTCAAGGTCATGCAATCGCTTCTAAACTGTTTACTTTCCAGCAATGAAGACAGAAGATGAAGACTCTTCTTTTATCAAATCAAAGAACTCTATTTTCAATTAAGCTAATCAAAACAATGTTAGTCAATAATACAATGTGATCGATCTGTGAAATCACAATATTATGATTAATATGTTTGAATAAGGAATATGACTTAATCTAGTTCACTAGACACGCTGATACACGTAAGGAAAACAATCACATGACCTGTTGCTGATCCAATCAGAGCCTTCCTAGTCTGAAGCGTGGCAGTCTCTGTGGTGTTTATAAATCTGTCAGTTTTGATTCGTCCAGAATAAAAAACATCCAGATTAATAAAACAGTCCCAACGCCATCTTAAGTTCAGTTCTCAAGATCTCGTTCTCAAGGTCCCATGAAGTTCACCGCATGCTAAGTGAAGTATTGGACCGGCCATCTGTACTTCTCTTTTTAAGATGAGAACCATCAAGCTGGGAAAATCTGTTGTTTTGTGAACCAAGCAACTGTACTTTTCAGAATAAAAGCTGAACTCGCTGACCCAAGGAGGGTCCCCTTTTTGACGCTGTGAACCACCCGTCGCTTTTAACCTGGAGACAATCCAAGGACTAGTTTGTCGTGCTGTGACGCTGTACCGTTGGCTCCAGTACCGGAAGGAATAACCCAGTGTCCACAAGATGGATTTCATACTCAATATGAAATTTTAATGTCTTGTGGTCCTTAATTAAGTGTAATTAACACTCATTACAATGTTTTTGCCTCTATGTGCTTTTTTTTTTTTTTTTTTTACTTTTGGGAAATCTTCCTATGAACCACTGGGTAGATCTAAATGAAACTAGATGAAAACATTGGTTGCATCTTTATAAAATATTTGACCTTTTGGAGGGAACCTGATTTAGCAACTTGTGGCTTTTTTGTTGGATAACGCGTGCCGTAAGTGCAGAACGAATACTGGGCTGAAATGTCCTTACAAATAAAAGGGCGGTCCAAAATACGTGTTCGGATACGCGGATCCATTTATTAAAGTAAAAAGGCAGAAAAAATAAAATCAAAACTCAAAGAATATCGATGCCTACACTATCCTGCACGGTCAGACTGTTTGTCTCCGAAGCCACACACCTGTTGCTTGATTAGGTCACCTTTAACCTCCAAGTAGAGCCACCCCCAGAGTGCCCTCCGCAGTAATTGGCTCCAACAGCAACTAAACACAAAACTGCATCAATTTTCACAGATATCAAGTCAAAACCACATCCTGATAGCTAGATAATTGACCAACAGCTTTACACATCAGTTTATCTTACTTTATCATTTGAAATGAAAGGATGTGGGTGATGGGCATTCCCTCAAAGAATACTCGGCCTTTAATTTGGTTGATTTGTATGAATTCCAGTGTCCCGTGGAAGCGGCGTTTGTGCTTCGACTTCTGGAGCTTTTCTCCTTTCTGCTCTGCTTGGAGTGGAGCTCAAAGGAAAGACTTGACAAAGCTCTTTTTTCATTTGATAATTTTTTATTTAATTCCAGTAATTGGAGATAAAAATAATTTGTAGAAATTGAATTCTTATGTTTCCAGTGTGAAGGTTGCCGGTTTGAATCCTGGCTGCGACCTTTCTGCTTGAAGTTCTCATGCACGTGTGGGGTTTTCCCTGGTGCTTCAGCTTCCTCCCACTAAACAAAAACATTAATTTCAGACTAAATCATTCCTGAGTGTGATGCTGTGAGGCCTCTGTAGCATAAACGTTAAAGAGCAAATTACCCCTACCAGAGTATTACTCCACTCCCACTTCCTGTTTGAAAAATGCAACAAATGCTGTTGCCTAGGAGACCGAGAGGGCGGAGCCGCTAACAAACACACACACACACACACACACACACAGGCTCACAACAACATTGTGACATCATATGGTACCAGCTAATGTTCTAGGGTAGCTTTTAGCCAATATTTAGCAGATTTAAATTCAAATGCAGTGCAGAGTTTGTACCTGACAATGGCAAAACACTGACAGTTTTAGGCAGAAAATTAAAATTTTAACTAAAATGCACTAAAGTGCAAAACTATTGACTGCACGTGTCTGCAGCACGATTAGACACGCATTTATATAGTTCATCAGTTAAAAAAAGGTTGATTTGGGGGTGACTTGCTCTTTAAATATTTTATTAAAAACTTTCAAGGACAATATAGTCTTGTACCCAAAGTACTTTGCTTTTAAAGGAATATATTATGCAAAATTGACATTTTGTAATAACTTTTTTGCTAACTCAAATAACTTCTTTAACATGTTTTGTATTAACCATAAAACTATTATAACTCAAGCAAAATTGTCATAATATGTCCAGTTTAATTGAATTTCAAGGTACGTGAATCTCAAAGTGTCAATGACTTCTATAGAAATGCAGACCCATGTGCTCTAGTGATAAGGGACACGGATATTTTAAGATGTTTTTCTTACAATGTACTAAAAAACAATTAAGCCGCATTAAATTTAGGGAATCAGGCGATTTTCTCACATCAATTGTTTTTTCTTATAGTTTTCTACAAAAACCAAAAAAATGTTCTGTTTTTATTAAAAGTTGTATTCAATGTGAAATTAAAAAACATTCAAAATAAAATGATTGTGGGTGTTTTATTCAGAGAGAGAAGCAGGAGAGCTGGAGCACTCAAATGAGTATAAATGTTTTAATGGTGGAAATCACTAATTTTTATTTCTTTGTTATTTCCACCATTAAAATATTTATACTTAATTGAGTGCTCCAGCTCTCCTGCTTCTCTCTCTGAATGTCCGGCAGCTGGATGACGCGCAGAGAGTTTTATCTTCTGCTTTGGAATCAGTTGGTGCCAAGTTTCCATTCCACAACATGCAGATATTAATGGGGTGTCATTTGTAAAGTCAAACGGTCAAATACATTTATAAATTTTAAAGTTCCTGACTAAATATTTAGTTACCAAGCTACAAATTTAAAGTTTGCTATAGAGCACGAACACCAAAGCGACATCTAGTGTGTGGAGGTTGTAGTTGCAAGAACAGAACGAGGTTTCCAGCCGTCGGAATTCCAGGTTCGCTGCCAATACGTAAAATTTTTTATTTGGGTCCATCTGATGTGGGCTTCCCCTAAACTAACTCCTGTTTTAGATCTTTTATGGTTGCTCCTCTTCTGAGAAGAATAAGGACATCTTCTGGGCTCAGAAGCAGCAACTTGACTTGCCGAGTCCACCATTTCCAAAGAACCTGCCTTGCTGTGCCGAGTGGACTGTTTGGCAGCCCTCAATGGTGCCCTCTACTGGCTGGCAGATGTAAACATAAACCCAGTGTCATGCCTGTCAAAATAAATATTTAATTAGTTTTTATTAAAATATAGCTTTATAGGGAAATACTGTACCTTCATTCTGCACACCTCTAAATGTCCCATGGAGGTGTACTTTTTTAATATATAGGTTTTATTAAATTGTTCCATATTCAACCTTAATATTCAGGTTTAGCCCCAAAATAAAAATTTAACTGGGATCTAAATACATTTAATTTGGAGCTAAATATTTACTTTCCAAAGTAAATATTTATTTTATAAACTATGTATTTATTTAATAAATATTTAACTCTAAATTAAATATTCAGCTTGCCTATGGACAAGCACCATCTTACATTGGTGATCTTCTTAGTCCCTACACCCCCAGCGGGCCCCTGAGGTCCAGTGATCAAAGCCTGGTTGTGCAGCACCAGGCTAAAGACCAAAGGTGACAGATCATCTGCTGCTGTGGCCCCCAGACTCTGGACCTCTCTCCCCCTGAGCCTGAGATCAGTGGACTCAGTGGTCTCCTTTAAAAGCAGCTGAAGACTCACTTGTTCAAGCTGGCTTTTGTATGACCTTCTTCACCACTCTCTCTTTATTCTGCTCTCCCCACCTATCCCACCTTCCTCAGGATCCACTGATTCCCCTCTTTCCTGTTCACTTTCTCTCTTTCTTAACATTTTTTAATCACAATTGCCTATTTTTGCTCATTTTAATATATTTTTAAACATTTTCTAAATGCTTTTTTATATTTTTACATTTTTTGTTTTTGTTAAGCGCCTCGTGATTTTTATCTTGAGAGGCGCTATAAAAATGATATTTTCTTCTTCTTCTTCTTCCTACTAAATATTTAGTTGGCAACTTTGACATATTTAATAAAATGAATAACATGGTGAGAATATGACTTTGAAAAATTCTCCCATTTTCTTTCTCTCGTGATCGGCTAAATTACCCAAACGATGTTGTTAATTTGTGTCTGTTTGACTTTACAAATGGCCCTCGTAGATCTTTAACCAGTTTCTGCTGGTTTGGTGAAAGACCTTTCACCTCGGTACCTTGGTATTAGACTAACTGAGAGCAGATGTTTGGCATGAACAACAGCAGCCGACATGTTGCAGCTTTATGTTCCACATCAGGAAGCATCTGGGTGCTTTACTGTTCCCAGAAACGCTGCCTGCCGCAGCTGGGATAAAGGCGAGTCTCCTTCGCGAGAAGAGGACGAGAATAAAAGCGAAAATATGACGCAGATTCCCGGTATGTGGCTGCCAGTTCACCCGATGTTTTGATGCTGCGCTCTCCCTGTGCGTGCGTGCGCGCGCATCTGGGACAGTATTCCAGGGAAGGAGGCGAACTCTTTACTGGCACGTTCCGTGACTCATGCGTGACTCATAGCACGTGGGTGGGAGTGAGCTGCCCATAACAGTTTATTTATCTGTATTTTTAAAGCTTCCAGCTCCGCTCCTGGAGTATCCAGGCAGGTAAACAGTCACGTGATTGTCTTCTCCGAATTACAGGCAATAAGCTCGAGTTTTTACGGGAAAAGCGCCGCATTCCTGCATCCCTGCAGGCTGACAACACATGTAAATGATGGCAGAAAATCCCTTCCTGGCAGGGATTTCTCCCGGCTTCACGTCAGGGCACATTTAACCACTTCAAAATCTGAATTCAACAAAACAGATAATACTCATAAACACAATTCACCTTGAGAAACAAACGACCCTAAACAGAAATCTGCTTACTTTTGTTGCCTAAATAGCCCAGATGATGTCATTGTGATGTCATCAGGATCAACTTGGCTGAAAGCTGAATGTGTTTCCCACAAAGGAGAAGAAAGATAATGTGTACATTTTCACAAATGTGACCCATTCAGCAAACGACATTTAAGAGAAAGGGACAGGAATGATAAATGAAACAGTTCATATTTGATTAATCTGGTCTGAACTCTGATCCGAGGTTAGAGTTCAGTGAGTTCAAGTCGCTCTTCAACCCTCAGCTGTTCCATCAACTCTTCCTGCTGCGTCATCACCCGGCTTCACGTAGGTTGTCACGGAAACGGTTACCATGACAACCGGTGCCTGTAAGTGATGCAAGTGTTTTCCAGGTGCAGGGAGAGTGTGGACCGTGGACGCAAAGAGCTACAGAGGATTTTACTGACAGTTGATTCCCAAATTCAATGATGGATTATGTTTCCCCGTCACAAACCACCCCCACACCTAATGAGCTGTTTCCACCTAGGGGCCTTGACAGGTAAAAGAAAAAAAAGTCAGGTGTAAAGGTTGAGAAGAGTTCGTGAACGTGATTAATACAGAAGTTTAAGCGGTCGGCTTCATTTTTGTAGCTCTGTTATGCATCTCCCCCCTCTGCAGAAAGGCTGCTTGAAGATGTGAGTTTGAGACTTGAAGATGGCTTCTTTAGCTGTTAAATTCCATATTTGGATCAAAAACAGGAGGGGGGGGGGGCATTTCCACTGAACAAGTGGAGCAAGGCTTTCATTTCCATTGCAGATTCTGATCTTTACTTCTGTTACATAAAAATACATGAGCTCACACTGTTTCACTGACAAGTTCACTGAGTGCACTGTTTTAACTTGGCAGCCTCATTTTCTAATCATCGGGCCACAAAGCTGCAGTAAGACTGATGTTCTGGTGTTTTAACCGATTACAAATGCATTTAGACAAATGTTTAAATAACTGCAATTTCTAATGTCTTCAAAGAAATAATGTCACTTTTCGTTTAAGAAACTTAAAAGAATCTTAAACTCACTTATAGATACTTTTCATCTTCTGGGGTTTGTTTTTTTTTTGGGTGGGGGGTTCTTTTGACTTTTTAAAGGCCTGAAGAGACTGTGTATAATTACCCTGGCAATAGGGGGCCAGTACATCCCTAAATCATTGCAAGCAAGCAGTATTTTTGTGTTCGGGTAAGACCTTACAACGGGTGGCCTTGAGGGTCAAAAATCCCAAGGAGAGCAACTTCAAGCAAAATGACAAACACATGAGACTCCATTTAATCACTGGAAACGAGAAAAGTAAATGTGTAAAACAACTTTTATTAATGGTGAAAGTTTTGCTTGTTACAAATCAGTACACACGTTTTGTCCTCATGGGCTCCTGTAGACGGAAACTTTTAATATGGCGTCGCCCAGAGACTTAGATCCGCTCCAATGTATTTTAGACCCGATATTTATGGTTTATGTTACAAAGCTGCCAATATTTTCAAAAACCGGGCATCATTTAATTCATTTTAAACAACATTTTGATGGTAATTTCCAGAGATTAATGGTTAAAAAAAATACACATTGTCACTTTAAAACAACACTAAATAAATTTTCTCATTACTGCCCCCTACTGGTTGAAAGCAGAATTACAACATTTGTCAACAGCATCTGCCACTCCCTGCTGTGGTTACCGCTGACCCCCGGTCAAACACACAGGAGTTCAGCACCCCTAAACCTCAGGCCAAACGTGCCTTCTTACAAGTCCAATAGCAACAAAGCCAGGTCACCATCAGTCCATGACTTTGAAGCCTCCTTCATCTCCCTCAAACAGGTGTAGGCCACGCTGATGTTCATTCTGGTTTTTGGTCTTTGCTTCACCTCCAAAGACATTAATCTCTTACCTTTACTTCTATGCTCTGTCATTATATAAAAAAGATATTTTCTTCTTCTTCTCGTGCATTTTTGCTTGTGTTTCTTTCTTGTGCAAACCAAAAAAGCTAACTGCTAGTATTTATATGTAGGAGGCCATTTCCGGAGGCTACATATATTAGCTACCAGCACTGTAAACAGCTATTGCCATGAAGCAGGAAGAGACTATGGCTCTCACTAGTGTTCCTACCTGAACCACAAAACTTTTAAATGCAGTTTCTGGTCAGCAGAGGGCCACTGTCCAATGGGATGTTGCTCAAGTTTCTTGTTCAAGAACCACTGAACGAAATTTAAAAGCAATAGCTAAAGTGTTTAAAATGCTGAGTGTTGCTTTAAGACCATTTTTCTTCCTTTTTGCAATATTTACAATGAGTGGAGTGAATGGGCTCCCAGCTCCATTAATATGTTAGTCAACATGTTCCAGTAAAATGAAAATGAGTGTAGATATGCATGTTTTCATGAATGTTGCTGTGTCTGAGGAAAAAAAAAAATAGACAGTACAATTGCCATGTACTACAGCAACGTAGACCTGCCACCCACACAAAATAAAATTGGAGCAATATCACGTTATAACATCATAACTTTATTGTTCTAACAATTTGATTTTCACACCCTTACAATATAATATCAGGTGCGTGCAATATAAATATATTGTACGAACGTGAAAGTTTTATTGTTGGAACAATACAGTTATCAACCTAAAAACATGAACATCAGAGGCTCCTTTAAAGTTTTTACTTTAAAATACTTTTGTAGCTAACTTCAAGATTGGTTTTGTGTAAAATCAATCATCTTACCAGTTGGGCATTGCTTTCTGAATGTTCTACAGGATTGATGAGTCAACGGTTAGGCTAAGAATGAACAAAGACTGAAGATGGAAGAAATACACTCCACACTCGGATCAGAGCAAACTGAAGCTTTTCCATTTACATTGGGTTGACATAAAAATCCCATTTAGTGAAAAACTAAAACACTCATTTTGTCCTACTTTGATTAAATTTGCTTTTGCGTAAAGACCTGTGGTCATTTGGATTAAATAATTATTTACCTTGTAAATGTTTGGTCTATAATTAATTTCCTTTTGATGACATCTTGTCAATGTAAAATTTATTACTACATCTGTCAGGTACTCCAAAAATATAAACTGATTTCTTTTAATTAGGAAAAAGTAGTTCCTCCAAAATTTTACAATTGTCTAAAATCCCACAAAATCTTTAGGACCAGTTTTGTTTAGGAAAAGGGAGGAGATCATATAAAACTGTAAGTCGCCTCTGTCAGTGTGCCCCAGGGCAGCTGTGGCTACATAGTAGCTCATCACCATCAGTGTGTGAATGGATGAATGTGTAGTGTAAAGCGCTTTGGAGTCCTTACTCTGAGAGGCGCTGTACAAGTGCGGGTCATTTATCATAACAGTGATAAACAGTTGAAACATCTAGAAGCATCTAGAAGCTGCTTCCACCTGAAACTATACTACCTCTTTGTTTTAACCATCGACATATAAATATTTTTTAATCGTTTTAACAGGGTGTTTCATTTTAGTATTTTGTAGTTAAGACATTTTTAATGTTTCGTTAAAACGACATTTGACTGAATAGAAAAGCCAAGGAGATACAGGGTCTCATGGGGTTAAAACAATTAACAGAATAATTTATGGTGTGCACAAAAAAACTTTAGATCCGTAAGTCAAACATGAAGCATTGTGGCTTTATTGTATTTTATTTCTATTTAATAAACGCATAAAACCGAATAAAATAGAATAAAGTAATTTAAAAACATCAACCTCGGTGTTTTAACCCTCCTCCTCCCTTCTCTGCTCTCATTTCGAGCGCGCGCTCTCCTGCCCGCGGACACGCGCATTGGGGGCTCGGCCCACTACGCAACAGAAAAGGGGCGCGCCCGCGCGCATGCCGCGCGCTGTCCAGTGTTGATGTGTCGCAGATTTTAAAAAGTGAAGCAGAGTTGGAGAGGAAGCGCGGACGCTCAGCGGAAAATCACCAGAACTCTCGCGGCTTCGGTGACACTTCCACGGCGGGTTTTCCCACCATCCTTCTTCCTCCCGCAACTATTTATATCCCCCGCAGCGCAGAAAGCGACGCGTCCGACCCTAGCCGCGTCCTGTTGGAGCAGCGATGGAGCTCTCATCTATAGGAGACCAGGTGTTCGCAGTTGAGTCAATAACGAAGAAGAGAGTCAGAAAGGTAAGAAGCACCTCTCGTGTTACACTTCATTTAACTTAAATTAAGTTTCACCGCGCGCGCCCGTGCACAGCAAAACAAGGTTACGCTGTTTGGCTAAAGACGCTAAAACTAGCGTGTTGTCTTAAGAAACTGCGCCAAAGTTCAGCGCTAGTTTCACCGCGCGAGGCGCATCCTGTGTGGAGCCCGAGCTGCTGCAGCATGGCCGTGTTATGGAAGAGCCTACGCAGTTATAGTAAAACATTACAGGGGGTGTAGTTTGAAAGCAGTGTGTGTGTGAGGTGCTGCTGCGCAGTTAATAGTTAATTTTAGTTCCGCGAAACTGCTGCGTAATATTACGTGATGCTGAACAAAGTGCTACAGGTGCTCCTGGACGTATGGCGTCATCATGTTTGGTGGTAAAACGCAGCAATAATCTGGCCGTATTAAAGCCAGTGGGTTTGATCCCGCAGAGAGAATAGCGAACCCGTGCCCTCCGCATGTACGCGGGCTACTGTTGTTTTCATCTGGGATAACAGTTTAGGACCTGGGCGTTGCGCAACACCTTCTTGTTTACGTGTTCCCGAGGCCCCACCTATCCTAGCCACCGGTGTAATGTTCTAGAAAGTTCCCTCACGTTGCGTTGTGGAAGCCGGCTCATGCAGCGGGCACGTCATCGCGATGCGAGAGAAAAGCTGCTGCGTGATGAAGCCACTCGCCGCACGGCCCCACTGTCATTGACGTCATCCTATAGGAAAGAAAGTACGCGAAAAACTCCACGAGCCTCCCTCCTTTCCTTCGATCCACGCTTTTAAAGAGACAGACCTTTATTTCTGGCACATAACAGCTGTGTGTGTGTGTGTGTGTGTGTGTGTGTGTGTGTGTGTGTGTGTGTGTGTGTGTGTGTGTGTGTGTTACAATAGAGGGTGCATTTAAAGGGCAGCTGGAGTAAGTGTGTCGTCGGCTCTGGGTGACCCTTTGTCCATCTCTCCTCAGGGTAATGTGGAGTATCTACTGAAGTGGCAGGGATGGCCCCCAGAGTGAGTAACATCTGACTCATCATCTGCTGAGATCATCATCCGTTCAATATAAAAGCAACAGCAGAGCTTTAATCTGCTCCTGCGCCATCCATTCACAGACCAATAACCCCTGTATGTGTTTGTGACCTATAGGTACAGCACGTGGGAACCAGAGGACAACATCTTGGACCCTCTCCTGGTCCTGGCCTACGAAGAGAAGTGAGTGATTTTGAAAGTTCTATTTGCATAAAAACCTCTTTTTTTCTGTTTCCTTTTTGAATTCACACTCACGGTTTCTCTCTGCTGGACCCCCCCCCCCCATGTTTTTTCTCTTGCAGTCAGGAGAAGATCAGATCTTTGGCCTACCGAAAGAAAGGTCTCAGGCCCAGGAAGCTCATGCTGCGGGTAGAGACATGCTTTCTCATTTTTAGAAATTTCTTGACCCACTCAGCTATTTAAAACCGGTTATATCAATGAAAGCACAACTGGATTTAAAGCAGCAAGAAATTAGTTGCTTTTTTTTTTTATTCGTATAATGTAAGCAACACATCCTGCTGTCTGTAGAGTCCCATACAATTTTAACTGGGTGCCACTGAGCATCAGCCAATAGCGTTGGTGTATTTATTACCTGAAGGCCAAAGTGCAAATTACATACAAAAAAAAAGTTTTTAAAGATTTTAATCCAAAATGTTTGCTGTAATTCCAATTCTTTATGATCAAACTAATTTGAATACAAATAAAAAGGCTGACGGAAATTAAACCAAATTTTTGTTTACAGATTTAATCATTTTTTTGAGTTCATTCTTCTTTTATTACTTTTACTTCATAGAAGTTAATAACCAAAAAGTATTTTTCAATTTTCACTACAAAATAACAAAATAATATCAAACATTTCCTTACTCTGATGAACCCGAGTCCTGAGGGGGAAACCGGTTAAAAGCGGTTTAGCATGAGAACATTAATGTTCACACATGTGTTCTCTGCCCCTACCCTTCTGATTCTGTGTAGTATAATATTTAGTCAGCCTGCGGAGTTTTCCTGGCCCCGTCAGTCAGATGATGTTGGAACTGGTGGAAACTGGACGGGTCCTGTTTTGTTCCTTTACCAGAAGCCCCGCCCACCAGAGTCAGCTCAGCAGTAAACAAAGATCTATAGGCAACTAACGCTAAACACCGTAACTAAATCGAATTTGTGTATTTCACTTTTAGCAGCAGGTTATTAAACTCGGGCAGATTTGCCCCAGATGATGTCATTATGTTGCATTTTTAATATTTTGTAACCGCTTTCTTTGAAAGTGGCGTTTCTGTTTAGTAAGCTAACGTTAATGGAGGAAACCGGTGGAATCCTGTATTGCGTAAACAACAGTAGTCTTAATGTTTTGATTGTGTGGGACTGTAAGTAGCGACAAGTAGCAAATATTTCTCAAACGTTTAATTTGTCAAACCCGTAGTCGGGTGAGTGTTCGTCGTTTTAGTCTGATCAATAATCAGCAGCAACAGAAAAGCCGATTTCATCGTTGATTTTGACCTGAAAGCAGCAGATGAACTTCTGACTTTGCTGCTGTTGCAGAAACTGAAAGTAAAGATGGATTGCTAACAGTCGTCTGTATGTTGGTTTCACTATTATGAAATGCAACTGTGTTTATTTTTAAAGTCTGCAAATCCTCTCAAATCTACGTTCTTATGAATTTGTTTATTTTTAAAAAGTGCTGACATAACAAAAGCAAACGAAAAAACGTGTTTGGCAGAGAACTTGACCCTCCTATCTGTCAGTCCGTTTTTGTTTATTCATTCACTTCCTGGTTTTGTTCTCCACCAGAACATCTTTGCCATGGACCTCCGCAGTGCCAGCAAGGATTCGGAGAAGCCCCCCCCTCGCCTGCGTCTGTCCCTCACCAGGTCCATGAGCACAGACGTTGAACAGCTGTGCCGTCGTCCAGCTGGGAGGAGGTACAGATCGAGGATGACCAAACTAGGGTCCAAACGCTCGTCCTGCAAGCCCATCCATCTCCAGAAGAAGAAGCTGGACTCCCCGCTGAAGCACTGGGGGGAGGCCAGTGAGGAGGACAGGCCAGAGTGTGAAAGTGCTGCTGAGGAGAAATGTGAAGACAGCTGCTACGGTCAGTTTTTAGAGCCATTGACCAAAATCAGAAGCTTTTATTTTTGTAGGTTGACTTAAATTGGGTTTCTCTCTCAGGTCATTCAGAGTGCAGCTCACCACCCTTCGTGGAGCGACAGGACGTGGACGTGGAGAAGGTGGACGACCAGCTGACGCCCATCAACACAGAAATGTGGACCAACACAGCGGACGGAGGGACGACTGGGACGTGTCAGATATCTGCACACGAGCAGCCAAAGGACAATGCGTTGGCCTCTGAGGCCAAACTGGGAGATGCGGTGGTTTCCCTGGGAGACAGGCTGGATTTTGACGGCGGTGAGACGGGGGTGGAGGCGGGCTCAGAGTGTGAGACGGGGGTGGAGGCGGGCTCAGAATGTCCCAGCGTGGACAGCATTCCTCGTGAGAGAAGCAACACGACGTCGGTGATTGTGAGGGTCCAGGACTATGCCAGCACTGGGGTAAAGGTGGAGGAAGGGAGCGCCAACAATCAGTCGGTTACCATGGCGACGTCAGGCCCTGCCGAAGAAGAACGTCCAGAGAAAGTGATCGTAACAAACGTGACTGTGAACTCGCTGACGGTGACGTTCGTTGAAGCCGACGGGGCCGAAGGCTTCTTTAAGGGCTGCTGAAGGAAAAGGCCGCAGCTCCGGATCACCAGAATTCAACTCGCCACTCGTTTAGTCCTGCGCGTAAAACGGAAACGTTTACAGATGTACCTTCACTTCCTACTGAGTTCAGTAAAGACATTTACCAATGAAAGTGAGTGCTGATTTTATCATTTAAGAGGAAGTCTGGTTGCTCTCCTAAGTGCTGGAGTGACCCGTTGAGATCGGGCCGCCGGGTTTCCAGCCAGAACCGTTCGCGTAACTACTCCGATGCAGTTAGCCTTCCGTAGTGCTTTCCAGCAGGACGCCGGTCCCAGATCTGTCCTCGGGGTGGCCGGTTTCAGTCGCTCCTCTTTCTTACTCGTACTGTTTTGTAAACGTCGCTCTTGTTTCGTCTTTTGGGTTTCTTTGCACAGAGCTAAACGCATGCCCCGCCTCTCTGTGCCGCTCAAAGGCCCGTCCTGTGCTTGTCTGAGCGGTTTATTTCTGTAACAAAAGAAATGCAACAAAGGCGGCGGATGAACGCCTCTGATGGAGTTTTGCATTTCAATGAGCTTGAGAAGAAAGTCATGATTTTGCCGTTTGTCCTATGAAATGCTTCCTGGTTCTATTTTTGTATCACCAAGCGATGGTCGACTTTTTAGAGACGAGTCTACACTGCTGCTGTCACACTGTAGGTCGTGCAAATGTACTTTAGATTAAACTAGTGATCTACTATTTATTGCATGTCACTTGTATAAACTAACTTATGTCAGGATAATGTCTTAAACTGATGGATTGTCTTGACGTCTTCAAGAAAAAAAGATTTTTTATTTAACTGCATTTCCAATAAATGTGTACTAAAGCAAACCTTTTTCTGTCCTGTTTTTGTTTAAAGTTGCTGGGGATAATAAACATTTACTGTTTTGGCACAAACGGGCCTGAAACCAGTGCAAACACTGATTTTTAACACAATGAGAAGATTTAAAACTAGAATTTTTCAGGACTAAAAGAAACAGATCTGTATACAGTCAAGAGCTTATGCTGCATTTAGAGTTAAGGTGAAAGTTTTATTCAGATGGGCAAATTTACAGTTTTTGTTTTTCCTTTTTCAACTGAAAATCAGAAAATCCTGAGCAGTGGTGCTACACTATCACCACTAGAGGGCGCATTGCTGTCAAAAATGATGCCTTTACAGGTGATACTTGAAAAATGAGAATATGCTGCAAAAGACCATTTATGTCAGTGATGCAATTTAGACTGAGAGACCATCGAAAGGCTCAGGAACCCTTTGCAGGTGTTCTGGATTCATCAGCTGATTAGAATGACACTTTGAGTCTGGAATCTTGAATCTTTTCACAGTGTTCTGATTGACGTTTTGAATTAGGATTTTTAATAATCTGTAAGCCATAATCACAATTTTAACCTCTTTTGTACCATTTTCTAATTTTTCAGTTCCACCTGTTGTGAAACCTGGTTTCAGTAGTAGAGCATAAAGGCGACAAACAGTTTCATTATTACTCCGAAATATCCACTGATGGGTGTAACCACAACCCCAGAGAGGCCTAACTGTATTGACTGACTTTACTGATGCTTGTCTTTAGTAAAGCAGCACATTTAGCTCCAGAAGTTCTTCATAGTCTTCATCCCTGTCCAGGCACAGCAGTCCTCTCAATGTTAGGCTGTAGCTACAGGGCTCTTCTCTTTACTCCATATTTGTGTCTGATCATGGAGCTGATGGACGGTGGCAGTGGAGTTAAGTGCACACCCTGTAATTGGAGGGTTGCAGGTTCAAGCCCCTCTCATTGTGTCGTTGGGTCAGAGGTGGTGCCAGTGCTCCCCAGGGCAGCTGTAGCTACACTGTTGATTAACATCACCTGTGTGTGAATGGATGAATGACTGTTGTGTTAGCATATTGGGGGTGGGGGGGGGGGTGGAACTCTGGAAGGCGCTTTATACAGCGAGGAGAATACGTATGTGACACATCAGCGTTTTTACCAGTAAGGGTATTTCTGGTGATTCTGGTCCATTCTTCCACACAAACGCTCATTGGGCCTCTTTTATGATCTTCAGTTCTCTCCATAGATTTTTTGTGGGATTAGGATCAGGTGACTGACTGGACCATTCAAGCAACTTGATTTTCTTTCTTTTAAAGCAGTTCATTGTTTCCGTGGCATTGAGTTTGGGATCCTCGTCCTGCTGAAACACCCACCCTCAGGATCTGCTCTGACGTGGTCCTCCTCTTATCTTTCGGAGAGCTCCTTTTCTGTGGCCGTCTCCAAGTTTAGGTCCTCCACCATCTCCCTTACCCATGGTGTCCCACAAGGTTCTGTGCTGGGGCCTCTGCTCTTCCTCCTCTATCTGCTTCCTCTTCAGCACATCCTGAGCTCCTTCAAAGGAATCTCCTACCATCTTTATGCAGATGACATCCAACTGTACATCTCCTTTAAACCCCATGAGATGTCTAAGCTGCAGCTGTTACACACCTGCTTAGACTCTATCAAAACCTGGATGGCTGGGAGCTTTCTTCAGCTGAATGAAGATAAGACTGAGATCCTCATCTGTGCCCCAGACAAGCTGGTTCCCAAAGTCAGAGACTCTCTTGGTCAGCTTGCTTCTCACACCAAACCTTCCATCAGGAATCTTGGTGTGACCTTTGACCCGGCTCTCACCCTGGATCCTCATGTCAGTTCTCTTGTTCGCTCTTCCTTCTTCCATCTCAGGAACATCGCTAAGCTGAGTCCCGTTCTGTCTCACTCTGAACTTGAGACAGTTATCCACACCTTCATCTCCTCACGCTTAGACTACTGTAACTCTCTTTTCACGTGTCTGAGCAGAACCTCCCTGAACCGTCTACAGGTGGTTCAGAACGCCTGTGCTCGGCTTCTGACCAAGTCCTCCAAACACACCCACATCACCCCGCTTCTCCTCCAGCTTCACTGGCTGCCAGCCAACTTCAGGGTCAAGATCCTGGTTCTGGTCTATAGGGCCTTACATGGACAAGCACCATCATACATTTGTGATCTTCTTAGTCCCTACACTCCCAGCAGGTCCCTGAGGTCCAGTGATCAAAGCCTACTGGTTGTGCAGCACCAGGCTAAAGACCAAAGGTGACAGATCATCTGCTGCTGTGGCCCCCAGACTCTGGAACTCTCTCCCCCTGAGCCTGAGATCAGTGGACTCAGTGGTCTCCTTTAAAAAGCAGCTGAAGACTCACCTGTTCAAGCTGGCTTTTGTATGACCTTCTTCACCTCTCTCTCTTTATTCTGCTCTCTCCACCTTCCTCAGGATCCACTGATTTCCCTCTTTCCTGTTCACTCTCTCTCTTTCTTAAGATTTTTTAAAATAACAATTGCCTATTTTTGCTCTTTTTAATATATTTTTAAACATTTTCTAAATGCTTTTTTATATTTTTACAATTTTTGTTTTTGTGAAGCACCTTGTGATTTTTATATTGAGAGGCGCTATAGAAATGATATTTTCTTCTTCTCTTTTCCATGTGCAATAATTATCTTAACTTATTATGTACTCTTGTGCGATATCTTGTGTGCTACTGCTGCTATCCTGCTGTACCTGAGCCATTGCAATTTCCCCACTGAGGGACTAATAAAGGTATTCTTATTCTTTTCATTCTCAACTTGTTAGATGGCAGTACATTTTTATCCAGAAAGTGTGTTCTTGGGGTGGTGGGCAGTACCATTTTTTCTCCAAACATGTTGTGTTGAAAGGTTTCATCTGACCTTATAGTCTCCCAGTAATCCACAAGCTTCTCCAAATGCTGTTTCACAAACTTTATCGAGTCTCAACATGCTTTTTGGTCAGAAATGCAGTCCTGCATGGTGAGCGTGGTTGCCATGGCGGTTCATAGTTTTCTTTAAAACAACAGGACCTGCTGATGCAAGATCTTCCTGAGGTTCTGCCCAGGTGGTTCTTGGCTCTTGGAGAACTCTCCTGATTATTCTTTGGGCCCCTCAGACAGGAATCTTACATGAAAGTTTTTTGACAATAAGATTACAAAGATCTTTCCTGTGTGCCTTCTAGGTAATGAGAAGCCTTTAATTGTGACTTAGAGCCGCTGATGTCGGCTGATGGGGGGCGGGGTTTCTCTCTCAATACAAACACATTCTCCTCTTACTTTTTCCCTGTGTCTTTTTACTTTACTACACTCACACATAACTGAATTTATGGACTTAAATGTCTATGCATACATTAAATAGTTCAGTTGATAGACATGTAGTGGGCATTTTGTGTCAAAAGCCCACTTAGAAACATGCTTTCTGATAAAAAAAAAAGCTGATGTGTCAAATACTTATTTTCCCTGCTGTAAATGTGTAAATACAGACCGTTTACCACAGGGTTTGCCAAACGCTCCACTTTTGTATCATTTGCCAAAAGAACATTCTAGAACGTACCAGAAGCTTAGCAGCTTGTCAGCATGTAGCTTGGCTACATCATGTTGGAGCGCTGGCGGGTCTACACACAAGCTTATAATATATATATATTTTTTTATCTTTTATTTCATTCACAATGTATAAAATAAACACAAACAAATACAACATACATTAACATATTGGGAAAAAAAAACATTTTAATGAAAAGGAGCAGATAGAAGAAAAAAATCTTATGATTTCCGCCCCTTTTTAGGAAATAAAATTATCCGCCAAACAAACACAGTATAACCTCAGTCACTTTCTAATATTTTCATGTCTAATCTTTGACATTATAATTCTCCTTTTCATAATTACTAAATACATTAGATTTTATACATTTTTTAAATATAGTAAGTGAAGTTGATTCTTTAAATTCCCTGTTAATGGCATTCCACAATCTTACACCATTTACAGAAATGTTACATTCCTTCACTTTGGTTCTGAGTCTAGGTTTCTCAAAGACATCAGTTCCTTTTAACATGTACCCACTTACTCTCTTATGAAACATTTTCTGAATATTAGTTGGTAGATTACTCGTATTCGCTCTGTATATTATTTGCAATATTTTCCACTCGACCAAGTCAGGAAATTTCAGTATTTTGTATCTAATGAATAATTGATTAGTGTGATCTCTATAGTTACTGTTATTAATGATTCTCAATGCTCTTTTTTGCAAAATGAATAATGGTTGTGTAAAAGTTTTGCAAGTGGCTCCCCAAATTTCTAAACAATAAAATAAATATGGTTCAATCAGTGAGTGGTACAATGTTAACAACCCCGACAAGTTTAGTAGAAACTTGACTCTATAATAATACACTTTATATATCCCCTTGATATAGCCTACATGTGATTTCCACGTGAGTCTCTCATCAAACATGACTCCAAGAAATTTGGTTTCTTTTACTCTTTGAATTTCCATTCCATCTATCATTAAAGATACATCACAGCTTCTTCTATTATTAAACAGTATAAAGTTTGTTTTGTTCAGGTTCAGTGACAGTCTATTTATATCAAACCATTTTTGAACTTTAATCAATTTACTGTTCATCACTTGAGTTACTTCATGTGCATTTAATCCTGAATAAAACAATGTAGTATCCGCAAATAAAACTGTGCCAAGTAAATTAGATACATTTACCAGGTCATTAATAAACAATATGAACAGTTTAGGTCCGAGGACTGACCCTTGTGGCACACCATAATAAATATTTTTAATTCAGATTTAGCATTATTTATTTGAACAAACTGTTTTCTATTGCGTAAATAACTATTAACCCATTGATGCGCCACCCCTCTTATTCCATACCGGTGTAATTTAAGAAGTAACCTTGAATGATCAATGACATCAAATGCCTTTTTTAAGTCAATAAAAACACTAATGAAATGGTTTTTATTGTCAGTTGCTGATGAATTTTATCTACTAAATCCATAACTGCCATT